CATGTACATATGTGTAATCAATGGATATCAAGATGTTACAATCACAAAATAAAAAAGAGAGTTAGGCAAAGTGGACAATGATAACAAGAGAGAATAAATGGAAGGCTTACCCTTACGCTGGGCTCACTACAAAACACCAGAAGGAGTGATCTCCAGATGAGATCCTTCCCCTCTGGTAGCCAGCTCTTAAATAGGTCTAGGAGAGGTGCAGCTAAGCTCCACCCCTTCCGGCAGCACAGGAGAATTGCCTTCACCTGTGCTCCTCTGGCTGACTCATGGCTTGCCTCAGGTGATCAATCAGAGGTTCAGGCCATGACTCAGTAGTTCCCATACACTGAGGAGTAGAAAATCACAAATAGTGAATCATAGAATCACTTAGTTTGGAAAAAAGACTGATAAAATCAAATCTGACCTAGCACGACCAAATCCACCAGTAAACTACACGTCCACACATCTCTTAAATAACTCTGGTGACTCTACTGAGCAGCCTATTTCCACTGCCTAACTACCCTTTCCAGAAAGAAATTAATGCTAATATCCAATCTAAATATCTCCTGGCATAACTTGATGCTGTTTTCTCATGTCATCCATGAAAATAGTACTAAAATAAAGATGAATTACAAATGTCAGAGGGCAGACTGTAGGACAAGAAATTTAAGAGTAGTTATGTGAAAAATGAATGACATAAATAAAGAAAGTCCAAGCAACTTGGATGAGCAACATGGTATAGATATTGTATTCATTTGTTCTTTGGACTGTTGGAGTAAAATAGTACTCCATGTGTAAGAAAGGATAAGGATCAAACCCTGTCTGGTAGTGAATTAATGCCTCTATCAAAAAGATTCTCTTAAGGAAATATTCATTTGTTTTGTTCTGAAAAAGAAACTTCTTCCTGGAAAGCTATGAGTACTGAAAAAAAAAGTTCAAAATGAAAAAAGGAAAGACATTTTCTTTTATAAGCATTGTCTAAAAAGAATGTTGCCATTGAATTCACCCTGGCTTCTGCTCAACACAGCCATCCATGAGCACTTTATCAGCATGATTATGTAGATGATGAACCACACCTCGATTATGATGAACCTGTCTATTGCAGGGGAAGGGACAGAGGGAAAAAAGAAGAGGAACAAAGAAAAACAACAAAAAAAACCCAAATATGTTATTAGTGCTGCTTCAATATCAGAGGATCCACTAGCAAGTCAAAGCTGTAATGATTTCATTTCAGAGTAATAAAATCAATACTGAAAAATGGTAAAACAACAGCTACCATAGCTGTTTCAGATGTTATGATACCATTATAGCACAGTAGCCTTATTATTTATTGTACTTCTTCCTAATATGCCTGACCATCTGTGGCAATTGTTTCTGAATCTGCACAGTCAAAACCTTAAATTAAATCTAACAAATACAAAGTGTTTTGAGCTAACTTGTCCTCCCTTCACACTTGTTCATTATGGAGTGACCTACTCTTTTCACATCCTGCACAAGTCACATCTCTGTAGATTATGTTTACTGAATGCTGATTGTTACAAATGTTGACATTCGACAGGTTTATATACCAGGGAATTAAAATAAGAAGAATATGACAAATACATTGTAAATAACAAGAGAGACCCTTACTATACCTGTATGTTGTATGAACACAGTGGAAAATTAATTTGCTCAGCTTTCAGAGGCTTTTTGTGGTGCTCAGTTTCCATTGTATGAGTGTTATTAGAAGTGCAAGCACATAGCTGCAGTTATAATGTCAAAGTCATTCATATTATAACAAGGTTTCAGATGCTCCATAATGAAGACTTCATCAGAGAGTGAAAATTATTGGCTCCCTACTTGATGACTTTTACAAAAATCTTAAGAGTAGATAGTTTGCCAGCTGGATTAATCTGCCTATGCACAGCCATTTATGAGGCTCTGAAATTTTACCACTGGCAACAATGCAATTGCTGAAAAAACTCCAAGAATACTGAGTTCGATGACAAACAATGGTCTGCTAAATAGAGACATGCTGTCCTGACAGCTCTGCTTCAGCTGTATGGTATGATATGTGCCAGCAAAAGCAAAGAAGACACTCTGTAGCATCATAAAACTGCTTCCAAAAATGAGCACCCTGCAGCTATTAGAAACTGCGTGAGAATCACCAAATGTCAGCCTCATGCTCAATAACACTCAATTTAATAAATGGATTTAAGACAGTGAAGAACACAAGACGCTTCAGAACACCCTTAAGACTATGATGATAATATTGAGTTTTTGAGAGAGAAAAGCAATGTTCACCATAAAAAAAGGGGGAGCGTTTTGTTTCATTTTAGTTCCTTGGGACCAATTAAAAGCATTCTGTCATTATTATTGTCAGCGGTAGGAACAGTGTACGAACTATAATCAATTTACTGATACATCCTAATATTGATGGTCAGAGGCCTGCTCTGAAAACAGCCCCACATTATCTGGTACTTAACATTGGTTATTAATGTTATTTTTTGTTGAGGGTGGGTTTTTTCTTTGTTTTTTAAAATAAAATCTCATTTTTTCTGAGACAGCTACTTACATTTATCCAAATCTAAAGGAAAAAAAGGCAGTGGTAAAAAGTATTTCTGTGTATCAGCTGATCCACAGTATGCTACAGAACTGGCTGGAAAAATAGCAATTTCAAGTGCTTACTGAAGGATGCTGAATTTGCCTGGCTTTTGTTAGCACTTTTTTTTTTTTTTTTTTGAAACCGTGCTGCTGTTGCTAGAAAACCAAGTAGGAATAAACCTTGTCCCACAAATTCCATTTATTTGTCCAACTATGAGTTCCTGATTAAAGCAATTCAGTTTTAAGGAGAAGTTTCATCACCTTGATGGCTGGGGGATATTACCAAATGTTATAGTTATATGATGAAATTAGTTGATGAAAAGCTAGCTGGACAAGTACTGAAATGTTTTACTCTCAGCTAAAGTATAAAGCTTGCTACTTAGCAGAACTCAGAGGTCTGGTGCTTTTTCCATTAATTTCTAGCTTCTAATTAGCATCTATGAAAGTCATGCTCCTAAATCCCCCAGTGAAATCAGAAGTGCAATACATTGGCAACAAAAAGCTGAAACTGTTGTCTACTTACACTAATGGGCCTGTACAAGACCAAAAAGAATACAGAAAGATGGAAAGAGAGTTCAGGTGGTTTTTTCAGTATTCTTAATGCTTGTGAAAACACTTTGAATTTGAGTAACTGAGCATCCTGATTTAGGGCCTGGTTTAGTGACTGATAACCCTGCCCACTGTAAGGGGTTGGAACTAGATGATCTTTGATGTCCCATCCAACCCAAGTCATTCCATGATTCTAACTCTCCAGAGTCCCAAAAGCCCATATGAATGATGACAGGCAAAATTTCAAAGCTTTCTGTTTGGACACAGGTTTTATATACGCTAATATTCATGTAAAAAAAAAAAAAAAAAAATAATAATAATAATAAAAAATATATATATATATACATAAAATCAGAATAGGTTTAAATGTCCCAGGGCTGTACAGTACACAAAACAGAAATCTGGTCTTTGGAAGTGCTAAGATCTGCTACTGCACTACAGAGATTACCCCAGCAGATCTAATACTTTATACTTTATACTTTATACTTTATACTTTATACTTTATACTTTATATACTTTTTTTTACTTTATTTTTATTAAAGAAAAGGATAAAGTTTTATCACTGATTTCACCAGACCCAAAACTTACTTTCAGGCTGTCACTATTTAGAGTTACATATTTGTTCACAAGTTCTAGGGCACATTCCTTTGCTACTACTAAAACGTGCACATTGAGTCAAAGACCCACCCATAGCACAAAAGACACAAACTACTACACTTGGCCTTAGTCCTGCAAGTGCGACCATCCATCCTGAGTTTCTCAGACTCAGTATGCAGGGTTAAAACACTCAAATCTAGATTCAGCAATGGCTCTCACTTCCTTAGAAATGCTCTAGAGGCACCCAGTGACCTATTTTAAACCTCAAATTCTATACAGATCAAACATAAAAATGAACCTGTAGAAATCTGTAAGTCTGATGATTCTGAGACAGCTTCCTCGGCAGAGAAAGACAAAAATAGAAAAGCTTCATCGTGTGCCTAACAACAAGACAGAAAATATGCAGATAAGCTCACTGCCTGTTGGGGAAAAAGAGAATAAGGAAGATGGGGTTGGGTAGGCTGCAGCTAGCTTTAAGCTTGTGCCAGGAGCACAAATGGAAAGTATTTGTGTATCAGAATCTGTAATTCTGTGGACTTGGGGACTGGAGAAGGAAAAAGAAGGGAGATATTCATTTTAAATACAAACTAGATCAAGTGACTGTCATTTTAAGATGAGAAGGGACAAAGAAAGGCCTACAACAGCTCAGGAGAAGAAAGCATTTCAAGCAGTTGGTGATTAATTGTACTCTGCTATGACACATCTCTTTCTATTAAACCAAATCTGTTTCCTAATTGTTTTTGTGCTTCTCAGACTTTCTTTTGTCTTGCATAGATGTAGGCAATTTCTATGCCATCAATATCTCATTAAGGGGTCTGGGATGTGAAATACCTTGTTTTGGTTTTAATTTTATTTTCCAGGCTTTTTGCTGCATTTTATGAAATAGCATTTTTTGTTTGCTTGCTGCGGTCCATTTGTTCTCTGGCACTGCCTTCCCGCAGGTTACAGCTTTATTTGTTTCTTTGCCTGTTGGCTCTCCGGGTGTATGCAAATTATTATTACATGTTTCACCATTGCTACCTATTGCTCTTCATTTCCCTAATGGCAGCCTCATCTGAATGTCAGTGCCTGCTCAGGTTGTACGTATGTAGATAGCAACTTCAACTCATCTGTGAGCTTTTATTTTTATTCCCTCCCCCCCCCCTTCTCCTACTGCAGTTCACCTTAGAGTTGTATTCATGAGGAAAGGAATACAGCTGCATGCTTTCTGCCTAGGGCAAAATCCTGCTACCACTTGCGCTAGTAGCAGCTCAGAGGAAAAAGGAAGGGCATTCACACAAATAGCTAATCAAAGGGTTTTTAATGATACTCATTAGGAAAGAAATTCATTAACAAGCCAGCACAAGAACATTCCCTGAAGCAAGAGTGATGCTATTGGTCACATCGAAGTCCCCACCTGACTAACACCTTTATTGCTGTTAATAGTAAGGCCAAGTCAGCAGCAAAATCAGTTGCATTCAGTTCCTGATTAAGAAAAATAAATAAATAATGACACCAGCAAAATGCATCCACTGAAGCTGGATAAGGGCCTTTCATAGAGTTCGGTTGTTTAGCACTTACCATGCCTTTGAATTCATACAATTTTACATTTCCCACCCTTCATTGTCCCTCTCTTCTCACGTTTCTTTTGATACCTCTGGCTACACTCTGACACCCATGGCAGTGGTGCACACGTGCTCCCCATTAGCCCAGCCCAACAGCACCACAACGTCGAGTGGGTCTGGTGAGCATTCTCCCAGTAGAAGTCCTTAGAAGGACACTTCAAGGGAAGGCATAGCAGGAGCTGTGCTGAACTGTAGGCAGATGCACAAGGCACTGATCCAGGCACACTGTGGCATACACCTACTGCTTAGCACAGATACAGCCTCTCAGCAGAGCTGTTTCCAACCTGAATCGCTTCTTTGTGCTCAAGCCATTACTTACCTACTAAAGAAATCCTGTACTTTTCTGCCAATTCATTCCTAGAGATTAGCATTAGTATCTTGGGATGCTCATTTGCTCTGTAAAAATTAGGCTTTTAAATAGAGTGAACCAGAAATCTTACTTTTATTGCAGTACCTTGATAGAGCAGATCTAAGTTATTAGAAAAAAAAAGGAGCGAGCCTCCTCCTGGTTGTTATACTCATGTAATTGCTACAGCCTGATACATGAAACTGAGCCTCACACTCATGCTTAGAGCAAGATCTCCATTTTGCAAGGACAGAGCAAGTTCTATTCTACATTTTTCTGCCAAAGGAGGTCAATTAAGTTTAATTGGCTCTAATTAGCACTTGCTCAAGCTGTTATATTTTTTTACCTGCATCCGAGTGGCTCTCCAAGTGCTGCACAATGAATTCCTGCTTTTGAACGCAAACAAGAATTACTAATGGCATCCTTGAAGGCAAAAGGTGCAGTGATCAGCACAAATGGGGAGCAAATACCGGCACAAATAGCTGCAGGCCTTTTTAGAAAAAAAATCCCAAACATTTAATTCCCCATCTGACTTTGACCAATTGAAGTGAATGCAACTGTGGACCTTGCTGTTGATAGTTGTAACACAGAAATTACACAAATGTAAGCATTCTCTAATGTCATAACTTATTCAATGCTAGAGAATGGGGGAGGGAGAGTTTAGCAGCTTGTGCAAAAGAAAGTCTGATGGTAGCTAAGAAAAGATACCCAAGAAAATGAAATAGAATCAAAGCAAAACCAAACACGTACATCTCAAATGCTTTGTTTTCTACAATTTTTTTGAGGATTGTTTTAAAAGGTTCATGTTGAAATGACAAGGTTTGTTGTTGTTGTTTTTCATTCTGCTGCATAGATTGCAACAACAACCTCAGTGGCCTAAATGTCAGCATATGCAATTTCAGTCCTTGGATCATGTGGTGAGAGGCAGGCATTGAATTGAGGGTGGTCTGTAATAGACTGAATGAGGAGTCACAAACTAGAAAAGACACTGCTATACTGTGGCATGCTATAGACAACTAGAGCTGAGGTTTTCCTGGATGTAGCTGCACAGTCAAATAGAGGCAGAGAGTAAGATAGTTCTCACACCAGTGCCAGAGCTCAGAGGTAGCTCTCCCCACACACCCAGTAACTGTCCACATTCATAGCACACAGGCACAGCCCTACATCTCTGGGTACCACCAGGTATCTTTAAGCCATAGCTATTATTTTCGGTTTGGAAGCAGTTGGCAGAGTGAGAGGCTCATCTAACAAAAGTTGGGACACAAAGTAGAAAGAGCAAAGTGGTTGGATGCCACTCTTCTGTGCAATGCGTGCAGAGCCTTGATGGTCAAAAACTGCTTGCTAGCCAACATTTTTTTCTTTCTATCTCCCCCCGCTAAATTTCCTAAAGATCATCAGTCATAAAAACAAGCTAATAATAATTAAAAAAAAGTGCATAAATTGTAGAAAAAGAGTTGCCTGTATTTTAAAAAGTTCCTACCAGAATCTCCCCCAACCTGAGCATCTTTCCTCTGTCAACTGTGAGGACTCTTTCCCAACCTTAGAACACATCTTTTTTCCTGACTGGCAATGCATAAGCCAGCATAGTATTATTTAAACAGTCATGTCTTCCTTTTACATTGGCTTATTGTTAAATCAATATACTTAAAATATTCCATGCTTTTTTTTTTTTTTTTTTTTTTTTTTTTTTCCTTCTCCAGGGAACACTGTTTCAGTGGTATTTCAGGTGAGAGCAAAAATTTAATCGAAAGGTTAACTGACCTGAATAAGGACTTGAGAAACATTAAATAACAAAAAATAAATGTCTGTTTGCATCACTGGTATGGCAGCAATACACCACTGAAGTACATGGAATAATTTATTAATCGATTCTTCAGCCCTCCCACGTTTAAAATTGAGCATATGGTCAATCAAAGATTGAGAAAATTTGATGTAGCATCTATGCACATCCTGGGGATACCCTATTCTGGGTTGGCAGTAGCTCCACCAGTACAAAACCCCCCAGGGTCAGGGGGTGCTCAACTACTGAACACATGTATACATATACTAGATTATGGGCTTTAAGCAAGGTACACCATATGTTTGCAGCCCTTACTGTACACTGACATAGTATGTATGCAAATGGAGGCTGTATCACTAGAATAGCTGTATCAGTGTAATTACATTGGTACAACTATTCCCAACGTGGAGAGGAGCTTCATGAGAAATCCCTATGGCAGATGATGTTTCCCATTGAGCTATTTATAAGACAGCTATTAACACAGTTCAAAAAGCAGGGTATAAAATGATCCTTGTTACCTGTAAGTGGACAGTGATGATTATAGTTCAGTCTATGTTATTATTGCCTGATTGTTACCAGTTTGGATTTTCACATATTGACTCCTTACTCAAGATATTTTAACATAGATTTGAAATGTGAGTATGTTTTATTTTTTTTCCCCAGTAAATATACAATACACACTTCAACAGGACTATTAACCAACTTTTTATGCCAATTAAACTTTGCTGCACTAACAATACCAATGAAACACATTAAGAGGTCATACTTTTTCGTGAACAAACTGTAGCCAATAAATATTTTTTAAAAAAACAAATTAAAAAACAATTCTAAGTGCTGCCACAACATCCCTTTTCTTTAAACACATTATTCACAATAAATGTTTTCCATTTTTTTTTAAAAAAAGAAGAATTCTTCTTTTAAAATAGTAAATTAAATGGCATTTTAAAAAATATGTACTGTGGTTCATTGGAAGTACACTGTATAGAAAAGAGAGGAAAAAAAGAAGAGACATCACCTGTAAGATAATGGAGACACTTTGCGATACACAACAACACTTTATGTAATATTGTAAGCAAATTATTAATGAACAAAAATGTACAGAAGCAGATGGACAAGTTAGTGAATATCATGGTACTGCACAGCTTTAATACTGACACACATTTACTTTCCAGTAGAAGAGATAAAACACATATTTGAAAGTAATTGGAATGGCTTCATCGACTTCTAATGATACTGAATTTTAAATAGGATATAGTGAGTAAGGTGTTCCACCAAAGCTCAGCACAAGCTTTCAAATTAAGAGAACTATTCCCTTGGTGACTAGTTAAACACTTTTTTTCAGAGAATTCAATTTGAATTGCACCCTGAATAATCTTCTCTTCATATGATAATAACAAAGTAAAGAAAACATACATGTGTATGTATGATGCCTTCTTTGTCTTGCTTGAACAATTTTGCACATTTTTAAATAATGGTTTTAACTATAGTGATTAAACAAGCAGGTAAATTACATATACTCATTGGTCAGTTATATAGATAAATGCATTCATTTCTCTCAACTCTTTTCGTAACCTGCTGAATAACAGTCTTGACCTTAAGGAAGTTAACTATGATTTTTTTAATATTTGATAGTGCTGAGTTGTAGCTGATGGCTGTCGTGTTTTATCTTATCATGGAATGAGTTAATGACATGAAAAGCAACACATATTTAGCATTGAAATTTACTCTTCTAAAATTCTGCCATTACTAAAAGTGTCCTTAATACTGGTGAGCTCCAAGGCAATATATAAAACAACATAGACTGATTATATGAAAAGGGTATTCAAATGGAAAAATGTTCATGGTCAGAAATAGACTAACAGAAATAAGCTATAGGATGCAAAATTTAAGTTAAGCAAATGAGGGTGATACCTATATACAACATTCTAAGAAAAGTTTGACAATTCAGTCATTGAGATTTGAGAGGTACAGAAGATTTGAACATAGTAATGAAAACTAATGAAGAGACAGAATGTTGTCATTAATGTCCACTTACAGACTTTGGTTTATTCAAAAAGAGTATAAACATGCATTATTTCCTCATTATAGTAGGGTGTGAAGCCACTCACTAAAAAAAAACAGTTCAAGGATTTTCTTTGCTTGTATCCAACTTTTTGAATGTATTGCATCACAGAAAATATTCCTAAAACAATAATTTGACTGTTACGTCCTTCTAAACACTAAAAATTTAGTGAAATCAGCTTCAGCTCTCACAGACTTCAGGTAACAAAACACAAAGGTTTGTCTAGACTGCATCAAAACAATTAATGTCATGAATTTCAGTGGTGCAGCTCTATTTACTATTGTACTGTACATGTATTGGAAAGATGAAATAAAATACTCTGACATTTAGTTTTTTTCAGAAGCAGCCTGAATAAGTTTTAATAATAGATTGCATCCTTAACTACTCACTAGGTATTCCTTGAGTTTATACTGTTTGTTTCTTCTGGGAAATTTCTGACTTACATTTTGGGTTGCAGAAATTAATAATTCTTTCAAAACTGCAATATAAAACAGCTTTAGTGAAACACCTTAATTTCTTTTGTTTGTAGCAAGGTTTGCTTTTCTTTACCTTTACTTAATGGCATTGGATGGCTAAAAACAGATACTAAGGGAATCGTTCTAGTGAAAGGGTCTAGGCCATCTCATGCTACTGTTAATTTTCATACTCACTCTTTAAACTCAAACTTCCAACTTCTGACCCCTTCTTAAATAGGAAGAGCAACTATGTTGTCTGCTTTTAAAAGATTTAAATCTGTCTCTAATGTCTTTACTGACATCATTTTTGCCTGTCACTTTCTCATTTCTACACCCCAATGGAAAACCACCTAACATACTCCTTTACATCCAGCATTATCCAAAGTAGCTTACAGTACGTAAACCCTCTTCACACATTCAGTCTCTTTTTTTCTTCATGTCATGAGGAGTAGAGTTTTGTGCTTATCACCAAATAAAATTGCAGTGCAAACTTTAAACATAAAAGTTACACAATTAAAAGTTAATATATGGCACCACAGCCTATTAATTCACATATAGTACAACAGACCAATAAAAACAGACATGAATATGAACATAGCTAAAAAGAAGGTGAACTTGCATAGCAATGCAACAAAAGAAATTATATACAGAAGGAAATTCTTTTCATCCTGGAGGGTGATTTTTTTTTTTTTTCTTTTTGTATACTCCTGACAAGGAATATTTTAAGGTGGATGGTGTATAAAGAGAAGAACACAAGTATCTGTGGGATATGTGGCTGTGTGTCTTTACATTGCATTTACAGTTCTTTTAATAGTACATAAATAAAGAAAATGTTCATTGCACTGTTTAGTGTCATCACTTCCATGAGTTCAGCCCTGATGGCCCATCAGAGCAGCTTGCAATGTGTCTTCTCAACTACTCTATAGAGAGAAAGAAAGAGAAAGAGATTGTAATATGTGAAAAACAAACAAAGAAACAAACACACAAAACAAAGCCCATGTCAATGTCAAAGCAGTGCAGGATAAATATTCAGTAGGTTTGGATAAAGGAGTTAATTGCTTCTAAGATGAAAATCAATGGATGCCAAAATTCAGCACTTAACCAACATCATATCTGAAATACCTCATTTTGGGGTTTGTGCACCAAAACCTCTTACAAGCTGCTTGGCAGTAACAGTAGGTGGGTAGTTACAGAAGGTTTGATTGCAGCAAATAGGAGGCAGAAGTTCCAACAGCTGCATTGCCTGAGCTAGCTTAGATCATGGTGTACTACTTTAAGCAAGAGACTCAAACCTTTTGGCATCAAGTACCACTGTCATGCATGCAGCATTAACAGGACCTCTATCTATGGTCAAGAAGAGCGTAACATTTTGCAACAAGCAACAGAAGGCTTAGGAAAAGGCATCACATCCTTGACATCAATTTGCCCAGTAAGTTTAGCACTCACACATTTACTCCTCTGAGAAAAGTCTCCAGTAGCATTTCTATGACAAATATATTATACCTTTGCAAAGAAAATTCTAAATTGTTAGAATCTCTGTTCAATTTTGTCAATGTTTTTATTCTCATTAGCATTACACGTTTAAAGATGTAATAAGTAGATATTCTTGGTATGACTTAGATCTGAACTGGTACAAGTGAAAGAGTATATGAATTTCACTTGTTGCTGGAAAAATACTGCAGAAGGCAATAAGAATAAGGTTAAAATTTAACCTGGTCATCACACTGCAATTAATTCTCTCTTCACAATGATTTATAATTTGTCTATTTTTTTTTTTTTTTTTTTCTGTTTGGGAATTTCAACTGTAGCTAGAGATAAACTTACATAATTCACCAGTAAACTGTCCTTGACTGTTTGATCCCACATAGCCTATATCGAGAAGGTCACTGGCATTGCGTTGGTGACCTCCTCGCAAGACTTCACCTTTTCTAGGTCCGGTGGATCCTTTAGAAGAAGCTGTTCCTGAAGAGCTGTGGCCGCCAGGGGATGGAAAGTTGGGTTTACTATATGGTACCAACGCCTCTTCTAAAAAAAGCAAAACAAACCAAAATCAATACACTAGGAATAAACAAACTATTCTGATCTGGACATCATATTCATTCCCTGTCTTCAGGTATATGTCTTTTGTCTTTCTTTATAGCATGACAATTTTGCCAAACAAAATATGCAACTCAGTGTTGTACTCATAGACATAGAAACTAGCATAAGCTTAATCTTGCTTTCATGTAAACTCATGTGTTAGTCTGTATTAATTATAAAAAGCCTAGATTCATTATGAAGTAATAGATCACAAATTGCTGATTGTTTAATAAAAATAGATGCACATACAATTTCCAAAACAATGCAGCTATGATTAGATTTTTGCTTCAAGCCTACAAGAATATGCATTTTCCTTTTCTTTATTTTAAGTTATGGTAACATTACCTCAATCAATTTAGATAAAGAATTGCAATATCAGCTAATTTAATTAGCTTCCAGCAGCTCAGTAATTTCTAACGATGCAAAGTACACAGAAGATTTTTTTTAACTGACTGTAAATAACACTGAGACATACTATATAATACATAACATTGGTAGTTGTAGTATTTTGGGTGAGTAAATCTTCCTGCAGCTTGTTTCATGTTCCATTATAAGCAAAAGGCTTACTTTATTCATTTTGCCTGTTCCTTAGTGAAGATCTGTTATAATGAACTGCCTGCAAGAACAGGATTAATTCTCAATAAAGCACAAGACTAAATATATTCACATAGCATCAAGTAAAATGAGACATCTCATCTGATTAGAGTTTTTGGGAGATATTTTAATAATCTTGACCTAAGAGGCAAAGCAGCAGCACTGATTTAACACTGAAATAGAAGCACTATTTTCTTTGCTGGATATGATCCACTTTTGCTGTCTCAAAAGTTAAGGAGACATTGCTAAATATCATTCAATGCAAGAAAGAGCTGAAATATATGTCCTTAGCAAAAATAGAAAAATTGTTTATTCTGAAATCGGTGGGTACCTCCTGCTTGAATGTTTTTTTTTGTTGTTGTTGTTGTTTTTATGTTGTTTTTGAAGTGAAACTGGGATAAAAGTTTTTTTCTTTTAATTTCTCATTTTCTATTGTTTTTACTATTAAGGAATCTGACAGGAAAAATTACACCTTCTTTGAAAGAGGACAGAATTGCAGAAAGAAAACTAGGTGGGGATGGTTGGAAAGAAAGATAGATATGCTCTTATTGTCATTAACAAAGCCTTTGCAAGGGCGGCAATAATGGCACACAATTAACTTAGAGAAATGCTAAATAAGAACATATTTGTGGTGGAAATGCAAATTACCTTTGTGGAGGAAACACAAGTTTAATTCTTTGTGTCAACTAACACAAGCATGTAGGATACAGGAATTCCCCATATGTTTCTCCTATTGAACAGAATCTTTTCATAAGGTAAATCTGTTGCAGAAGAGGGCAAACACCCAACTTCCTTCTCTGCCAAACTATCTCCCTATGGTCCTGCCGAAGGAACCAGAATATTTGCACTGCAGGACATTAGGGTATTATCAGTGTTTTGTTCTATGACTGTGCTCTCCTTGCTTAAATGTAAATAATTGCTTAAAAGACATAGTAAAATGTCATTTAACAGCCAAAGCCTCTTAAATTATGTTACCTGATCTTCATATACAAACTCTAACAACAGAATCAGATGCAAACTTGATTTCCAAAGGCTGGCTGAAATACAGAACAGCTTGCATTAAGGCAGCAATAAAATAAGCTGCATAAATCAGCTTAGCAGAAAGCTGGATACATTTTTAGAGGATGGAAGGAAAAGTCACTAGCATTACAAAAGAGTTTGAAGATGACATATATGGTCAACTGATTTGTTTTCCTGTTTTGTGGATTCAGGATAAGGCCTCCTTTGGGTTCAATGAAATGTTGAGGAAAAAAATAACCATGAATAAATATGAAGTGCATTATCATTATGGAGCATATGGTGTGTTAAATTATCTGTTGTGCCCTCAGAAATAAATGCAATCCATAAAATAAACATTTGTGACATAAAATAAAGGCTAAGATTTTCATAACACTCTAGCACACGAAATGAAGGTGTCTGAAGTCCTTAGGTTAGACTTACTTTCATTGAGCAGTACTCAAAGCAGTATCATACCTCAGTCTTGCAAAGAATATGAGGAGACACTGTCAATGCCTTTCTCTATGAAAAACTGAGCCAAACTGAAGTTATAATTTCAACCTCTGCAAAATCTTGGTATGCATGTGTAGTAAGATGTTTTGATATCCCACGAGATAACTAAGAGGCTTCTAATATTATCAAAGCAATTGCAACCTGATCTAACACTACTTACTGTAGAAGGGTAGCTGAGAATGTTTTATTTGATATGCAGCGTTCCACAGTTAAACCATTACCAAGAACTCAGAGATCTTGTCTATTCAGAAAGCAATCTTGGGAAATCTTGGTTCCCAACATTATTTTTCAATTTGCCTTCAAAACAACAATCTTGCTTTCAGAATTTCACCCATAGCTTGGCAAGGTCCAAATAAAGCCCTCCAAAGTGCAAAATAGATATTTTGTGGAAGTGGATAGCTAATGAAACTCCCTTTGGAAATTACTGAAAAGTGAGAAAGAAAACTCTCTCTCATTAATAAAGGAAAAGGAATGAAGCACAAGTAAAATAATTTTTAAAAATATTGATAACATAAATAAACATCATATTCAAGAGCATCCTTTTTCAATCTACCAGAGAAAGGGGCACAGAGCAAGAAAACTATAATGCATGAAGCGAGGATGGGAAGAAAGACATACCAGATGTGAAGGACTGAATCTCCCCCACCAGGAAAAAACCATAACACCTACTGCAGCAATCCTTTGTAATGCATAAAGGACAAGTATTCACCCTGGTCATCTGTCCAGCCCTAAATTCATTACTCAGGTGGGGCACTGGAATTGTCAAAAACAATTTTTTTGTGTGTGTAAAGACAGATAAATGCAAGTCATGCAGTATAGGAAATTTACTATTTTACTATTAATTTAATAATCTCTGTGTCACAGAATAACAGGTAACTCCTCTTTGTACTCTTAAACTGGAGGAAAAGGAGAAGAGTTCTGGTTAAGAAGGTCAGACAAGCATACTTAATCTTTGTTCACAAAGAAATGAGATGCATTAAATATATTGTGATATTTTGTGTATGTTTCTAGAACTTACACATTCTAGTTAAAATTGTCTTTATGCTAAGTAGCATTTTAGTTACCTGGATGTCTGCTGGGGAAGCAACATGGTGGGCTGCAAGCAATCCAGGAGACTCCTGGAGTCTGTTGAGGACAACTTCCTGGTCCAGGTATTGGACAGAGTAGCCTGAGGTGAAGCGTTACTGGATCTGGTGCTCACCAGTGCTGAGAAGATCATTAAAAGCACTGAAGTTGGAGGCAGTCTGGGCTGTAGTGACCATATCCTGGATGAGTTCCTGATCTCAAAAAATATGGACCTGGCAAAGTGCAGACAGAATCCAGAACTTCAGGAGAGCAAGATTCTGGCTGTTTAAGGAATTACTGGTTGGGATCCTCTGGGAAACTGTCCTTTAGGATCATAGGAAAAGAACAGAGCTAGCAGCTCTTTAAGGACCTTTCTGAAATCACATGAGCTCTCCATCTGCCAGCACAAGAAATCAGCAGAGGAGGCATGACACTGGCATGGCTGAGAAAGGATCTGCTCAGCCAGTAGAAATAGGCAAAGGACAGTTATCCCATCTGATTAATGAGAAGGGAGAAATGACAACTACAGACACAAAGAAGACTGAGGTACTCAGTAAGTTCTTTGCCTCAGTCTTCACTGGCAGTCAGGTCTGCCACATGCCTCTCACATCCCTGAACCTCTAGGTGGGGGTTGGGGATGCAATGTCCCTCCCACTGTACGAGCAGGGCAAGTCTGAAGCCATCTCATCAGGCTGAATGTGTACAAGTCTGTGGAGCAGAATGACATGAATCCCAGGGTCCTGAAGGAACTGGCTGATGTGTTTGCTATGGTATTCCACAATATTTTAAAAATTATGGCTGTGACTGGAAAAAGGAAAACATTACTCCCATATTTAAGAAGAGGACAAAGGAAGACCTGATCACTACAGATCAGCGAGTCTCACATCTGTGCCTGGGAAGATCATGGAGCAGATACTCCTGGAAGCTATGTTAAGACATATGTGAGATGAAGAAGTGATCCAAGGCAGCCAGAATGGCTTCACCAAGGGCAGATCTTGCCTAATCAATCTTGTAGCTTTCTGTGATGGAGTGACAGCATTGGTGGACAAAGGAAGAGCAGCTGGTGTTGTCTTCCTGGACTTCTGTAATGGTCATACACTACATCCTTATCTCTAAATTGGAGAGATATGGATTTGAAAGGTGGACTATTCGGATAAATTGGTTGGATGGTCACAGCCAGAGTGTTGCAGACAGTGGCTCTATGTGCAGATGGAGGCTGGTCACAAGTGATGTCCCCAAGGGGGTATACTTCAGACCAGTGTTCTTTAACATTCTTCTCAATGACAGAGACTGTGAGATCTGTGAGTATACCCTCAGCAAGTTTGCTAACAACACCAAGCTGAACAGTGCAGCTGATACAATAGAAGGGAGGGATGCCATCAAGAGGGACCTGGACAGGCTTGAAAAGTGGGCCCACGAGAACCTAATGATGTCCAATGAGGACAAGTACAAGATGTTGTACTTGGCTCAGGGCAATCAACAGACTGGGATGGTTTAATATGCTAAGTGCTATTTTCTTTGAGGACTTTACTCATTAAATCATGTCCCCATGACAGCTTTGCCAGCAGTTTGCAATTTTTTTTAGAATGTCATTTATATTAGTGTGCTAAATTAACTAGGAAAATTAGCATTGGAATAAAGTCAGAAGGAAGAAGAATAGTACAAGTACATCTAGTGTCACTGGGGGAGCTACATACAGACTAGAGGTGGAGCCCTAGAGGAAGATCATGTACTTTTTTTTTTAATTGTCTTTGAGCAGTTGTCTTCTTGTATCACTTTAATCAGCACTGGGATAACATATGATTAGTGGACTAAAGAAAATCCCTAGTAAGGAGACTTGGAACAGCAGCTTTTACTTGCAGTCAGGCTGAGAAGTGATCTGCAAATAGCATGGAACTAAAACTACAGTTCAGCATTGCCTCCTTTACACATTTTTACAGAATTGAAATCTCCTTAAAAGATAAAGTCAGCACTCAATAATATGAGCAGGTCCTGTGCTGAATGATTGTGCCATTATCTTGCTAGGTCTAGGAGATGAATGTTGCTTTTGTCATGGCCTTGAATAAGGAAAAGACAGTATTACAAATATAGCTGGAAGGAGTGTTGGTAGCTCAGAAGGATCAGCTTTACTGCAGATATATGCAAAAACAACTAGTGCCAATTTAGATCCAGGTTGAAAGAACTAGAAAATACAGCCCTGTAGTCTAATTAAATACATCTAATAGAAACTACTAAAAAAACTCTTCCTTCTTCCCTGCCTTCCTGACACTGTTCCTGTTTCTCCCATGACCGTGCTTGACAACACTTTTAATTGTTAAAACAATGCAAAGAATGCACAGTTAGGTTATAATGAGATATAATGGTTGCAGGAGGGAAAGAACTTGGACTGCAAGCTCCCACTTCACCTTGCCTTCTTAAAAAATTTCTGTCGTAAGCCCCAGCACTGCGGGAATGCAGAGATGGAGGGTGAACTTAGCCTCCTGCCAGCTACAGAAATCCTCAGATGAAAAGCTTCAAGAAACATGGCCTGGGCTGGTGCAGCACACACGCACCTGATCCAAATGCTTGCTTGTGTTGGGCTTTCCTGAAATCCTCTTGGCGTTCTGCAGAGCTTATCCACTCCTGGGTTTGCCGCTGCCACTCTAGTGATGTCCTAGCTTGCCGGTCCAGGGAGCTCTTTGTGTCATCTACGCTGGGTGCATGCTGCCTCTCAAGAGAGCTTCCTTTCCTCTCTGCCGAGCCTCCACGCTGGCCCGGGCCTATTTGCTGCCTTAAACCCTGACCAGGTGGTGGGTCAGGTGGTGGTGGAAGATCTAAAAAATGTGAATAAGATTTAGATGAACTAATTTTTAATTGAAACAGAACTTCCATTTGATGCTGAAAAGAAATGAACAATAAAAACGTCTCTCACAAATGGCTTGAATCACTTTATCTGCTGATTTTAAAAAAAGGAAACTTCTTGTTAATCAGAAATTACTTTCCAATAGATTTCTAACTCAAGTTACTGTACTGCTAGCTCTTTCTAACTTTCCTAACAATCAGTAGACTCACTGCAAGTCCTGATTTACATTTCTAAGCATGGGATTTATTTTCCATTTTATCTGCCTCTTTCAGTAACAGTGAACAATTAAGAAAGACTATGGAAACCAGATGACAGAGTAATTCTTGCCCATCATAGTGGGGCTTGCTTTATCATTCCTATTTTTTGGGCTTCATTTTCAGTTTGAGGCTTACACCCACCATCTAAATACATGATTTTATCAAAATGTATAAAATTCCACAGTATCTTTGGAAAAAAAAAATATATTCACAAATGTACTGTCACTGAAAAAGCACCAATACATCTATGGAAATGGAATCACAAAGCAGCGGGTGAACATTTTCTTCAAATACATTTTCAGTGTTCTCTCGAAACCAGTAGTCTTCACAGACACCAGGATGGCCACTCTTAAGGTTAGCAGTCTTGCAAATATAACCAATCAACATGAAATTTCACATAAATGCTGAAAGACACTTGCTTGATCTCTCTATGCACTCTGATTCTTTTCAAGTTTATGGCTTGGGCTACTGAGATGTTTTTAGGATTGATGGTGAAACTTCTAATCACATTTGTGGGGGTGCTTTTTGTTATTTAATTTGTTACCAAAGATAATTATAGAACCTGAATAATGACAATTCTAACTGTAAGATTTCATGTAAACCACATGATTGTCTAGTAAGAATCAAGACAATTCTTACATTTTTAAAAACAATCAAAATAGAGAAAAAAGTACTTTAAATATTCTTCCATATAGACTACTCATTCAATACTTAGAAAACTTGATTAATTCTGGCTTTGGGCAAAGCACAACCCAAATAAATTCATGCTACCCAACTTCACTAAATCTATATTAGTCTACACTAGATATGGCTATACCCCACTTCTTGGTATTCTGTACTTTAGGTGAAGGTTCATCAAGGAATTTGTAAAGCATGGAAGAGTAAATCTCTCCTTTGCCCACAGGAAGGTCTGATTTTCTTAATCCTAGTGAGACTTCAATTCATTTTATACACTGTTGAGGAGACCTTTGGATTTAATTTATTTGAAGCCTGTAATTCAGCTTCACATGAAGCTTCAGGTCCTTGCTGCTAGAGTTGATACTTCTGTCTCTTATATATGGGGCACAAATACTTCCCAAGTTGCTAAGACGTTGTTCCAAACCAGAACTGTTTCCCAATGTTAAATGCAGATGTGTGGGATACTTGTGTCTAAAAGGGAAAGAAGTTGTGTCTGATGTTGCTTCTGTACTTTTGCTCATAGCTAAAGTGCTATATCCAAAATTAAGATATCTATCTTCTGGATAGAACAGTTTAATAATAATCTGTCAATGAGCCTGATGTGTGCTTTATGTTCAGCACTAATTTATTTGAGAAATTTTTAGTTATGAATATAGATGTGACCTTTCATGACAGTGGCAATACTTGAGTGACTGTAGGTGGAAGCAGAGTATGGGAGCTTGCCAATGTTAAAATTGCTTTATAGTGTTGGCTTCCAAAATGACATTTCTTATAATTGATTTTATTACAGTCATAACCAGTTAATGTACAAGAACCACAACACTGGCATCTGCTTATGCAATCTGAAATAGATATTACTGAAGTTGTGATTTATATGCACTTTATGAAGATGCACTGAATCCAATAAATGTTATTTTCCAAGATGAAATATTTAGTTTAATATAAACAAAATTTTTAAGAAGTAGTACCACAGGAAAAAAAATAAAATGATTGCAACATTATACTTCCTAAGATACAGAACAATTCTTCTCAAATTGCTGTCTAAGAGTTGCTATTAATCAGATATCAAGGTGAAAAGGTCTTGTACTTAAACAAACATCCTGCATGCTCCAGAGCTAACTGAAACTCCTGGAATTATAGTAGACTTATTTTATTAGTCTGCTGGATTTTGCTTTTATACGTTAGTAAAATGGGCAGGAAATTGCCTGATGAATAGAAGTGAAATCAAAAAACATGTTTGTAAAGCTGTTTTAGTGTTTTAGAGCTCTGGATGAGCTAGCTGAAATGAAAAATAAAAATTATTTTCTGATGAAGCTTCACACAATTATAGAAGAATTACAGAATACTACGGAATTAATGTAAGCTGGCTCTAGCTTGAGTACATACTTACTGAACTGTGCTAGATATGTTTGAGAAGATCTGACTATATCATTTGCTTTTTCACTTTTTTACTCAGGTTGATTGTCAGAGTAACACCTACCCTTCATTTTTAATATAAAAAGGTGGAAGAGAGCGTCATTTGGCAATGTGGCTTTCTATTCACTCCACAGCTCAAGTTGTTTACTGCAAATTTTCTGCCTTAAGTAAAGTTACTAAATACGCTGTTATTTTATTGTGGCATATTTATCTAAAGACTCCATATATTTGGAGTCACGAGTTTCCTCCTCCAGTGTCACAGTCTTGTCTTTCCCCATCTCTTCTTTCCCTTCTCAGCCTAAGATGTATCTAAGCAACTGTGCACGCATCCTTGCATACACTTGTACATATGTACCTACATGATGGCTAATGGTTGGAAATTCAAATGCTAGTAAAGGGTGACAGGTCAGATGACTTAGTATTTTCAGTCTCTAACAAGCAGACTTGTTACCACACAGAGGGAAGCCAACTCATACCATAATGTCCATTACTCAAGGGAAGATTTGAATGTAGATAATTAGGGACTTCAGGAGGATTTTCAGTGAAAGAACACATAATGATGTTACTGAGTGTGTTACTGAAGTGTTACTGCACTTCCATCTACATTACATTTACCTTCCAAGTGCCAGGTAAAACACCCGAAAATCCATACTGAGATAGTAACTTTACAGGCTGTGGGATGCTATCCAAACTACCACTTGCAGCCTCTAATGGCAAGCTTATCAAACTTGCAAGGCTATTTGTAAGTGTATTGAGGGGTAGGTGACGGTCTGATTTAATAACAGAGGAATTGTGATTGAGAAGCTGTAGAACATCAGAAAGCCTTATCAGCTGCAGATGCATGATTCTCTTGGGATTACTCCAGCCTTACTTTAGCAAGCAGAGCACTGGCCAAATGACTGAGACATTATGTAAGCTTGGGCACAACCTCTTGTTATTAGCCAGAAAAGTTAAGAACCAAGAAGTACAAGGCCATCTCTTCCTACTTGCACTAGTCATTTGTTTTCCTAGGGGCGATACTTACATTTAATAAGACTCTGAACCACTTTCTTGTACCAGATAGCAAGCATCTTCACTACAGCCTGCCTTAGTTAAAATTGCATATTAACAAGAGACTTTGAAAGCTAATAGTCTTATTTCTCTATTTTAACCACCAGCCATGGTTCCTCTCTAGTTTTTCTTTGTTCTTTTAAACCTCATGCTCAAACAAAGAGGAACTTTCACCTGCAGTTATGCAGTTACTGTGTAATTGCACGTATGGCAAATTCCATTATTTTGTACTTTGTGAATATATTGATTTCAAGAAAATAAATTATTCCTTGAGCACTTGAAGTAGAAACATTATGTTAGTTTTGTTTGTTTGCTTTTAAGGTTTTCCATTATTGACAGATTCATAAGGTATTTTTCCTTTGTCTCCACAGTCTTTTAGGATGGGAAAGTTGAAAAACAAATTGTGCAGGAGGACAAATAGGATAATTCAAAGTAGAGTCAGTCCAGAGGATTCAGACCTGAAACTGTAGATTGTATCTACATATTCAGTGATCATTTTTAATTTTTGGACACTGGAAATTCTTAAATGTAGTCTGTTTCCATACATACAGGTGGTAGCAGCAATCTTAGTTCCCTAATTGACAAATGTCCTTTGCAGATCTAGCTATGACTCAGACTTGTCCTTACACTTTAATGACTCATATTCAGCAACACTCGAAGTGGAAAAAGTGTACAATTTGTGTTTACTTGTTTCTGTTGTGAGAGAGAATGGAAAAGGATCCTGTATGACTTCTGAACACTGTAAATTTTTGGAACACATAGTAAGCGTTTAAGCTAGGTTTGTAACAGGCAAATGTTAACAGTGTCCAGAAGTTGTTACTGTCTATGCTTGAGAGGTTGATTGTTTAAGAACATGGTATAAAATTGGAGTTCTGACTCAAATATACTAAAAAAACTCCACTAAGATTAGTGTTTTATAGTGAATAATCAAAGATCATAGGAGATTCCTCTTTTAAAATAAATCTTAAAATCTGATCCCTTTCACCAATTTAAAGCAATGTCAGATTTTATGATGGAGTCATTCCCTGAGGAGTCACACTTCCATTTACCTCATGACCTAAACTAGATTCCCATCAATCTTCCGGTAATCATGTTATTATGACTTACTTCTATAGTAACAGTATTCTAAAAAAGTGAGATTAAGGTCCCACAACATTTAATGCATTACAAACACACATGTACACATAACTCATGGTGACAAAATATATGCTATGCTGAAGGTTTAAATTAATGCATGCACAGAAAGGGGATTGCCAGCATAATTGTGCAATTGACACTCACAATTTCCAATTCCTATTCTCGTAACACATCTATTTAACAGATCTGTGTAGCAGTGAGGCCTCTGGAATATATCCAGAAGTGGATAGCATTAATGCTTAAACCAAATCAGAGCCACATGAGTGGGTTCTAAGCTATTTTGAGTTCTTTCCTCAAACAATATGGTAGTGAGGGTGAGTCACAGAGTATGAGCTATAACGGTAACACTTCTGGTGAAGACTTTCACTTCTGGAATCTGTTCTCCACTTTTACGATCTGATAAACAGGGAGTCTGTCAGAACATGCTACAAAATTGTATCTGTACATTTGATGAACATGACTGAGAGGAGAGTTGTAGTGTTTTTAGTGGCTTCATTCCAGCTTGCATACTGTTAATATATTTTTAAACATACCTAGAATAATAAATAGCACATTATAAATAAACAAACTAAATACATGCTCTATCAAATCTATTTACAACATGCTGCCTGATAAAAGAGGATGATGAAAGGATTCTCAACTGATTTTTTGCTAGAATAGAGAGGGGATTTATACCAAAGTGATTTTTTTACTCCTTTCTCATATACTCAAAGATTTGTCAAGGTGAACTAAAAATTAGGAGACTGACATGACTGGCACTGGCATGACTCCTGCTCCCAGTGTTCAGACAGTGCCATTCTGAGGGCTACTAAAATAGGGATAGTCAAGGACTCAGAACTGCCCTGCCCTGAACACTGCAAGACAGGTCAGCATGAGGAAAGTGACCAGATCCCCATTCGCACTGCATTACAGTAATCCTTGGTGGCTCCTTTAACACTGTTTTTCCATTTGCCTGCTTCTCCTCACTGAAAATTTCAACATTTAAAGTGACTAGTAAGATTAAAAGAGAAGAGAGGGGAGATAACAAGCTGCCCACCTTTATAGTCAGACCTTCTCAAGGAGTAACAAAGGCTTTTTTTGCCAAACTCAAGATAGGATAGACAAAGACAATGGAAATCTGAACTGATTTTAGTGATTAGAAGAGCAGAAGGGATACACTTGAAATTTCTAGATGCGAATTGGTGGTAAGAGGGAACTGGAGATGTTGAAGTGACAAACAAAGTCAGTGAGGTCATTGAATTTCAGGGATGAAGCAGCACAGACAAGATGTGAGGCAGAGCCTTGAGAAAAGCATGGCACGTACTTCTATAGCTGTTGCATGGCTGTCAAAACCAGCAGAAAACAAAGAGAGCACTGTGGGACTGGCTGCATGATTCTTCTTAGAAATGCACTATATGCTGGTGGTGGCTACTTGGAAATGAAATTACCCAGGGGTCACATTTTAATGCCAACCCATGTTCAATGCAGTCATTTCTTCTTAAGATTTACACTGAGAACTGAGAGCTGATTTGTTTAGAGCTGACTTGTTTAGAGCTGAAAGGAAGAAAGGCTCCTTGAAGAGTCACTTAACCAAGCTCCACACTGCTAGCGTTGCAATACCGCTGACGTACCTGGGGACCCTACTTCACCAAACAAGTAGCTCACTGTAACAGACATTCCTTAAAAGACTGCTTTATGGCCTCCCATTCTGCACAGCTGCGTGTTGTAGCTCATCACCAGGGCCTCCCACCGCCACACTTACCGTCTGTTATTCCCTCCCTACGATGAGGCAAGGGGGGTTGGTCCAAACGGCCTCCCTTGTGTTTTTTAGTGGGCCTCGGCCTCTGACTCTGAGTGACAGCTGCACTGGTGTTGCTGTCAGTAGAAAAAGGACTGCTTGGCCGAGGTCTCTGAGAGGAAGGATATGCTTTGCCTAGAAAAAGAGAAACCACATGACAAAAATATTACTGACTTGAAATGGGCCGTTCTGTTAATGTAAATTCTGAAATATTAAATCTGGTCTAACTCTCAGAGGCAAGCGAGTGTCCCCATGAGACACCTGATGTCAATTGCTTAAGTTACACCACAGTAAGCAAAGTGAGAAACTTGGCAATCCTTTGTCTTTACTTTTATAATTAAAGTTGCTCCATCTGTTGTGCTAAAACCGCTGCACACCATGTAACTCCTACCTGCTTGGTGTTCAGAGCAGATGTGTCATAACAACTCCTCAGCCCTCAGCAGCGAAGGAAAACACTTCTTCAATCATATCAAATTTATCTTCTCCTGCCTTCCACCTTCGCTGAGCCAGATTCTCATCTTAGTCACTCCCATAAGCACTGCATATCTGGAGTAACTCCAGTGAGATAAAGATAACTGCTTTTGCAAGCTATGTAGCACTGCAGGTTTCTATACTTCAGGGCTCTCTTCTCTTAAGAAATTAAAAAAGGAATTTAAGTCGTAATGTTTTCCTATTTATTTTCATTATTTTATGTGTTCAAAAATTATTTATTCTGAATGAATTCATTCCCTATTGTTTTTTTTTTCTGTTTTTTTTCTGGTTTTTTTTTTTTTGTTGTTGTTTATTTATTTACTTATTTATTATTTAATATATAGACTAATGGAGCTACATACTTTCTCTTTTTTGATATCTTTGATGCTGTTCTTTGAAGCAGATCATGAAAAGTATCACGGCAGGAAACGCATGAGCATAGTTCATTTACTCCATTCAGTTCTTTTTTTCATGTTTTTATTCAGTTAATTAGGCTTGTTTCTTATTTAATAATGTTTGAAGAAAACTAAATATCACTGATATCACTGTCTTTTTTTTTTTTTTTTCTCTGCACATGATCTTTATCAAGCATCTCAGGGATGTTAATGCTTTAATTTGTTTAGAACTTGCTTAAAATTATTACTTTGTTAAACCTTCTCTGAAGTGGAAGATTTGTAAGCCAGTCAGGACTTCTCTTTCAGTCCAACTGTAGACCCGTATGGTCAAATAGTTGGTGGAAAGTGACAAAACAGCTGCTTGATATTTTTCTGATCTATCAACCCTAAGCTAATATGAGGCTGAATTATCTTCTGGTTCATTAGATCATGGTCTCTTGTGATTTATGTTTTTTAGTAAAACCCCTGGAAGAGCCAAAATTCTGGTGTATAAGTGCCACACTTCACGCATTATAATAGATATCCTTACTTCTAGCATGACACCACATACAATAGGATCTAGATTAACCTAATCAGAAGTAAACTGCTATTTACTGCACTATTTAAAATATATTTCGTGCAAAAAGAGGGCAAAGTGAAAAAAAGTAGCTATAATCTCTCTAACATACTGCTTAGCATTAAAATGCTTGTGTTACAATAACATCTAACTATTGGCCTTCTGATTTTTCCTGACTACCTAAGGCTTGATCTTTTATTTTCAGACTGATGTGCACAATGAGGAGGATCACTCTCTTAGGCTATGTTGTCTCCCAGCCTTGTGTCCCTGTCAGCTATCAGAGGTTACCACATTTGAACCATCTGTGTGGGCATTCCCTAACTCTCCTCTGCCAAAGAAAGCCAAATTGAATTTAAAGAGTATGAACAGGATGCCTTTGCTAGCCTGATGCATTTAAACTGAAATGGGGAGCTGAATGCCCACCCAAGGAGCTAACTCTGAAGATGGGAGGAAGCAGTAATAAGCGTTTGGGTGAAGCCTGGAAACATTAACCTCTTATAGCTGGCACAGCTGCAGCCAGACAAAGACAAGTGATCAAGCTCTTGTTTCATAGATAAGGATAAAACAGCAAATGAACACAGACAAAATATTACATATCTTGTTTAAAAAGAAAAAGAAAAAGGCCACTGGTGCAAAGAAATTCAGATGTGACCCTGAAATTCCATCCTAGCTCACACAGCACAGATTTTCTGTAAAAATAAACTTGCAACATGCAAGCACAACTAGTGAGTGCAAGATGAAGAACCTTCATGCTTACTCTCTTGAGTAAAGAAATGTGATCATGAATTTGGAAAGCTGACTTGGAAAAAAAAATATATATATATACACTGAAATTTTTTTCTTTTATCCCTTTGTGAAAATGAAGGAAAATAGATAGCACTCACCTAAATCAGATATGGGGCAAATACAAATGATATGTAGGTTCCCAAAACACATCTTTCAATGCACCTAATATCTGATTACAGCATGTTATTTTTTATGCAGCCTTTTCAGGAAGAACTGCTGAGCAGTGTCAGACTCTATAGTAGATTTAGTGTGTGCAAATGGAGACAAGGATGAATCCAGTAATTCATGATTTAATTTCCCATGGGTGTTAAAAAGGAAAACTGGCTGAACTACATGACAAATCACACAATGGTTTCTGGAAAATGGAATCAAAGTGTCTTGTAGGAGAGACATCTTGTGTCTGGATTTACCAGTGCCTCTTATGACTGACAATCAAAGACATCCATGTGAGCCTATGCAGTTGGTCTGCTCATTTCATATCAATAAGAATATTTCGTAACTGTTCTGAGTGGGAGAAAATAACTGTCCAAAGGAGTAAAGAGTCGGGACCTTCAGATTTCCTCCAGAGCAATGAATAGAAATAATACTGCTGCTTCTCCACTGGAAAATGCCATTTTGCACTATGATGGATTTACTGTGGTACAGCAGATCCATAATAGGCTAGTCTGATTGATCAGACTACCCTGGGAAGTATCATATCATAAGAAAACTACAGTAAGCATTGCAGAACTGTTTCCATTTGCTGATATTGTGGTGGGTGAAAAAAGGGAGGCTGTTTACATGGGCTTTTTGATTCAGCTTTTTCTCTGGATCATTAAGAGAATAAAAAGGCAATAAAAAGATAACCACAGTGTTACTCTTCTGTAACCTTAACTCTAATAGTCTATACAAGGAATTACGTGTAAGTACTCAGTTTAAGTGCATATGTGACCTAATTAAGTTAGGAAAATATAACTGACAAGGGAATTCTCATCCTGTTCTTTTATATTGCTACGGTAAGGAATCGTATTTAAAAGTGTCTGCACGTTTGAACTCCTTTGTGCATGTATGTGGTGGAAACTACTTCTCAGTGGGCCTAGTACAAGTTGCTTTAGTTTACTGAGGCCATGAAGAACACAAAAATAAAAAGGTTAGGAAGGATTTGTGTCAGTTCAAGCAAAACAGTGTATTTTAAGAAAGGAATGGTTTGGCCAAATTTGCTAAATAAGAAGAAGAAAATGAGAGTTTTAAATATTTTTAACAGTGAAATAACTGTCTTTTAAGGATGATTACATCTAACCAAAGTCAAAGGTCCTCATGACTTGAAAAAGGCTGAAATTTCATCCTGTGATTTGTTGTTGGCATAGGACTTTACTACAGATTCTTTTCTTTATTCCTAAAAGGTAGTATTTCTCATGAAATCACTGCGTATAGAAAGCTGGCAGTTATCATTTCTAACATTTGGAGACATTTATCAAGAATGCAAGCATTTTAGCAAAGGATAAATTTTGTACAAAAATGATAATAAAAATTTTTAAATGATAGGAATATTACAGGAAATGTGTGCAGGAACAGGAGAAGAAAGCATAATAAAAAATAGGAACCCAAATGAATACTTTGTTATTATGTCGTGTGGATTTAAATAATTAGGTGCTTTTTTAAAAAAAAAAATAATAGGACTGTGCAAATGCAAATACATTCTTTGTTCAGAATATATAAAAGGAAGTTCTGCTTATCTTTTTGTGTTGCTAAAAATTAAACGTTACAAACTGAATTATATTTACTTTTCATTAATTTATTCTAGTTGATAAGACTGGTTGTTTTCAAAAGCAATAGTCACTTTACCTGTATTAAATTTCACTTGGCTAATTCTGGTGGCATAATTAAAATTAAATTTAATCAAAATTTAATGATTCATTGAATTAAATATTGTTAACATCAGCTGATTAAAAAGACTTTTAAACATTTCATATCATTTATAATCAAATCATAGCATTCCACCCCCATGCTTAGAAAAACTTCACAGAAAAATACATTTTTGCAAGAGATGCGAGAGAGGAGCAGGGATGGAGATAACAGTTTAAACATGACTTTCATCATTGGAAATGTAAATGATAGTGAGGAGATGTTGCAGGAATAAAGTCATCAAAGACTGCATGGCAGAATTAGTGATCTCTTAACCAAAATATTAAACAGAGCACATGTCAGTAAATCCATAGCAGAGTCAGCGTAAAGAGAAACTGCAGAAGATTGAAAGTGCTGATTACAAGCTTGCAGTATTCACTACTTCAAATCACTAAAAATGAAACATAAGTTTTTATTTTAAATATACTGATAAAAATATCTCCATCCACTTTACTCCATGCATGTTAGAAAAACGTGAAGTGAGACGCAGGTTCACTGAAGAGAAGAACAGGCAGAGACACCCTTCATGCAGAAAGCATTAACTTTGAGTCTACAAACCTGTTCTTGTCAGGCTGGTTCCATCCAGCCTAAAACCAGCTTTATCTGCTGCTGCAACCAGTGCTTGTGCAAAACTGCCGCTGGTAAAGATCGAGTCATCTGAGGAGCTACCTACACTAGATCTATGACTAGAAAAGTTACGGTCCTCATCAGACGCAGAACCCCATCCATTTACCATTGAACCTAAAAACAAATGTAGGGGGTCTAGTGAGTTGTACATGTTTGATATTTTTTTGATCATCTAAATCTTAAAGACCCACTTAATATATTCTTACTCCACAGGAAACCCAAAGGTTGGCTAACAGAGCTTGATATAAAAGCGCACTATAAAAGCTAACCGGGATCTCATTCATAGTTTGCATTGTGTAACTGTCACTTTGTAAACCAAATAATACATATCCCCTACACACATATAGATGCCATAATAAACTCTTTTGAATGTTAAAAGATTTTTCCTGGGATTGACAGTAATGTGATTTTTTTTTTTTTTAACTTCATTTATTATAAAGCAATATCTACCTTCATTTTTGCAAAAAATCTTACTCTGGGACACCACAAGTCTAAATCTCATCAGGTATGGCTGACGTCAGACCTGGGCTTCAAGAACATTCTGAAGCATTATGCCATTTTCTCAACCAAAACTTTAAAATAGATGAGCAATCTTAGTGGCCCAAACAAAACTGATGGAAAACAATCCATTTTACAGAATTGATTTCTCTTTTTTAAAAGGTTAGAAACAGATGCTCAAGAGTAGACCAAACACGTTCTTGAATACTGAGTCATGCAGGGAGCCAATGCAGACCTCACCATATCCTAGCTATAGATCACCACCACTGCAGGAGAGGAAAGCAATAATAACATCAAAAAATGGAACCAGGAAAAAAAAAAAAAGAAAAAAAACATGACAAAAATGTAGAAATCTTGACATAATTAAAATATGAAGAACAAAATACTATGAGTAGGATTCATATTTTCCACTCTTCAATTATATTTTCTTTTACTTTTTTGCACAGCAGAAAGAACCGATTAACTACCCAATATGACAATGCAACATATATTTTCCAAAACTATCAATGGGTTTGAATTATTTCAAAGTACCAAAATTCAATGATTACAGATGGAGTTGATAGTGCTCTGTACTTCTGAAAATCATCATAAACGACACTGTATAGTTTTACAGTGTCCAGTAGAGCATGAGGTGAAGAATATTCAGCCACCACCAACTACCTAGCTTTTCTCCAGGTGCAGAGCAGACATACTAACGAGTTACCAACTCTAGCTAAAGTGCAGAGCTACCAGAATGCTTCTGGGACCTGAATTACTGCATGGCATTGTGTGGCACCATGTAGACACAGAATATTGTTCTGAGACAGCAAAGTTGCCTCTTCATCTTAAAATATCTGAAGGTTGCTTTTTAAAAAGTGACATATTGAGAAAAATCCCAGTGAACCAATGAAGATCTGTTTTCCAAGATATGACAACACTTGTGGAGAGATAAATCATGGACCTGACTTAACAATTTCTTTAGCACAGGTGAATTTATGTCAATATACCTAAGATGAACAATGGTATCAGTATGTTCTTCAAAGCTTTTTTTAAGAGTTGTCCAGGAAAGTATTATTTTGTTAAAAATCATTAATTATTAAATCAATACTGACTTGCTTATGCTGCATTACAAAGCCTAAGAACAATGGATTATTTTGTGATGCTGCAATGACTGAATCCTTTGATGTCAGCAAAGTGGCAGGCTATAATAACTCCACGCACTCCTAAGATACAAAAAAAAAAAAAAGAAACTGAAGAGGTCTATGGAGGTCTGACAGGCAGAAAGTGTGTTAAGTGCAACAGAGAGTGACAGAGTTAGATTCTGCTTGCCAAGAGCACACACAGAATTGTTATTTTCCAAACAGACTTGACCTGATGCAGACAGATGTAGGAAAGTCTAGACAGCAGCAAGGGAAGGCTGAAGCTGAATTTCCTTGAGAAGAGGAACAAACTGAACTAACAATCAAAGTGTGATGGAACATCAGAGAGAATGAGGAGCAAAGTCTTAGCAACAGTTATTTGCTGATGTATGAAAAGAGATACTAGAGATAAAACACTTCATGAAGATGTAAGAAAATGAAATGCTATAGCTGAGAACATTTTCAAACAATTGCTTATCAACACATTCTGCAAAATATGTAAGCAGAAGCTGAAACATAAAAATATAACTAGATTCACAGATATCAAAGGAAGATATTCAGGTGCTGAAAATGTATGATGCATTTTGTTAGTTCCATGGCCCAAGTATTTTATACATTCTACTCTGTAGATACATGAAAATATATACTGAATAGGAAATGTATGAGCATACATATGTTTTCTGTATCTGTAGAAAAAACAATGGATATTTTCAATGACATTAAGTTTGAATTTTCATTTGCTTACGTTGCTATGCTAACCACTTACAAGTTACACAGCAAGTTATAAACATGATTGTTTGGATTGAATACTTTTGGGGTGTATCTAGGAGCAGTTGCTATATTCCATCTGCTCTTAGAAGGATTTAATCTAGTTTTAAAAAAAATCCACTTTTGAAAAGTGCAATAGACTAAAAATCTGCACAAGTTTATAACGCTCTCTCCAGTGAGTGTTTATGCACTTACCTCTCTACACACACATAGCCATGCCAGATTTTCTTAACAACACCTACCTATCAATGATCTTAATGATCAGTGAAGCACTGCCATCAGACTCCCAATTTTTCAAGCAACCCTTCAGGGATCTGTTCCTGACCTCCTGACCTCTCAAGGACAGCAAACACCAGCTAAGCTAGGAACAGGTGCCCTGCCCGTGCTGTTGAACACAGCAGCTCAGTCCTTGCACAGACATGAGCTGTACTGGAGGAGGACTTCAACACAGCCAACAATTTAAGCAAACAATGATGTTACTTCTGGTTAGTGGACTGTAAGCTGAAGAAAAGCTCTTCAAAACTGCTCAAGTCAGCAAGTTAACCATGAAATCTTCACATTTTTTCCACTGGTTCCTGAGCTATTAAGTTTCCCTATTTGTTCTTTTTTTCCTCAGCAGCACTCTGTCTTTGTTTGTCCTCCAGAAGCACAGACATGGCTCAGTGGACACAAGCCTGCTTCAGCCCAGGCCAGGCCTCTCATACCTCTATGCAACTGCCTTCATATTATGTGCAAGGGGAAGCCTTCCCTAATGGCATCTACCAGCCTCTTGATTTCCCCAATCAGGCACACTTTTGTTTTTCTCTGAGTAAAGGCAGCATAAGAGATGCTGACATCTCTTTCAGATCAACTGTGTATTTTCAGATGGAATGAAATAGGCTTTTAGTGTCTCCTTTACATGCAGCTCACTGTGTGTTCTCCAAGAATGCATTTGAGTTTTTACGCTTTTTGGCAACTGTAAATTTTACTCTTGCTGACAGCAGCAGTAAATGCTTTATGTGGAACAAAATCAACTCTGTGAAATGTTGAACTCTGTTTTCTTGCTCCATAAAATATCTCTTGGTGCTAATGCAAACAGAAAGCTTCTTGCTCTCAGGGAAAGGTGAAGGAAATAGAGGTGCCAGCTCCTTGTAGGCTGCATGCTATAGCTTTTAGTGGCATTTTGCCTACAATTAAAACACTACTTTTTCTTTGGACGGTGTAATCTTGCTCTACTTAAGGTAACAAAAAGTCTAACGCTTGTGAAACAAGATCTGCTCACAGCAAACCTAACATTTTTGAAAATTCCACATAGTACTTCTCTGCATACACAAAAATCTACATGCTTAAAGATGATAACTGATGTCACTGGGACTTGTATGTGTGTGCTTCTATGCTTTCTTTCTTAAAAGCACAGAGCACATGCTAACATTGCATGCCTCCTCCTCGGCAGGCATTCTGGTGGAACATGACCAGGCTGCTCAGGTTTGTCAGATGTGGATGAAGTCCCCAGGAGCTGATGCTGAAATCTTCCAGCCCATGTACAAGAAGAAGGCATTCATCTCCTTTAGGTCATAATTATAAAGAAAGAATGACCACTAATTTTAATGGAAGTGATTAAATAAAAGGGAGCAACAGTCATTGTGTCATTAGATAAAAAAGAATAATGGAAGGTGCTGAATGCAGAATATAAATAAGATCATACTTCAAAAAATTGACTTGAGCTTATACTTTACAGCATACTTCCTCAGAGATGCCCCAAATATTAACCATATACACCTGAAATAAACACTTCTTTGAGAGAGAAAGGGGGAAGTGGTGTTAAACTCTGAGTAAGTGGAGTCAAAACATATATATGTATCTGACACTTCAGAAGTCCAAGCATAATTAATGCTTTTCATAACCATGTAATGAAAAATGAATTTACGCCACTTAACCAAATTTATCTATGTTTACATTTTCAATCTTTCAAGATTTTTTGGTTTCCATATTGCTGAAAAACACAACAAAAATCTCAAATTTATTCAAGCTGTTAGAAAAGAAATGCACCCAGAACATTAAGTAGTTGCTCAATGCAATAAAATACTATGATAAAGTGGCATCTTGCTGTGTCTCTATTACTTCTTCAACACTAAAATTAATTTATGATCAGTCATCAATTCATTTACATGTCATTTTATGCTAAATCCATCCTTGCTGATGAATGCATATCCCTAGATCCATTAAGCTAGAGCAAAGTCTGTGCTTTATAATATGACCCTGCTAATTGTTGCATTACCATTTTTATGAGATACAAAAACTACCAGTTTCCTATTTTCTGCGTACATATTTAATCCATGAAACACATTCTTTCTATTAAATGCAATCTCTCTAACTGCCTGCTTATAAAATAGAATCTTCTGCAATAGGCATTCCTATCAAAATCAATACAAATATTGAACTCTGCCTTGATAAAATATGGCTCACCAAAATGATTTTCTGCAATTTTCAAGAATTATTCCATTTGTGTTCAGATGCAATGAATGAACAACTTTTACCATCCAGTGATCACTAATTCTTTTAATCAAGACTGAAACACATCAAGTAAGAGATTTTCTTCCTTGCTAAGTTATACATCCTATGGCAATCTTAATAATTTCAAATCTACATAATTTTATTAAAAAGAAAACAGTTTTGTTATACATATGCACTGGTACTCTTCACAAGAATATCACCCTCCTTCTATCAGTGAAGTAGGAAAAAAGCCTGTTCTAATGTCCATGTTAGTCAATGGGTTTCTCTCTCCCCTCAGTAAGTTACTGTGTATTAAAAGTCAGTAGAAATTTTGCAGCTGCTCTTCAGGGTTTTGTTAGTTTGCTTGTTGTTTGGTTTTGTCTGGTTTTGTGTTTGCTTGTTTCTTTAAATCAGAATCAGGAACTTAGCACCCTAGCAAACCATGCTGGGAACAAATCAAAATGTGGGCTTTACTTTCTTATTTTGACCCACAAACAGTCAAACCTCCTTGAGTTTGCTTTGCAATATCTGGAAAATGTTAAGATACTGTGCATTCCTCCTTGCTTTTCATTCTGTTATACCTGTCAACATTATGTCTCTGCCACCTGCAAAGAGAAAACCTTAATAGTGTAGATTAAATCCCTGTCTGAATCTTCAGTTAGCTGTAACTAAAACTCAGGAGCTTGGAAGACAACTGATTTTTAAACACTTTATAGAAGCTACGCTATGTTTGTAGTGAAATTTAGCAGTTTGAGCTTAGTTCACCCAGTGCCAGCATTTCCCCACTGAGAATCCTACTTTTGGTATTGGATGAAAAACTCAGCTCAGCTGTGAAAAACAAAGTACCATTGCACTCCAGGACTGGGTACCTTCAAGTCATCACTGAGGCATGCTAATATCCTGCTCACCCTACAGTAACTCTGTCAACTCTATTCTGGGCAAATCTGGATCAAGGAATGCCAACTTAGTTTTCATACAGACACTGAACTCACAGGACATGCTTAAAAATGTACACAAAAACGGCTTCTTTAAGGTTAGCTGTTCTCATTTCTCTCAGATTTTTAATGTTTAAAGTAAAAACAAACTATGTCAATTCCTAGGAAGATGCTGGTTTAAATCATCAAAAGCCCTGTAAAAAGCAGCTTTTATTTTCTCAGTTGAAGAAAAAACAATTTAGTTCTTCAACAGTATTCTAAAAGCAATCAAGTTAAAGAAAGAGAAACAGCTTAGAAACAATGGATGCAATTTCTTTTATTGCCCTCTTTAACACTAGCAAATGCAGCCTGGATAGGTTAGCAGAAACAGATGCACAAAATTAAAATTCTCCTTTGAAACAACTCCCCTAAATAAAATAAGCAATTTCCTTCCATCTCCTAATAAAAAAGCAAGCCCAACTCAGAAAATTGAGGTTTTGCCCACATAGTAACTAAGAAAAACAGAAGTAGGTTTTTTTTATTCCAAGAGTTTGCAATTTTATAGATCATTTAGAACACACTGGATGTATTTTTGCAAGGTTATAGTTTCATAAATGTTTTATGTCAATCTAAGTGTTGGCTGTAAGCTATTGGAGTAGCCTGTCATTTTGCTTCCTTTCCGGCTGCACGGTCCCCTCCTGCAGTACTAGCAAACACATTGCCATGCAGTGAACCAGATCGAGGAACAGATCCAGATAGGAATTAAACAAGCAAAGAAAAGAAAACAAAAGGAAAACCTTAATTTTCAGCTAGATGAACCAAGATCATGGTGATGGTGGGAACAAGTGGGTGTGAATTTGATCTCTTTGCATGCATTCCCAGCCTACATTACCAGGTTCTGTTCAATTTCTTCCAAAAAAAAAAAAAAAAAAAACCACATCAGTTTTTTTATACCCCAATAACCGAACTACTCTTACAACTAAGAAGAAAAAGCTTGATTCTTATTTGTAAAAGCATAAACTACAATGGGCACAGAAGTCTTTGAATCAGAACAGAAATACAGCTAATCCTTACTTTGCATGAGGTAGGTTAGTCCAAAATATTAGGGGAAAATGTAGATGTGCAAAACACTAATTTCCTGATTAACAGTTATATCAGCATTGACATCTTAATACATATCAAATGGAAAATATATGGCAACCTGTTTGTTTATTTCTTTAGTTATTTCTGTTTTACTGATGTAAAGCCCTTACTGCATTCCTAATGGAAACAGTTCTGAGCCATTAGCAAGATATGCAAAAATATGCAGAATTATAGCCTGAAGGAGATTACACTAGAAATTCAGGCAAAGTGACTTAACATACTCATGTGCTAATAAGTTAACCTTCTGGATTCAGGGATTTAAACTTTAACTCTACAGTCTTCAGTTGGACCTGAGTTTCAAATCACAGCAGTAGAGCTACAGTTCTTAAGTCTTAATTAGATTGGCAAGCAGTCTGGCCCTAGGGTGAGCTAAAAGTCTGGAAAGTGGGATAAAGCAACACACTATTTAATTCAACAAGGGAAAAGAAAGGAAATTATAAGTATTGATGCTCCATTACTGTCATATTCCTGCAGTGTTTTCAGAATAATAATGTTTAAATAAGGAAGCAGAACCCTTGAAATTTCCAAAGTTCACAACAAGGAGAAGAAAATAAGCTGTGCTGTTTTAGTAATGCCTTAGTAAGCCAGTCTCTTTGCAGGTGCAATTAACAAGCTAGTGTTCTTCCATAGAGCTCCAAGACTGAAGAGGCACCCACCAGCTGTCAGGAACTATGGGTACATCTGGATCTGCAATAAACCTGAACATTATGTATACAGTACATCATATAGAAGCCCAAGTCCAGCCTTGGGAGACTCCTAAGTCCAAGTCCATTCCTAAGGGAATTTGGAGTTACCTTAAAAAGTTCAATGTGTCCATATAAAGTCTCCATTAAAAAAAAAAAAAAAAAGCATATATTTCACTGCCTGTACTTCATCAACAGCAATTTTATTTATTCAGATTCTGTACATTAGTTTATCATACTTCTCTAGGTCCCCTTTGATGATTCCTGTTGTAACTTTCCAATGTATGCAAAGAGCGAAAAGCAAAGATGTATCAGAATAATTAAATACCTCAACTGAAAGGGAACAATTACTAAATTCTTCAACACAAAGTAGGCTCAAAATACACTTTTTTTTCCAACATAAATGTTATATTACACTACAACTAGATGTTGTGCTGATCTAACTAACTATGCTTATTTTGAAGTCTTCTAATTTCTTCATGTTCATCTGTGAAAGCATTTACCCAGCAAAATATCTGAAAATTATTTAAGATAACATTTTTATGCTGCTCCTGATGTATGAAACATATATTCCAAAGCTGAGGTCTTCCCTCTCCTTTTTATGTAACTGGTTTGCTTCTCCAGTAGAGTGAACTTTTCATGAAAGCTAGGATATAATTGAGTTTTCTTTTGACTCTTTAAAGCTTTTTAAAATTCATGAATTTTCTTATCATTTTGCAGCAACACAAAGTATTTTCAAATCCTTCTTTAACTTAGCATTCAATATTAACGCATTTTAAATGTTACAGAAATAGAGTGGAATAAATTTTCACTTTAAAAGTGTTTGTTCGGTGATGTATTTTCCTGTGAGGAACAAGCTGGTGTTAGTGTTTACTGTGTTTGGTTACCTGTCACAGAGCTGTCTAAATTGTCCATACTGGAGCCTGGAGTATGCTCTAGACCTCTCAGTGGCCTATTGATTTCTAGAGTTTCTTCTTCGATATCATCCTCATCATCGTCTGGAACATCTGTTTCCAAGTCTGAAATAAGGTTTCCAGATACATATCCGAGGGGTGGAACTGGTGCCTGAGGAGGTTGTGTATTGCTTTGGATGTGCCTATGCAAACAGACAGGAAAAGGGCAACAGAATGGATGAGAGTTTGTACTTTGTGGTCAGTAGAAGATAAGCCTCTCGATAAGCCTGAAACAGATTTACAAAACATGCTTATTAGCTCAAATTCAAGAAAAATCAGTTCAGTTATTCACCATAGCAGAGTATCTGCACACTTTTCAATATTACATATACTACCCCTCCTATAAAACAGGAAAGGCTGAGATTGTCCTTTAATAGGTGAGGAACTGATGTACTGATGGAACTGGGTAGGAAGTCCATGGAAAAGCACAATTCCAAATCCCAACCCATTATATGAATGTCTAACCTTACATTTCACTTTGCAAATCAGGCATTTGAGCCAAAATTAAATTTCACACCTCTGGCTGAATAGACTCAATGTTCTGTTGTAAAACTCACCCTGAAGAGAAGGAAATGGCCTATAGGACAGAAGAAATTTTCAAGTCCAATGAGTCCATTATCAAAAAGGAGGTTTCACTTTACTTATAGTAGTTTAATTGACTTAATTGCAGCAGTATTAGGGAACACATGATTACTGCATGCAATTAAAAAAAAAAAAAAAGGAAAAATAAAGTTAAAAAAAACATCCACAGAATGATTACACAACCAAAGCCAAGCACTGGGTTTGGAGTTTCACTTATATGATTCTCTCAGAGGAAAACAACCATCAGCTTTCATTGCAGCATCTTCTACAGCGCTAGAGGTACACAGCAAGCTGTGCTGGAAGACCCAGACATGACTGGCCTTGGCATAAGTGTGCGTATGGGGCTTGAATTTGCTATTTCAGCCACGTGAGAGCCCTTGGATATCTGTTCATGAGGTGCTGTGACCTGATATCAATTGACAGAATTCTGGACGGGATCCAGGACTCCGCTGGTCTTATGCTAGGACACCAGCATAACAGAGAAAATTACAAATGTCACCTGTTTGGCTACCTAGCTCTCATACATTTTCACTGAGCTTCTGCTGCTGTTTTATTGCCTACATTTCATAAGTACGGTAATTCTCCTTATTCAAACAGTCGTTCTTTTTTTTTTTTCTCATAATGTTACTCTATTGCATCAGAGAATGTCATGTTATGTTGGAATCTCTTTCCACCTTTGTGTGTAGGCTTTAAATTGTTGCTTAATCTGAAGCTTATTTGCAGAGCAGAGACTGTGTTTCTAATATACAACCTCTTTCTGATTAACAGCTCTTGAGTATTTTTCTATCTGGACACCAGAGTCTTGGCTATGCAGTATTCAAAACACTGTGCTAAAGGGCACTGTGATCTAACACCCTCAATAAACAGCGTGATTAGCTCCCCATCAAGCAAAATACTTAAGTATATGCTTAATGTTAAGCATGTGATAGAACAATTGAAGTCAATATCTCATGTACTTGTAGTTAAGCATATACTTAAGTGATTTGCTGGATCGAGGCCATAATGATTACATACTTTTCTAGTAATCTAGTAATGTGCTTTTAAATTCCTAATTGGCTGGTTTCTAAATATCTCTTCAGTTACTCCTACAGTAATCTGATAGGTCTCATCTTGTTTTTTCTTTCTATACTGGATAGACTAAACTTGAGAAAGAAAAACAAAGAAATCTTCCTTCCCACTTCAGGCAGTGGAGGATTTTCCTCTGACTTTGAACAGCCTTTGCTAGACCCTTTGGCAGCATGGTGCATCTCCAGCCAACCAATCAGAAACCACCTGTATTTGCAGCTCTCAATATATACCCCTAAACCTGCAGTAATAACCTAGCATGAAAATACAGGTTTTTAACAGTATTATTTTTCAGAATTCCATGTGCAATTACTATGTCCTTAACAGGAGAGTGATGTTAAAATCTCCATATTCCTAAGTATATTCCAAAGTAAAAAATCTGTATATTACTATCCCTGTTACGAAAGTCCCTGATCAGTTTTCATTTTTGCAGATGACATTTCCTGTCAGCTGCTAGAGGCTCTGCCACTGCACCCTGTCTCGTTACCCGCTACCAGTCTGGTGCCTGCACTTTGCAGGGTGTAGAAAGTGTAACAGCTGCAAAATGCAGCAGCATTGCCTGTGCATATAGGACATGTATCTGGGAAGCCAGCCACCTTTAGCTGGCCTAGTTTAGCTGCTGCCTGGGATTTGGGTCTGTCCCACAGTAAGCTGGGCTCCGTGTTTGGCAGCATGGCACTGTGGTGGGACCAAAGTGCCCTGCTGATCGAGTGTGGATTGCAGAGAAGCCTTCAGGCTTCGACAGAGTCCAGGGAAAACAGCTGGCCTTGATTTGGCATGGCCTTCCTACCTACCTGGTCTATTTATGGTAGCTCAAGCTGAATAACTTTGCGACTTTATTTAACAGTATGGAAAGCTGCTTCCCTTCTGGCAGCGTGCCACTCGATAACTAGCTTCACTTCTGTCCTCTGAGAGTCTCAAGCTTTGTCTGGATAAAAACGTTTCTAAAGGACAGCTGCCTCTTAGGGAACATCCAGAAGGCAACTGACCTTCACTGCATCCCCTTCTGGTGCAGATGACAAGTTCCCTTTACAGTCCCCAAAGAGATTGCTTCTGTTTGTTTTACAGGGGAAATGTTACTGTGGTATTTGCTTGCTCTTCTCTTAAATAGGCATAAAGCACTCTGAAACGCAAGATACACTCTGTAAATTCTAACCTCCTTCAAGTCTTTTCTGGGTTTTCCCCATGTATCAGAAATTTTCCCGGTGTTTCAAAATACAGCCAGATGTACAAATGCATCATTCTCATGTGATAAAGAGTAAAAGCTGCTACATTGCTATTTCAAGTAATTAACATTATTTTTAATCAGAGCTTTAGTCATTCATTATTTTTGAAAATTCTGTAAAAATCATGTCTTCTGCTAGCCTGAGAACATTGTAAATGGCATACAATTTGTGAGTAGGTGGGTGATAACTATTCAGCATAAGCAAAACTCCAGAAGAATATCATTTTTTTTTTTGTCTTTTTAGTCAAGTATTATGATTTAAAAAGCATATTTCAATGTTTATGGCCTTTGCACTACAGATACAGTTTTGCTATTTCCTGTTCATTTTATAGTTTTGTAAACATTAGCAAAATGTTAAACAGAATTGATATTTGTATCACTCAGGAATAGATTAATACTGTGTTTTCATTTCCCAGACTGCAAGTTTCCCCTTCAAACATTTACCATGTCTGCTTTGCTATATCAAATTGGTAGGCCCTGGTTAATTCATCAAGGTGGGCTTGAAGCATTGGCTGCATTTCCTCTCGTGGAGAAGGCGTGAGTGTTGCAGTTGATTGTTGCCCAAAGGAGATCGCAGGTGATGAAGCTACTCCTCGCACAGGAGGTGTGGGAACACGATCATCGTCTTCTTCAAGCTCATCCTCCATGCCCTGATGGAGGTAGGTCTGAACAGGCAAGGGTGGACACCAACCATCACTGTCATATCTAAAATAAAAACCAAGTAAACTTAGCATATGTCAAATCTGAGCTCTGAAGTGCAGCAGCAGGCATACAAGGTTTTTACTGCAGTTTGATTCCTCACACACAGTGAGTTTTATTGAATGAGTGAATTAATTAATTAATAACTTTTATTGAAAATAAGGTCATACTTGCTTCAGTTCTCCTTAGTGATTCTGTTTAATTTTTCCCACAACTGCTAAGCAACTTGAGTAAGATGTGCAACAAAAATAATCACAGATCCATAATCACATTTATGATGGTGATAACATTCCTCCACAATCAGCTACAAAAATTAACTCACCTTCTCAATCATTAACCTAGGAGAATGTATTGAAGATTGACCTAGACATGAAAATAGGAGCATTCTTAAAAGACAGGGTGAGCTTTATAGGTAGTGACTTGTATCCAGAAGAAAGTCTGGATCACACAATCACAGAATGGCTTGCGTTGGAAGGGACCTCAAAGACCATCCAGTTCCAACACCATACTGTGGGCAGGGTAGCCACCCAGCAGATCAAGCTGCTCAATAATCCACCAAGCTTGGCCTTGAACACTTCCAGGGATGGGACATCCACATCTTCTCTGGGCAGTCTGTGCCAGTGCCTTACCACTCTCTTGAGTGAAGTTCTTCACTCAATATCTAACCTAAACCTCTCCTTTTAGTTTAAATCCACCTCCTCCTTATCCTATCACTATCTACCTGCATAAAAAGTCAGTCTCCCTCTTACATGTAAGCTCCTTTCAAGTATTGGAAGATCACAATGATCTGTACTTATGCGCTTCCTCACATCCACCTCCCCCTTTATTTGTCTGCAAATTTACTATTTGTTTTTAGTTTGTAGCCTCTATAAAAAGAAACACTTTCCACACAGTTTCCTCACTCTGTCTTTCTACATAGTATATATGTATCTACCATGATGTGTAATACATTTATGCAGCACTTGCCTTAGGCATATGCTATGCAGCTGTGCCAACAATAAGATACACTTAATGCACAAGTTGACAGCTCTGACAGCACCCCACATCCTAACCAGACTTTTCAGGGACTTACCTAGACAGTGCTAAATTTCTGAATACTTCCAATACAGCTCTTCAAAGTACATTAAAAGGTTAACAACCACCAATACTCTTCCACACCAAATTAATCTCTCCTCATATATATATATATATATATATATATGTTCTAACAGGCATTACATTTATCTGGTTCTATTTTTGATCTTTCATCTGGGGGTTAAGAGATGAAGCTATATCTGATCAGGATTAGAAACAGATGTTTTATATTCTTATGTAAGCTTTGCCAGATATTCAATCCTTTCCTGTCCTTGGCTTCATCATGGACCTTTTGAGTTCGAGTTATTATAGTACCATTCTAGGACCCTGTCCTTTAGAGACATCATCACTAACCAAAACACATAGGTCCTACTGCCTGTTCCTATAGCTGAAGCACTGCTTCTCCAGAGCAATGCTCTAATCCAAACACATGTTCTGCTGAGCACACTTCTGCTAACAGAACTCAAATCTCAACGCTATCTGTTCTTCCCATCTTCTGCACGTTCAGCCAGTCTCCAATCCCTTGAGTGTCTTCTTAACTCCCAGTGTATTCCCAAATACCTCAGGATAGAGAGCTCTTTTGAAAAAACAAGTAGACAACCAAAAGCTCTCACAGCTCCTTCACTGTCAAATCATCTCATACCCTGAAGGCCATTCCCAAGCATCATCTAAGTCACTTTTCAACTTCAAGGTCTTCAGACAGTGTACACTTTTGGTCTCAATACTGCAAATAACACATTGAGATTAATTTCTTGAAGTAATTTAAAAATACTCCTTTAAGGTTCCTTGTTTTGTAGGAATTATCAATTTACCTGAGAAAAATGAATCACTGACAGTTTTCTCATGTGAGGAGCTGGGTTTCAAAACAGCTGAGAACACTGAGACAGAGAAGTTTCATAACTCATATTACGAACAGAAGATTTGCTTTAAGCAAAAACGAAGATTTCTAAAATTAACTAAATGCCTTTTCCATTTTTCAAAAGTAGGCCATACTTAAAATTACAGATTCAGGACAGCTAAATATCTGACTGAAAGAGCTGAAAGCCTGTGGAAGATGTAGCTTGTAATTAAAGCTGGTATCATTTTAAATTTATATTTAGATGTAACCATGTGCAGATATGCAGAAATATGTATGTGTACAGAGGGACAAATGAATGCTGTGTCTTAACACTAGGTATTAGGAGCTATTGGATGATTACCTGTTCTCACAACAGAGAGTTTAAAGAAAATGTTAATGTACATTAAGTTCCTTAGGAGACAGTCTATTAATAGCTTTAACTTGTCTTTCCTTGCCATATTCACTCATGACATTGACACCTGAAGGTGAGGAGACCATCCTAACTCATGCTGTTAAAAATCTGCAGTGCAATAACTCTGTTACTCTCTTTCAACCTCATGCTTAAGTGCAATAGCATCTTCCTTAAAAGGGATAGGGCTGAAAGAGACTCCTTAGTGACTTTACAGTAGTGCATAAATGAGCTTTGGAGGCATTAGCCTTTTGACCCTGCTTGTTTCAAATCCCCAAATGTTCAGCTTGACAGTCTATTTCTTAACAAAAAGATTCTGCACAAGTACAGTATTTTCAACTAGTTTTTTTTTTTTGAAATAGAGAGGATCCTAAGCCTGAAGCTCAGGACAATGAGATTCAAAATCTCAGGTATCTTTACAACGTAATGTCTGAAAAGTCACCAGCTCTAGCATTCAATTTACCAAAAATAAATCTGAAAGAAAAAGCAAGCAAAACTAAAAGAAGACATTGTGACTGCATCTCATACAAATTATACAGTTATTTAAACTTCTGGAACTAGCACAGTGAATATTGGTCACATCCATGTTTTTTTTCAGATCCTTGGGTAAATACAACTCAGAAAAAAATGCACTCAACTTTTTCAAGTACTTCTTATTAAATCTAAAACCCTTAATTTCATTAGGAACATCTGGTTGTAATTTCATGATGATTAATTTTAAGTCCAGTTGACAAAAATGAATATGTTTCTAACAATTTTTATTTTAATATTAGCAGATTTATTTTATATTCATCTTTTTCTCTTTGCTAGTTTATTTCACTTTTATTTCATATCAGGGATTCTTCTTCAAAATTAAAAAGTACAAGTGATAGATAAAGGAAACATTCTAAAGGAATTCTGTTTCAGTACACAAATTGTTGCAGGAAAAAAAAAAATCCTTCTCTAGGCCTTAAAAGAAAGTATTTTGTTTATACAAAATGTATTATCATCTATACATGCTCTCAATAGATACGTTTCTAAGTAATTTTACTATCATGCACACTAACAACCAGCAGCTAATGCTCCATTTCAAGTTGTAATCAGTAGTAGGAAATAAAAATAACCAATCATAATTGTGGTTGGCTTAAGATCATGCATATTACTGGTGAAAAATACAAAGAGATGATGAAGAATAATAAATAAACATTTCCTTATTGTCAAGTGTATAAGATAAAACCAAGCAAAAGCATCTTCTCTAAAAAAAGCTAAAAAACAAAAGGAATGTTTGACTGACAAAACAGTAATTTCAAAGACTGTGAAGTATGTGCAAGTGGAAGGGCAAGGAACAAGCAGAGAGTCTTAGAAGGCCAAGAAAAAGGGGGAAATTTCACAGGAATGAGTTTGCTAGGGAAACAGCACTAATAAACAGACTTTCTTCACAGGTTGAACTGGAATTAAGTATATCCCCAAATCTACCATGTTGCTTACAATGACTGCTTGGATTTGCATGTACATCTTTTGTTATACTTGTTGAAGTTTATGGAAAAATAGGCGTGAATATAACAACCTTGATTCTTCTGGGGAGAAGACAGTAAAGAGATTCAAGAGTTGTTTTTTTCTTCCTTTTATGTTTAAGTGACACGACTGCTGTTCTTTCTGAAAGACTGCTTTTCTGTCATTGCTACTGTAGATTGTTTCCTATAATTTATTAACCAGAAAGACACTAATGTTGATTTCTAATACATAAAATAAGGTGTCAAAATTGTTTAGTTTATTTGGGATACTCATGCCCACAAAATTCACACTTGAATTCAAGAATCATAGGAAGAGATGCACAGAAAAATGAGTATTTACATTCCAAATTCCTTGTTTTATTGTTCTTAATAATCACTTTTCATATCACACTGTGAGAACTTTATTAAAGTTTTTAGTTTTTCTGACTAGAAATTCATTTTTCAAATGTAATTCTCAATATATGTATGTTTGCATATAATTAATTCTGAAGTTAAAACACAGTGAACTTGTCATACATAGTATATATCAGAGAAAAGGAAAACAAAACAGTTTAAACAATTAAAAAGAAAAGCATTTTTTACAACATTAATGGAAACATAATGGAAACATAAGGAATGCAGTCTGTGATGAATTCCATTTTAGCATTTTGAAATCCACAGAAACAACATCAACCCCCTGAATACAGAATGGCCATTACTAATAGGTAGGGTTCAGTGAAGCTTTTTGCAAATTACTGTAGCTTAATACTGACACTGTAAGTCTAATCTTTAGTTCTATATTTGTCCTTGACTTGTAAAATACACATTAGAAGATCTTGTTATAATCACTCTTAATGAGATACCATTTAAAAAAAAAAAATACACCAAAAAAAAACCCCACCAAAACAAACCAACACATAAAAGAGTAATTTAAAAGATAAGGAAAAAACTGAATTGGTAGGAACCTGCAAGACTGGTGATTACCTTATTCTTAAATACAAAGTGTTGTCTTGGTGACCAATGTAATTTCTTCTGGCAAGATAACAGATATTTTATGCAACTGAGAAGTGAAGCTCTGTGTCACAAGGGATTTCTCTGGATGGTGTTTCCATTTAATTTTTATGCTATTTCATTGTCGTTGAAGAAAATCTGAGTTGATCACCTTCTATAGCTTAATTATTTTAATGAAGTGGCTCAACGTATGTTTTAAGGACATAAACTGATAATTACAAATACTAGACTGCTAAACCATCTTGAATTTATTTTATTTTTATATCAGATACAGAAAAAATGTTTATATGAACTTCTTCTTCTTGATATTTCAAAAAATATTTACAACCAGTAAGTTTGCTCATTTTCCTTGATATTTATTTTGGAATTCTATCTCTAATATAGCCTTCATTTTAAAAGGAACTCCACTAACATACAGTTAGCTACCACTCGTTTTAAAAGTCAAAAAATAACCTTTAAATCTTCTGATTTTCATCATAGAAGTACTTATAAAAGAGATAGCACTTGAAATATTTTTATTTAGTATAACTATTAAAACAATTTTTAAAACATATACCTCATCATTAGGAAATATTGATTATTCCATATATTTAAGCAGGTAGATTTGTCCCAGAAGGAACTGCAGTGATTCTCATAGGCGCCAACAGAGTTGATCACAGTAAACTATTTTTCTGATTTTCCTCCAGAGTTTGATAATCTGCAATTTCATATAATTTCACTTCATAGAAAGCATTCCATAGCTGCACTTTGTGTAGAAAATGTCTCTTTCCTCTTATTGCTTTTTATGTGATTTTTTTTTGTCCTTGAGAATAAGTTTATGATATTCAAAGATAAGTGAAAGGTTCCAGAGTCTCAAGAGTAGTTTAAATTAAAAAAATACCTACAAATTTCCTCAACTGTGAAGGTTCTTCTAAATGGCAATGAGAAGATTACTACCAACTGGTTGATCTTTTAAAATCAATACAATTTTATATGTATTTTTTGTTCTGTTGCATCAGACAACAGAAAACAGGCAACATCAAACCAGTGAAAAAATACAGTCCATATTATGTCATCCTTACTCACTAAGTCCCATAATCTACAAGCAGCTCCCAACAAAATTCATCAGGCTAACTGTGAAGTGAGAAAAAGTCTCAGCATGAGTAAGCAGAGAAACCCTACATGCTGATGAAACAAGGTTGATTTTATTTCCATCTTCATTCGCTCTCATGAGAAGCTAGTCACACAGTCCTCCTCCATAGCCTTCAATAAGTCTATACGAAAAGGTGTTTTCTTTTTTAAAACAAAATAGAATAATGTTGTCATTTGGAAAAAACAAAAAACAAAAAAGAAACCAGAAGCCTCATCTCCACAAATCACAGACTTTTCTTCAAAAGAAAAAAGAAGAAAATTACCCTGCTTCTTGTTGATCTACCCCGTAGTGTTCCAGCTCTGTGCCTGGGAGCGGTTGCACAGGAGGGGGTGGGAGGGGAACACTGGCCCAGTTTGAACCATTATTTTTCTGAGGCTTGGCAGTATTTTTGCTTTTCTTCTTTTTCCCTCCTTTGCCACCTGCAAATCCAAAAAGAAAAATAAAATTTTTGAGATATAATGTGAAAAAAGGTAGGGTTTTAAATTTTTTTAAATAGAATTGTGATTCCAGATGGCATGCCCCAAAACAGAAGATACATTTATGTCTTAGCAGAATCAGCACCAGCATCCTAATGTTTTTACAAGGTTAAAAATAATAATGGAAAAATATTCAGAATAGTTAGTTAAATCACTTCTTTTTAAAATGTGAACCGCATATATTTGCACCACAGTAGTGCACAGTCAAGGAAAGACATATCTTGCTGCCTCAGGAATACATTTCTGATTTATTTATGTGTTCTTTATGATTTCTTGCATTCACTGATGGATAAAAATATAATAGACCATTCATGTGTTCTTTATGATTTCTTGCATTCACTGATGGATAAAAATATAATAGACCATTACAAATTCTTTGAAATGTCAGAAACAGAAATGTGTACTTATAATATTGTTTTTCATGGTTTCTTTCCGTGGAAAACACAGAGGTTAAGGACACAATAAAAATATTGTTATTAAGCTTAATTTTTTCAGCTTGAATGACATATATGTAGTCAAAACAAAAAGAAACTGCATTTTGCTGATAGAAATTTATCAAGTTTCATTGTTTTAAATATCAGGAGGTCTTCTGCAGTATATTAGAACAACTTGTTTCACAGGATTCAATTACCTTTATGCCATTCTGGACAACAGGTTCTATTACTGATGTAGAGCTCTAATGGAACAGCTAGAGGAAATGAATGGAGCAACACATTTTACTTAAGCCCTTTTCTCTTTTCCCATTGTTTTTATACCCACTTTTCCGAACGAGACATTTCAATTTGTGGGAAAATAATTCTACAGAAAAAGCTCCCTTCCCATTTGTTTTGCTTCTTGTATTTTGCCCTGATCCTTTTTTTTCTAGTCAAGAATTAATTAGTAGGAATAACGAGACAAAAAATATTTCAAATACCTTGACTGCTTCAAGATCCATCCATTTCTGTTTTATTAAAACTCTGGATTGTTGGGCAGAAGAATGGTTTGTTGTACGCTTTTCTAGTGGGGTACCTAGCTAGCAGTCATTTGGGCCTTGCCGGCTGCAGAGAGTTGCAGAGAGCTGTCTAATCCAGCTACCCACTACCATCTCATGCTGCTTTATAAGGATCAATCAAAAAGCAAATCATGTAAAAAATTCCAGACAGAAATTAATCAGAAAAGCTACAACTGATTTGTCAGGCAGGGTGGCACTCTGTGGCACCATCTTCTTTGCCATGGTCTTAGCTTTAGATATAGAGACATTCAGAAAGAGGTGCAATTTTAGCATGAGATAAACACTTGTCACAGATCTCAGCCCTTGTCACTTGTCTTTTCGTCTGAGAGACACTGGGAGTGAGGGAAAGCTGAGGCTGAAGCATATACAAAAGAAGAACATGAATTTAAGTGTTTGAAGGATAAACTTTGGAAAAGTCAGCAGGATTAGGAACAAACAAGAGCTAAGGCAGGAGTGCTTTTCTAGGAGGAAAGCACAGGCATATGTGTGTTGCTGGGGCATTTAATCTAAGAGTATCTAAGAGTATTTAAGGAAGAGAAATGGAGAGGAGCGTTTAGAGATTAGCTGATATGGAGAGGGAGATTTTAAAGTGTAGGATCTTGGTAATCTTAGGGGACTGATAAAACAAAAGCTGGATGTGCGAGATGTTACTATGAATCCAATTGGATTTGAGGGGTTTTGTAGATAAAGGGCAAATATAACAGAGCTATAAGAGAGAGTGAAGAAGAGCTGAAGAACTGCTCATATGAAATAAACGAAAGAAAGTTCAAGGTTATTACTGGTAGGGAAAGAAGCCTACTCTCTACAGCTAGGCAGAAAATTCTCTTCTCCTATCCCCACGGAGAGAATTATTCCACTGCCAGACTAGTGGACCAGTACCTAATACATGTAGTACTTGATGTGTGTTTGAAATGTAGAAGCCTTGTTCCCCCATAGCAATGATGCTTGTTATTTTAGTGTCTTCTCACACTGAAATTAAATTATATTGTTTACATCTCTAGATGACTCAGCTTCTGGAAAAAGAATTTACCACTTGATGAAATGATCACAGCAACAAGTTAAGGTTGTAGATGTGCTGCACAAAGTACAGCCACAAAATTTCCCTACCTAACAAAGCAGTTGAGTGTTGAACTATTTTCCATTCCACAGTGGGATAAAATTTCTGATGACATTCACTGAAGATAGAGAGAGACTTAGAATAATCTTTAGAACTTACATGTACTTACAGAACTACCATCTGAGGAATTGAAAGAGTAAGTTCCCTGCTCACCTTAATGAGAAAAAGGTAATCAAAGCTGGATTCTGACTACAGTAATGCTCTAATTGTCAGATTATTTGAAGGTCTTCCTCAAAATCTCATGCATTATAAATATAGTCTGTATTACATACATAACAAATGGGCAAGGGAGAGCAAAATACTGACAAGTCTAATACTCTAACAATCATCTGAGCCATGGGACATCCAATTGTGATCAAAGCATGTGTGATCCATCCATAGAAGCACAGGCTACCTGAAGTCTCCATGTTTCATCACAAATTCTACTTTAAATTAAGAAATACTACACAAAACACATTTCACTTGAAATATTTCTTCGAAGTCCAGATTTTGATCAACTGACATTTTTGTAATGAAAACCACTGATTGTATTTTCTCAGAAAGTTCTAAGGCAGTTGTACCTGTCAACACATCTAAAGTGTGATATTGACCTCTACACATACGTACGTACCTCAGAATATCAAATTCTGTATTTTCAAGCAGTCCCGGGTGCCAATAAACCTCTTGCCAGTACATATTACATACAAAGATCAAGAACCTTTCTCGTAGGATTGAATGAACTCAGCTCTCACATACCTTTCCATCAGTGTTGTAAGTCTATTTTTCTATCTCTTTCAAGTAAGCGAATATTTCCCATGAGGACACAAGATTTGCAAATAAATTTGTTTATTTGAATTATGGGCTAGCATTTATAGTTTCTAATCTAAGCATACAGTTTGAAATAGGTGTCATTTAAGTTGACATAAAAAAGCTATTTCTAGAGTTGATCTTTTACTGTGATGATTGCTCTATGTTGCAGCAGAAATTCAAAAGGCTATAGGTAGAGTAAGAACTTGAAATTGAATTATTGCCAGCTTACTCCTATTTTGGTTAAGTATAATAGCAGGTTTTAATTTCTGGCTTTTCAATTTTCATCTTAAAAAAAAAAGACATAATTATACATTGGTTGCTCTGAAAGTAATGCCTCCAATTTATTTCCATGGAAACTACAACAGATGCACAATAACACTACTTGCAAGAAAAAATTCTTAGCTACAAAACAGTTTTTGAATGTAGTCACCACCATTAACAAATTTACATGGATGGGTTGATTGAAATACTCTTCATTTCATAGTGTGACAGCTGTGCATGGCTGTCTGGAATTGGCTTGTCTTTCATGTTTCTGTCAGCAACTCCTGAAATGTACCATCCTCCACCTTACTGTGCTCATGTCCATTGTTTACTCTCTGTAAACATTCAGAAAACATTGGAGGATGTCAAAGGGTGCCATTTTTTCCACAATGACGATTTCAGTGACACACCTTTGCTGACACTCCCATGTCAGATGCCATTTTGCCAGACTGCCTTTCTGCCACCATCTGTCATATGGCAACAAAATGTAACGGAGTATTGGTGGGAAGGTTCAGCCTCTACTACCATACCACCAATATCCACCTCTGACACTGTCGGCCAACACAGTGAAATAGGAGACAAAACTTTTGGAGCAGCCCTTGTATGAAACAAAAGCGACAAGTAAGCAAAATTAAAGAAATCAAGTAAAAAGTGTATTTAAATACAATCACATGTACTATAATCATTTTCATCTGTAAAAATGTGTTATGTTTCCAATATAACATGCAGCACACATACAAAATTTGCATTCTCTTTATATGCAGACTTGTTGCACTTTTTGCAGCCTCAGTCATCTTGCAGAGCCTACTTTTATTTCTGAGCTGCCTGATTGAAATACAACGTTTAGAAACAGCTCATGGGAGTGGGGAACCTGTTAATAAATCAACAAAAATATTAACCTCCTCAAGAAGTTCGTTGTGGGTATGCTCATAAACTGAAGAACAGTGTAACTGCAGTATAAACTGTGCTTTCAGGGAAAGAACATGACAAGGCAAGGTTTCAAACTGTCCTGGCAAGTTTTGGGCACAATGGTTGGGAGGATTCTCCAGTGATGTTCAAGTATGTTTTGCAAGAGACATTTCCATGCTTTTTTATTTTTTTTTAGTGGAGGCCTATGGGTTATCTTTTGTTGGCAGTGGGCAGGCAGTCTCATACTTATCTGCAAAGTGCCTCTGGGAAGTTTGTTTGCCTCCCTGGTGAGCTGCTGACAAACACCCCTCCGTCCCTCACCCACCCATAGCTGTGGAACCAACCTGAGAGGCTGCCACTCCTTTCGGAGCTGTTGTGGGAGCTGGTGGTGCTGAAATCCTGTGACTGGTTGTGTGGCAATCTATTAGCCAATCCCTCAGCCACGCGGTAGTCAGGGATGTAAAGCAAGGCTAAGGGTTAAAGGGCAAAGGTCACAGTGGCATTGTGTAATTAGTTGACAGCACAGGCACATGCAACACATGCAGTTAGCAAGTCAAGAGCAGATGTGGTGGGGCCGCAAGTTTTAATTTAACTTATACCTTTCCTAGCCTAATGGAAGGCAGATGGGTTGATGACTATCACAGCACAAAAAGCACAGAACAGTATATTTTGTGACTGTGAGGTTCAGCATGCATGCAAGATACATAAGTATTAGTTCCGGTAAATATGAACAACATCTCACATACTACTTTTTTTTTTTTTTTTTTTTTTTTCTAATTCATGAATAGATGATACAGTATATAGTTCTGGAAAATATGAGCTGTAATTACCATTGTTGCCTTTGCCTTGTTCTGGTAGAGAGTAGCCAAATCCCATCAGGTCATTTTTTTGCTGAATTGAGCTTTTCCACTGAGGATCAGGTAAGTCGACTGCCAACTCATGGATGCTGTTGGAATGCAGTATCTGGGTGGTGGCATATGGCGTAGCTTGCGTTATTTGGCTGGAACTGTTGTAACTAGTTTTTGTCGTGAAGTCAATGCTGCTGTAAATGGCTCCATCAGAAAGCATAGTAGCAGTTTTATCTCCTTGTCCTGGCACTGGTGGCAACACATCTGTGGTGAGCATAGGAGAATGAAACAAATCATTGATGCACAGGAAGCCTGAAAGTATCAAGGTTTAAGATGAAAAATACATGTGTCATTTTGCACGTTTGCATTTCAGCTGAGACAAGTCCATGAACCAACGAAGGGAAGATGATATACAACCATTGCCAACCTATCAGCATCTGTGACAGGCCTACCACTTGTCCTTCACGTCTCACTGCCTGAAACCATCTTTTTTTCCCATACTTTCAACTGCAAAAGTGAAGTTTGGAATATTTCTCTACTGAAGAATGTTTTCAATTGTTCATTCTACGTCAGAACCAACGTCTGGGCTTCAGGGAAATGATAAAAGGAACAAATTTACAAATCACAGAGGAAACATTCCTAGCAAATATGTAGCAAAAATCTTAAGTGGATGCCAAAGCTCTCAAAGTAATTTTTGAGGCCATCACCTTACTTTCTAGAAGTTTTATGCATCAGCTTATCTAATTTTCTTTTTGACATTAGTTAGCATATTTCTCTTTTTCAGCAAAAGAAAAACCTGACAAAAACAAGCTGTTCCTGAAATGTGAAAAAAAAAACCAAACCCTGTTATTCTGAAGGGATTTCAGTGATCAGCCTCTTAAAACAGGGAAGTATTCTTAATAATGGAGTACAACTTGTTCAAATACTCCACCACATTTACCTGAAAAACAGTACAAAATGTTTACCTAATATCTGTTGATTTTTCTACATCTTTTGAATCCTATCACATACTGCAATTTGTATGTTTAATCAGTTACATTGGCAGTCTCTCTCCTTACTGAAGACTGTAGTGACATTTCTGGTGAAATACTGGAGTTGGAAGTTGAGACTACTGAATTGTGAAGAATCTAATGACGACTGGCATGATGTCTCAAAGAGAACCATAGCTTGGCAGATAAACCCCCTCTCGCTATTACAGAGGTCAGTATTTCAAACACTGATTACAATATTTTTAGATTCTGAAGCTGAGTGGTGCAGTTGACATAATGGTAGGGAGATATGCCACCCAGACACGCTCAAAAAGAGGGTATGTCAGAATCTAAAGATGTTTAACAAGGCCAAGTGCAAAGTGTTGCACTTGAGTAGAGGCAATCCCAAATATGAATACAGACTGGGAGAAGAAATAGTCTTTGAGAGCAGCCCTGCTGAGAAGGACTTGGGATGTTGAATGAAAAACTGGACATAGGGCAGCATTGTATGCTTGCAGCCTGAAAGGCCAACTCTATCCTAGGCTGCATTAGAAGAGGGGTGGCCAACAGGAAGAGGGAAAGGATTGTCTCCCTCCCTTTTGTGAGGCTGCAGCTGGAGCACTGTGTCCAGGCCCAGTACAGAAAGGACATGGAATTGTTGGAGTGGATGCATAGAAGAGCCATGAAGATGACCAAAGGGCTGGAGCACCTCTCCTGTGAAGGAAGGTTGAGGAAGTTGGGCTTGTTTAGCTTGGAGAAGAGAAGGCTCCAGGGACCTCATTGGGGCCTTCCAGTCTTTGACGAGAGGTTACAGGTAGAAGGGACCATTTTTTTACATGATCTGATAGTGAAACTGATCGTTTAAAATGAAAGAGAGGAGAATCTACTTGTTAGAATAGTGTATCATTTATATGCCATTTGCTTTATATAGCCTGATGGCAGAACTGGATTCCAACTGGAGAGTAATTGATATAATGCATACTCCTATAGTGAGGACGTTCAGATCTCATTTCAGGTATCAAAGATGTTTCTATGTATTTTAGACCTCAAAAAGAAAAGAGAAGGGTTTAGAGTCATTCCAGTTTCAGACACAGGTGCTGTGCAACCTGATAGAATACAATTGGTCTCTTAATGTCTCAGGATTTTTCTGCCAATAAGATATGATAGCACAGCTTCCTTCCTCCCATTGCTGTTTATTTTTTTCCCTAGGTTGAAAACCTACATCAGAGAATTATTTTCTACTGCATGTATGTGAATGTTTTAATATGAAGTCTAGCATCTGCATTCTCAGAGTAACAATGTAGTACCAATTACCAATCAATATGGCAACAAGTGCTCAGCAAATAGATTACAGGAAGATTAAAGTTGGTTGTAGAGGTACATTTTTTTTCAAACAAGAAACAACAACATGGGAACAATCAGGAATTATATTACATATCTGCAGAAAAATTTGAAGTGCCAAAAGAAGTTATAATTAATGCACAGTACAAGTCATATTTCAAAACCAGTTTATTATTATCTATCTACAAGTATACAGTGTGTTGAATTCACGTATGTGCATGTATTTAGGGCAATATACAATCACAAAATCATCTATATGCAAACACTGCATGAGATGTGAGAGTCAAGTGCACTCCTATCTTTCATGTAACTCATCCACAATACGAAGACTTGACCTTTCCACAACTGATTTAATCAAAGCATAGTGAATCACAGAATCATGGGATAGTTGAGGTTGGAAGGGACTTCTGGAATTCATCTGATCCAACCCCTGTGCAAGCAAGAACACCCAGAGCAGATTGCAGATTACCAGGACTGTGTCCAGGTGGTTTTTGAAGATCTCCAAGGATGGAGTCTCCACAATGTCTCTGGGCAACCTGTGTCAGCACTCAGTCACCTGTACTGCAAAATTATGCTTCCTGATGCTTTCGTGGAATCACTTGTGTGTTAGTATTTGTGGTCACTGTCTCCTCCTAGCATTGGACACCACAGAAAATAGCAAGGCTCCCTCCCTTCAAGTATTTATACAAATTGTTAAAATCCCCTCTCTACCCCCCCCACAGAAGAAAAAGCACTCTATAGTTCAGACTGAAGATGGACATTCGTTTCCCACTGGACATTTCCCACTAGACCATTCCAAAAGCTCTCTAATATCCATTTTTCTTTGTAACTCTCACAATAATTTCAAATGTTCTGACATACTTTCTGAGGGAATATCTTTCCTGTTGTCTCAATACTATTTTGTGGTCTTCTGTGATTCCAAACCTAACCTCTGCTTACCACTCACAGATTTGCTCTCCACTGCATATCTAGCATATAATGCAGATTTCATTTTTAAAGACAATACTGTGACAGCCTTCCTCAGTTTCTGCTCCAGAGTCATTGCCACCTTACCATTTTCAAAATTCTTACAGACCTCTAATACTAATCCAGACCTTTAACCCAAAGACACTCAAGTTCTATCTATGCTAGACACAACTACATTAATTTGCACTAAAAGATATCTGACTTCTGATCCATCTTTAATGCAGAAAGCATCCAAACTCAAGTGCTGAAATAGATAGGACTAAGTGAGCCCCAAACCCCCAGAATAAAAGTATGATTTGGACTGAAAAGATCATGGGTATAAGTAAGCTCCTGAAATTCCAACTGTTGCATTTCCTGGACAAATTTGGAAGCTATGCCTCACCCACCCTCAAGCCCAAAGTCTTAAAACATACTTCCAAATTAAGTCTTACAGAGCCAAATACAAACTGATAATTCTTCTGCATTATGTGATCTCATTAAAAGATGGAAAAGTACCAAAGAGCTTTATTTTCAAGAAATTCACAACAAAGAAGCTGGCAGATATTCAGTTATTTTATAAATATTGTCAGACACTTGTTTACTTTATAATATTTTTGTAAGACAAGAGTTTTAAAGTTTTAAATAAACCCTGAATGTTTTAATATAATTTGAAATCAAAGCAGTCAAACCATAGAGTTTTGCATAGGAATTTGTAACTAAAGTGAGAGATTATTTTCAGAGGCAGATTTTGATACAACTCAAAATTATGTTCTTTTCACATTTATCAGTTTATCAGTTTGATAGTTTGATATAATTTCTTTGCATTTTAATGTATTTTGACATACAAAGTTGAACTGATTTTTATATGTGTTAAAAACACTTATATACTCGTTTGGTTTTTAACTTTTTTTTTTTTTTTTTTTTTTTAATTTCAGTCTTCCCCTGAACACCACTATAGAGAATAAGTTGTTATAACATCACAGAAACCAAGAAGGAGATATGAAAATTATTTTGACATTTTAAAATCACAATAGTTCATCCTGAAATTCCCATTTGAGTAAAATGCTTGAAAGAAAATAATCTCTCTAAAGATTCACCATCACAATTACAAATTATTGCCTTCTTTCATGAAGAGCCTCCTACAATTAAAAATGGAAATAACTGCCCCCAAATCTAAATAGTTTGTTTCATGTGTTCTTTCCTCCAATAAGAAGGGAAATTTCTAAACACCTGTGAGGCTTTCTTGATTGATTATGGTTGAGACTGAGAGCAGTCCCACAACAGGAAGGGGATGGGCAAGGTTACAGCAACAGTGCTGGAGGAACATGGGAGGAACATTCTTCCTGGGTTCCCCAAGTTTCTCTCAGATCTTACAGATGTTCTCTGTCCCTGACTACAGTGTTCTACACAGCAGATTGCTCGTGTCCATGCAAAAGGGAACCCGTCTGTTTCTCTTGAAATGATTCTCAGACCCTGTCTTACCAGTGTGGGGTAAATATGTTTTAAAGAAACAGAAAGAGACACAGTAAAATAGACAATTTAAAGCCAAGTGTAAATAAAATCTTTAGTCAAATATAGAAAGAACTATAACAGTACGAAAATATTACACAGTCTTTATCTAGGTGATAACAAAGAAAAATCCAATTTTATACTATATGGTGACAATAAAATGAAACCTACCTCCACGACTGAAATTGGCAAGATCATTGGGTCCACTAGAGCTGTTGTTAACTGGCAGACTTGTGGCAGGCCAAGAGTCTGCAAGCCAAGGATAACTGGGGTCACTTGCATTCAACAAACCTGGTCGACTGAAGAAGAATAAAAAAAAAAAGATATACATACATATACACATACAAACAAAATTAAAATATCTGTGAGACAACTCTGGATATAATAGCAATTGAAGATGCTACATAACTTTCTTCCTATCATTGAGTGAAGGAAACAGTTTAGGAGACTTTAATCTATTTCAAATTAAAATTGTGTAGTCTTTGATGATATAAAGACCTTGAGCAGTTAATTAAGGATATATACAAATCAACTTTGTCAGCAGAATTGGGACTAGGCATCAGTCGTGATTCTGCCAGAATCCAAATGAACTCCGTTGTCTGTGTGAAATGGGGGTTAGGCAGTACCATCATGGGATCTGAAACCAAGGCCGAATGATAAATTACCACCTCAAGGGAACAATCACTCAAACTGATTGCTCCATATCAGCCATTTCCAGGACTTTGGGCTACTATTTCTTCTTTCCCTTGCATCCCAAATGCACGCCTGTCATCTACAGGCTGGTAACTCTTTCTTTAAGCACTCTTGTATGGTTTAGAGGCGAAGAGGTTTGAGTAGGATTAATGGAAAGTCCCAGCTATCTTTATCTGCCACTACTGCATGGTTTTTATATCACTATAATTTCAAGCTTTGCAAGCAGTATTAAACAGTAAGCATGTTGAAAGAGAACATAAACTCAGGCCATAAGGCACTGTGTCTCTCTCACCCTAGGATAAACAGCCTGGAATTTAGCAAGGCATGTGGATTGTTTGTATTTGTATTTAACAAGGAAAATAAATCATGTCATGTAAATGCCCCCAGCCCTCAAGCAAAATCACCCATAGTCTTGATGCTATTCTAGATTATTAATGCACTCATGAAGTTGGAGCAACACCTATAATCATTGTACTTTATTTCTGATAGGCCCCTGTCTGGTACAATCCCTAAGAGAAACATAAGTTTCTATGGAAACAGCAATAAGAAGACCCAGCAGCTTTCTTGCCATATCCACTAACTCTCATTAGGCCTTATCTCTTTTTGCTAAAATATTGATTAAATAGGAGATTGGAAGTTATTACCGCAGCCTAATTACAATCTCCATATCGGCAAAGGGAAAATAGATGAGGATATATGGGTCTGTTATCAGCTTTTATCAATTTCAATTGAGTAGCCAAAGTTGTGGAATCTAGTCCTGTCAATCTACAGCCTATTCATCATCCATGAATCATTTATTTTGTGATCGATTAAGTGTAATTGTTCACTCACAGCAATTTAGGGGTAGCCAATAAGGAGTCTTAAACAACAGCAACTTCATTTGCTAATGTCTAATTAATGCAATAAACATCTTGGTAACAAATGAACACATTCCTTGTGATATTTACTACGCATTTCTTTCAGGGCATCTGGGAGATATGAAACATCTGGGCTTGATTCCTCCAAAGTGCACAACAGATAGATCATTAAATCTTGTAGTAAGCTACTTAACTCTTTCTGTAATTGTCGGTCTTGCAAATGATTGTTTACTCAAGTGCATTACCTGCAGAATTTTCAGATTCCTAATTTTAGAAATATATGTGATGGAAAGACCTTTATGCAGAGAAACATACCTTCCATTGCTCATTAGTCCTCCATCTCCTCTTTGGAACGTCACTGTATTTTGGTTGGAAAAACAAAACAAACAAATACACACACACACACACACACACATATAAGACAGGGAGAAATCAATTAGTTATAAGCATCAATTCAAATTGCTCAGTGTCCAAGATTGGAGGCCTCTTGACATCATCACATAAGAAAGTACAGATATTATAAGAAAAGGATAAAAAGCACATTAGGATTACAGTTTATTTAGGATTTGACTTACAGTATTGATTCACATCAATTTGTCCTGTAGCTTGCAAGGCAAGCCAGCCACTCAAGGAAAAAAATCCTGCATTTACCACAGGCCGTTTCATATGACTTTGCAGTGCAAGACTGTGCCATGTGATGAAATTGTTTTCTTGGCATGCTTTTGCTTCGGTACATAATGACACTGCACCAGTGAGTTAATAACATCATGTTGTAATGCAGTAATATCATGTCACCACACAAATACGCCATTTCCTACGATAAATACAAAGAAGTGGCAGCTCTATTACAGCTGAAGGGATGTGTGTAGGGGGGGAAGCATAAAGCTGCAGGATTTCCATCAGCAGCACATGTAAGAACTAGCACACACACGTAAGTGCATACACGCCAGTATTACAGAGAAGAGATGTTTTCAGTCTTGCCACTGTGGATGCAAAGGATACACTGTAGCCCCATTCATAGGTATCAAGAAACAGTTCATTTCTTATCTACCTTATTAACAGGATTACATTCAAGAGTGATATAGGTAAACTCACATTACTGAGATGCTAATTGACAGGATTACACGGTCCTTTTTGAAGCACTGGCAAATATTTTGAATCAAAGTTCAGAAATGACTGTGGTTGTCCGTGGCAATATTGCATTATGTATTGTTGGGTATAGGTAGGGCTGACAATTAAAGTATATCAATGTCCTGGACATTTGCATCCTCACAGCTCTAACAAGATGACAGTTAGAATTTCAGAGAGGAATGGATTAGTCTATGAACAACTTAATTTAAAATTAAGGTCCAATATTGGAAATACAATCTAACTTTCTAAGACAAACATCTTCATCATTAAATTACAAATTCCTGAATATTTGTAGCGTTTTCCAAATATTAGATCAAACCACCAGTTCAAGTTTATGCCTTCCATTATAAATGTTTCTAACCTGATCAAACTACTAAATCCAATAGAAATACTGTGATTAATAAAAAATTAGCAATGACACAAATCCACTGATGAAATACTTCTGATACCTTAGAGAATACTTGTCTCTTCATTAATTCCTAGGGTAATTTCACAGCATACATTGAGCAAAGGAGACAAAAGTAACCCCTTTGGAAGCCTTGCTGAAGAGCGCTTGGGTAGGGTGATTAATTATACTTCACCGCAGAACAGAGTATTACCAATATCAGAAAATCACTGCAGTCATATGTCACATCAAAATGGTTAATAGCTGAATTTTGAAAGGATGTAATCAAATCAATTAATGAAAAGAAAATCAAAATGCAAGTATGGGAAGTATTAAAGTCTGCTTTGAAAAATGAGACGTTAAAAACACTGCAGCTAATTAACTTTAGAGCTGATGCCACTTTCATTCATGTTGCTTTTAACAGGCTGTCAAGTGACTGCGTCACTCGTTGCTTCAGTGTGAATAATCTGAAGTGTTTTGGATATCATGTGTGAATATATGAAGAGGTGGTACTGACCAGCTATGTTGCAAGCTATGTTGGTCAAAATACATTAGCACTTCAGTAGAGGTTCTGTGTCCTTACTCCTTCTCCCCTTCTCATTTAATACTACAACCTTCTTCAACTGTCAAAGCAACAACAAATAGGGACAAGAAACAAAGGTGTATTCACTAACAACCTTTGTAAATAAGGTTTACAATTTTAAGGGAATTACACTGCAACATATTTTCTGAAAAATCTCCTGGGATTAATGGTCTTGTTTCAATGACAGACTACCAGAAATTGCATTAAAGTATTATTGTCACCAACTGTATAGCATATACGTGTGATATTTTATCTATGTAAGTCATATGGGAAAAAAATCCATACTTATGGTCTCAAAAATATTTGTATTGGTAGTCTACCTCTATAAAAGAAAGATAAAATTGAGGAGCTAGTAGGAAATCACAGCAGTGTTTGCCAGACACATTCTATTTTCTACTCAGTGATGCAAGAGAACTTGAAGGCATACTAGGAAAAAAATATCAAGAAGATGATCGCAACCTTTGCTGTAGAGCTATAATTGCTGTGGAATGGCTGCTGTATACAAGCTTGCTGAGAAGAGACAGGTATCCAAGCATTTACTCTCTTTTCTGCTACCTATGCATCCTAATGGTAGCAACCATTTCGGGTTTCTTTCTACATTAAACAATCTTATGCCCTCCCAACATAAACACTGTCTTCAGAAGAGCTTGTATTGCAGTGACCCAGTTTGGTAGGGAAGATCGTGCCTGGCTTATGCAATATGTATGGAACTGGGAAGGAATACAGGTGCTTTCATTTAACCTACTCCTCGCAAACCAGCACAGTTTTGGTTGTAAACTTAATCAGAAAAGAAACAAGAGAGCATTGTGGTTTCTACTCTTGGTTGTAAAGGCTCTGGAATATCAATTAAGCTAGCCAAAATTGGAATAAGTGAGGAGATATCATCAGGATGTCATAGAAAAAAAAAAAAATGATATTCCAGATGACTTCCATAAATGGGCTGAGGGAAGATAGAGAAGATGTCTTTCTTTTAGCATCAATATTGTGAAAGAAAAGACAGCTAAAAAACAGAAGACATGGTCAGGCTGCCAAAATAAGCACTATGTTTATCATTCCTGCCATACATTTTGTCAGCATTTTTGCCTGCAGTTTGATTTCTGCAATTACAAAGCAAGTCTAAATGCCTGAATAGGAGCATATTTAATGCAATGCAGACATGTAGATGTCACTGTAAAAATAAAACACACAGGCAGCTGGCTTTATTCATCCTGTCTCCACTTTAAAAAGATGCAGAGTAATTTCAAGGGGCAATGTAAGAGGAGAAAAGGAAGGATGTCCCTATCACTGACCCACCCATCTCTCTTGCTTTTTTTATCACTGAGGAAGCACAAAATTCTTTCAGCATTCTTTGCATCTGATATATGTTCTGAAAAAGGACACAGACCTGAAGGGATGAGATTGGTTTTCAAAAGAAGATAAAAAAACAACCTCTGCATAGAGAGATTTTGAAGGAATCCCCACTAGCTTATACTTGAAGGACTGCAAGAAAGCAGGAAGATAATCCAAAGCACATTTTAAATGCATAAATATTTAAAGAAATTATATTGTATATATTTCTATGAAGAATGGCATATGTTAAAGAGTTTTTTATATGCCTTTTATTAAATATATAAGGAGATGCTCATACTATTTACTAATATTATCTGACAAGGTTAAACTTAATCTTCGTGCCTGCTAGGACTGGAAAAATATGAATATACAGTAAGTTGACATTTTGAGGCAAGAAAGCTTTAGAAAGCTTTATGTACGCCTATCTCTAGAAGGCCACATTTTCCTACCACAAATGAAAACTTTAATGTTGCCAGCCAAGTCTTATTCCTTTTCCTGATAAGCTGTTCCTCAAATATGAATGTAGATTAATCCTTTTTTAATAAGCATTAACTCAGAACAGATAATCAGCATATAAAAATTCCATCAAATCTTCTGCCTACCTTTGGACAATTCTGTCAAACAACTTATCCTCATTTAACAGCTTCAGGAGTTAAGCATAAAATGTGTAGCATTCTATAATTCTTTAATTATCTATTTTTAATTTGTTTTTGTTTACTTGGTTTCATGAAATCTTTAATCCCAAGGAGCACTAGTCACTAAATAAGCTTACCTACTCATAAATGAAAACACATATTGACTTTTCTTGCATGACTGATGGCCTAGACAATCTTGAAAACACCTGAGTATTCAAGTGAGCAGTTACTGGCACAACAATGAGTTTGAAGCCATAGGAAAGATAAGCAGATAAATGAAATCTCTCTTATTTCTACAAAGTGATTCTGTGCCTTTGTTGTATAAGTCTATATACCAAAATGTGAAAGGAGAATCGCAGTTTCCACTGCTACATAAACAAGTTCTGTTCTGTCACTGTAATATGGGACTAAAAAATTTTTGTATTGTACTAGAAGTAGTCAAAAGACTTTTTTGTTACACCTAGCTTTTCTTGCATATGGTAAATACAGTGCATGTTTATATCCAACAATCTGAGCAAAACGTAACCATAAAAATAAAAATAAAAATCAGTTTAGTAGTCATTTTAGCTTTTACAGATACTTATAAAAGTAATATCAATTCATTCTTTATGTTACAGAATCACAGAATATTCCAACTTGGAAGGCACCCAAAAGGATTACAGAGTTCCCACTCCTGGCTCCATGCAGAATGACTCCAAAATCAGACCACAGGCCTGAAAATGTATCACAAAAGAGATCACTTAGAAGGGGTAATATTTGTGTTTATTGTCTCTGTGCAAGATTTATTTTTGTTGGCAGCCTGTCATGGTCCCAAAAAGGTATACTTATTGCACAGCTGCAGATCATGACACTGCTACTAACCAGGTAAGCAAAACACTTATCTGATGAAAATAATATGTTTTGCAGCACTGATACTACCAATGCCTGGGGAGCCATGATGGATGAAAAGGAAGTGGAGGACTAGTGATTTAAAGAACTGTGACTGAATAACTACTGGAATCAGCTCAATTGAAAATAAGTAAAAAATGTAGCTATGGTTTTCAGTTTCAAATTTTGCTTGTGACCATCCGAGCAATCAATCAGTGTTTATGAAAATCTTTACAAAGACAGAAAGCATAATGAATTTAACTCAATCAATTATTTTTCTCTGGCACAAATCTTTAACAATAATGTGATATTTTCTGTTCGCTCTGTTTCTATGCAGAATGCAATACTAATTTAGTCTGATAGAAGAAATTGTACCACCTAGGAATCTAACAATAGAACGCAAGCAACAGTGTTCTCGTGAATGACCTTTACTCTGAAAGTGATCAGATAGAATGATTTTGGCAAGTAATTATATCTGCTCAAAACAGACTTTTTAGCAACTAGTTTTGAAAATTTAACCAGCTCTATGTATGCAAGTAAAACTGAAAAAACAAACAAAAAACAAACAAACAAAAAACACAAAGAAAAATACTACATCATGTATAATGGATAAAATATTTATTGCTCAGAAAATAACATGAAATAGAGTAGATGTCTAAATTATGTTCTGCTAATACTTTCAACTATCTTATTATACAGTCAACTCTGTATACTGCATCTTTCTACAAGAATTTAATGCAGATATTTGGAAGAAAAGTGTGCACTTTCCAGAATCTGTGTATATTCAGTTTAACTCATCTTCAGTAAAACTTTATCAACAGCCATTTCTAATAAGATTCTAAATACTACATACCACTAACTATTTAGATCTGAAGCCAATTCAGAGCTTACGAATCATAATTTTGAAGGAAAAAACATGCCACTGAATGTCAGCAAACCTCCACAAGCATAGATATGTTTGTCTACATGAGATTACCAAACATATGAGAACTAAAGATGCTTCTTAGAGAACTCTAGCTCTAAACATAAAAACCATGGACTATGTCCACTGTTTGTACTTGCTTACTTGATGATCTAGGTTCTCAGTTTCTCTAAATGATTACATATCAGGCAACAGAACTCTGTATTATTAATAGTTCTGTAAAGTCCATGAGATGTCAAAACTATTTTTAAAACCACAAGTTTTTAGCAGGGACTCTGACATATCCTAGCTATTCAGGATAGCATATCCTACCAATTGCACTGAATCATGTATACCAGAAGTGGCACTAATGTGATTGTAGTTTGTGCCAGTGTCAGCTACAAAGAAAATGGAAAAAAAATTACCAGTTACAGTCAGTCAACAATTGCATGGTCATAGAACCACATTTTAAAATGTATTATTTCATTTTTTGAAAAAATATCCTATGCTCTCAATAAAAATACAAGTAAAGATTTTACGGTAGGATGTGTTGTACCAGAACTTGTTCTGACATGGACAAACATACCAAGAAGCCAGAAGGAGTAATTCCTGAGTCCGTAGAGCTCCTTAGGACAGCTCTCCCTATCAATGTCATGGGTCCCTGGTGCACACATTATCATCTTTGCTCATATGCCTCAGCAGTCATTTGCTTTTTTCTGCTTAAGCCAAGCACTTGAACTGTGGTTTATATCAGCAAGAAGTAGAAAGCAGATAGCAGAACATGACAACCAGTTCAACAATGTAATTAAGACTGTCCTCTATCATATGGATGGCAGAGGTATCAGAAAAGACTGCTTTGGCAAATGCAACTTAGGACCCATGCTAAGCACAAAACCTCTTAGAAATTTCTGCTGGAAAATGCTGAAATTTATTCAGGCTTTTAAACTTTAATACAATTATTTGTATGTTTATGACACTGAAACTTAAGTATGAGGGTAAAAGCTAATTATTTGTATTAATTATTACTATTATTTGAATACTGAATTTTTCTAGGCTGTCCATATGTTGACTAAGCTGTCTTCAACATGCTGTTTCAGACTCACTTCATTCACTTTTCACATATCTTTAATCACACTTACGATAATGGTCTACCATATGCTATGTTTACTAAAGATATGAAAACAAGGATACCAGCTTTGAATTGGGTAGACAGAAAAAAGCAAATGCTTCAACTTCAAAAATTAAATGTGCATAGGTTAATCATTAGATATCCTGCAGATCTGAACACCTCAAGGCAAGGAAAACAGCTAACAGATAAAGTGCAAAACAGCTCTGTTTCTCCAGTTAAACATTAGGAAATAACTGAAATAGTTTTTTTGAATTTCAAAATCAAAAACTGATCATAGGTGACTAATTCTTGTCTATTTATGTTAGTTCAGGAACTTTGTCCTGCAAATTACCTTAAAAACCTCATTATTTTGAAGAATTAGATGGGTAAAAAGCATGTGAATCAAGGCAAAGACATTAATGGTGGCAGATTTTATACCACTTTGGAATCATGAGAGAAAGAATGCTACATTTTTAACACAGATAGGTAGCAGAAGTGTTTCTCCTTCTGTTCGGTTTTAATTCTGCATACCTCACACGTTTATAAACACTTGGATAGGTAATGTTTGCAATGATGTGTTGGTGAGGTAAGAGACAGACTAATGGACAGTACCTGCAGGGGTGAAGGTGAAGGACTGAACTGCAAAACAAGAAAGCAAACACATTATGAGTTACACAGTCCCATAACAAGCGCTAATAGCAGGGCACAAGTTTCCTCTGGAATTTACTCAGTTGTGGTACAATATCATATGCAGGACATAACATTTGAGCTTAAAGCATTAGCCAGCCAGCAGCCAATGAGAAATGACAGTTGGAAAGTTGAGCAGTGGATTTAGACAGTCAAGTCTGAAGACAATTTTAGTGTGCGCATGCTGTTCTCCAAATTGTAAACATTAGGATGAATTTTGAACATGATCTGTTATGAACTTTCCTTGCTGAAAGCATACACAACGTCATAATTCCAATAATGGGAACAACATGTCATGATGCAATGTTCACATCACACTTAGATGCAGCAAACACTATGAGAAGGAAGGAGTTGCAGTAGACAAACTGTTTAAAATGACTGTTGTAATCAACTACAGGTACATATTTTAAAGTACAAAAGGCATCTTCCTCAACACCCTCCCAATAAAATGCCAGTGCAGACACAGGGCTAATAATGCTGTACACCAAAAAAAAGAGTAATCTAAGTCAGTGCACAAAGGTTACCTATATGATTGCTTCCTAAGAGAAATAACAGTACCACTCTCTCTTAATATGAAAAATCTCAGAATCTAATCTAATAACTAAACTAATAAACTAATATCAGCACACGTAAAAGTATCTGTGGTATATATTAGTCTATTAATTTCTACCACCTCTCAGAAAATAAAAGTTCTGGCTGTTAAAGGAAAGAAAAAACAGTTCATCCAAAAGCATAAATTGTGAATGATAGAGTCCACGCAGTCACACAAAGAGAGGATCCACAGAAATTGAGTATGTCTAAGAGCTGTGGTCAACAAAAGTGTCTCTCTTCTCTTGCTATGCTGGCGTTGGTGCTTATTTGATCTCCTCTTGGACTGCTTCATTTCAATAAGCCAGCTGAAAACTAATTCAGCAGGGGTGAGATTAGGAAGGATTGAAAACTCAAAAAAAAAAACCTCAAAAAAACCTATAAACAGTTTCCTTCTGGTTTAGTGAGTTGAATCAGGACATGGAGGAGGTTGGTGATGGCTAACACCAAGGTTTGAAGGCATAGGAATGTCTAGCCAAGAGCAGGAAATGAACGTTGGTTTTTGACAGAGATGTTTAGATACCTAGGGCACTTGTGTCTCCTGACCGGCATGTAACAACTTGTAAATTAGTGGAGTATTAGCATAACTTTAGTCTCATATAGTGTCAACGTTAAATACGCTGTGTCCTTATCTATGTGAATCTTACTCAAACAGAAAATGTTTTTACATGTATTATATGAGTACTACAGGAGAAATTACCCCAATATTTGAAGAACAGCTTTTTCACGTTAAATTAGGCTTCAGATCAACATATTTTATGGCAATTCTATATTCATCTGACTTACTAAAAATCCATAAGAACCCTAAAGCACAGAACAATACAGAATATAGAGAATTTGGATGAGAAAAAGAAAATCATTCTGTGAATTTATTTTTCCAAATGAATTTTCAAAAATTAATTTGTAACTGGAGCAGCACATTTGATGTAAAACTGAGCACACTGCAAGGGCATCCTGAGGTGTTCTACCTCCAAGTCAAAACTTTATACGACTTCTGTGAAAGGCAATTTTAAATCACACTTTTATGTCTAATACATCTCTCTCTTTTCTTCCAGTTGTAGGTATGGAGCTGTAGATTAAGTAATTCAGTTTATTTCCCATGCATACGGCTTCAAAAACATGGAAATGCACGGGAATGAAAAAGGATACAGAATATTCTTCCTGGTCTTTCCTGTAAGGGTCTAGTCTATTTCATATCTGAGCAGATAAATGGAGCTGTACTACTACAGAGTGCTTTCTGATCAAGGAATAATCCACTTCATTTTTTTATCCACTTTTTTTTAATGCTAAATGTGCTGAAGATGTAAAAATAAAGACTGTTTTATGATAATGATGAAGTATGGTACTGAGCAATGCATTTAAAGCTTCTCATACACCAGCATTTTCACAACACAAATTTAAAACAAGCATTCAAAATTAATCCAGGCCACCTTTGCTGTAAGGTCAACATGTTTTTTAAGTAGGTTTATCAGCACATGTTCTCTTCATGTCAGAACCTGATGAGATGGTAATAAAGAGTTACTGTTCTTACCAGCATAATTACTGAGCCCCTTCCTCTTCTTTCTGCGCCAATACAGCCAGATGCTGAAACCCATCAGAATTACCCAACATGCACCACCGATGCCAGCTATAAAGGCAGGCTGTTTGACAACATCAGTGATTTGCTCAGTTATGCTGTTGTTATTTTCAGTGATGACAACTTCGTTACGGCTTCCTGCACAAAAGAAAATTGACAGAACATTGCTATTACGGACTCCAAAATGCAAACAGAAACCAAATATTGGAAATTAAAATAAAATAGAAAAAAAAAAAAAAAAGGAAAAAATAGAAAAAAACAGTAATGTGCCTACAAATAATCATCCACAGTAGGAGGACTTTAACAAGTACTAATGTACATCTGAAAACCAGTGTTTCTAGTAAGTAAATCCACACTCTATTTTGCCCAAATTTATTTGAAAATATAGCTTTATAGCACTCCCCAAATTTCACAGATGCCAGTCCAGGTACTTTTTTTTTAACAGTACACACACTTTTCTGTTTTTTATATAATTATAGGTAGAATGAGTGAATGGAAATCAATTCTAAAAAGAAAAATCAAATGAGAAATTCAAATGCAAGACTTGCTACAATATCAAAAGGCAGTTTCTTTGATTGTTATCACCAAGCCAAAACTCTTAACTTTTGGGTTCATTTTCTTTTTTTGTTTGTTTGTTTGTTTTTTGTTGTTTTTTGCTGCATTCTATACCTCTCAATAAATAAATAATAAAATGTATGAACTTTTAGTTGAAAAAGAAAGGTGCCTTTTCCAATAATTATTTCATGGAGAAAACAATCCTAAGCATACCAATTTTGACACAAAGCAGAAAATAGCTTAGATAACCGTTAGCTCTAAACTGATAGCTTTTTTTTTCACCTATAATAGGCATGAATAATTCTAAACATCAACTTCTAAGACATATACATGATGTGGAATATAAATTAAAGCGATCATCAAGAATAACTATATTCCATCTTAATTTTGCCTACTACCTTAGAAAATCATAAATTTCAGTAGATTTTCCATTGCTGTGGTTTTTTTTCTTTACCTTTCCCTCTTATAGTATTACAGGAGTTGGAAGGGACCTCAAGAGATCATCGAGTCCAACCCTCTTCCGAAAGCAGGTGCCCTACAGTAGATCACACAGGTAGGCGTACAGACAAGTCCTGAATATCTCCATAGAAGGAGACTCCACAAACTCACGTCCTCTAAAATGTAACTTTTCTAAAAGGAAAAGCCTGGTGTCTGACTTAAAAATGAATGTCCATAAAAAATGCAGACAGCAATTGAGGAAATGTTAAAACATATCGTTCCAGGGCTGGAACCTTTCTGCTTCTAATACCACCCTGTCAAAAATGGTTACTTTTAAAATAAGGAAATGGGGAACATACATTTTTTTGCAGGATCTTGATTCTATATGTATTTGATACAAACTGCCCACATCTACATTTTTGACAGTGATGAAGGAATTGTCCTTCATTTCTTATAAATGCATTCATATGGCTCAATCCTTGAAATGTATGTGTGATACTATCAAATACCTGTATGCATGCAGAAGAAAGATTTCAGGCAGCAAGAGTAACTACACTACTGAGAAAAAAAAATACTGTGACTATCGCATGCACAGAGGTAGTTGAATATAATAATCAAATATTGAAACGGTCACTCAGAGCAATTAGTAGAAATATTGCACCATTATGTCTTGCTGTGAAAATGTATGCAGTCCTCTTCCAAAATCCAGTAATAGTTAAATTTACCGCTTTCTTCTTAAGCAAAACAGCTGCTATGTCAGCACTGTAGCTTCACCTGAAAGCAAATAGACAAGGTCCTTTCCAGAATAGATACGAGAGTGTCTTGACACTTCCAGCTGTATTTCCATGGATAATTCTTCACAGGATTCAACAGTTTAAATGTGAGAGATTGTAACTGAAATCCTGTCCCACGGAGTGTTGAGCTGCCTGTACCTTCCCTGCCTGCAATCTGTACCCACATGTGGGCGCTGGCCTGAGCACAGTGCTGTTCAAGCAAATGCATGGGCTTAGGTCCTCTGCTGAGCTCAGAGGTGGATTCAGTTACTCAGGAAAAAATGTGATACACTGCATTACTTTGCTATAACACCGTTAATGATCTCTGTGATTTTATTAAACTTTCTCTCTTTCATCACCATGTCAATATTTAGTAATGATGACTGTCTGCTTTTGCAAACAAACTGCTGAAGATGTGCTAGAGCTTGGCTTGCTTTCAGTAATCTGCTCAAGAAACAAAACAGGCTTCCCACAAACAAACAGGCGCCGGCGAAAGATGCTGTTGCTTGTTAATGGAGAAACAGCCTTTTGAGTACCAGTCTATACTGGGTCATGCTGGTAAGCTTTACAGGTGTCAAGCTCTCTAAGCTCTTTCCCAAACTTTCCTATGCTGTCTTACCACTGTGAAAAAATCAACTATAACTCACATAACTCAACAAGCAACAGTGACAAAGAAAAGCTGGGAGGTAGTAGAAGCAACTTTGCCAGTTTTCCTCCTTTTTTATTGCCCGTGGAAACAACCCATAGGAGCAACCTAGGGCTAAAAGAGGAAGTGCTGAAGCGTAAAACTAATAGAAAAGGAATTCTGCAGTGTGCTTCTCTAAGCACACAATTGGTTTTCTAGTAGAAATCAGCATGCGAGTTGATGTCACTCTAATTGCCATTAACTTTCAGTTAATTCCTTTGCCCTTTGGAGGCAAGGTAATAGCAGCAGGCCGGTGAGGAAACACTGCTGGTGAAGAAAACAGGCAGCCATGCTACCATGGGGAAGAGAGGGCAGGGATGACTTCAGAGTCACCAGCTCTGAGAGCAGATACTCTTGGGCTGAAGAAAAGAACTGTATCCTGAAAAAGCTTCCAAGTTGTCCCAGTGCAGAAAATCCAGTTTTATCTTAAGGCCAGAAAGCAGTCTTCTGAGGATGCAGGATACAACAACAAATCCCAGAGAGCCTGGAGGGAGTGCTCAGTGGTCCTTCTCCTCTTGATCTCTTCTAACAGAAAGTACAACTTGTCTCCAAATTACCTTCTGAAGTTTGCAGTCTGCCTGTTTGTGCCTAGCATTCACTGCCTAGCAATTATGAGTGAAAAAGTAATAGCTTGTTTAAATGTCAAAATAACATATATTTTGAGACTTCAATGACTAAAAAATAAATGGATATGGATGAACATTACCCACTGTTGTTTGATAAAACTAATATAATTGTTGTGGTTTTGGAGAACAAACTGCATTCATTTTGTATTTCATTGTGTAATACTTAATCAGTATTTAATCAGTAATATGTATACTATATAAGTAATATATATACTATCCAAGGTACCAGTGTAATACTTCGTATACTGCAGGTGTTTCTGTAACAATGCTGTCAGTTCAACTAATTAGAACATAGACAAGGGAAGTGTGTGACCTGTAACGCTCCATTGTTCCTGAAGACAAAAACATAATGAAATATAATGTCTTCCTCCCATTGGAGAGTAATGAAGAACAAAACTAATTTGTCGGACCAAAAATTAATTATACACATCAGATTCAATTGTACCTATTACTGTGAAAGTTTGCAGCTGTTCCTCATACTATTATGCCAATGATGGAATGTAAGAATGAACAGGCCAACTGATGAAGAGAAATAATAGCTCTACCATTAACCAATATTGCTGTTATCCTCAGTTATATTTCTGATATACCAAGCAAAAAAAATTAGCATATCAGTAATGACAGTAAAAATGTTATTCTAGATTCTCTTTGAGTCTTGTGTAGCATTTTTCAACACTGAGTTTGAAGTATGGGCACAGAATTCCAGAAACAGTGGCATACTTTTAATTAAAGAAATATTATACTTCCTACTCCATATTCTGCTTATACTTTCTGGATTTTGATTAACCTGATGCTTAGACTTGGTTTGTGAAGTCAGTAATTGATTATCCATGGTGAAAATTAGTTATTTTCAGAATAACTTCTTAGATGAATGCATTCTATATTTAAGAATAATATCTTGCTTATCACAAACTGGAGTCTATTTAATGACAATGGAAGTTATACTGTTCAGCAACAAGTCTCATCTGCTTTTTATCACTGAACTATTCTCTCCATAATTTAGAACTCCATAGTGTTTGTTTGCAGGTTGTTAAATAGCTAGGCACTAGGCCATATGGGAATCCATTATAATACAATGACTTGATAATTTTTTCCCATCCATAGCTATGTTTTGAGGTTTGTTCACTTAACCTATGTGATTTTTTTTTTTATACGTATCTGAAAATTTCATTTTCTTACTTGATGTTGCTGATTCTCAGTCAAATACTGAATGGGATCAACTCAATTATTTCAGAAATTGTGCCATTTAATTAGTAGTACCTTTATGAATCAAATCTATAGTCTGAGGGACAACTGCCAGTGACTATGGCTCATAAGCAACAGAAAAATAACCTAGTGAAAAATGAGATGCAGACTATGAAACAATAAATACATCTAGCTTTGTGATCTCAAAAGAGAAAAGAGAAATGAGAACAGAAACACAATACAACAAAAAAACACTTTTAGTTTTCATGTGAAAGACTCTTAAATGTATAAGGATGCTATCAGACAAAAACTTGTGTTCAAGACATTCTGGACTCATTAAAGGGATAAATAGTAATATTACTAAGTTTAACAATGCAAAACTTACTTAGCTTCAAAAGGCAATTCCTTTTGTACTCTATGTCCTAGCATCCCTTTGCTCCTTCACATAACAATACAAATATCCCCACAATTAACTCTTTATTATACTAGTCATTTTTTCTAAGGAAAAAGACAGGATAAAGGTCTGCAAGCAGATGTGGAGCTAAGCATTCTGGCAATCATCCAGCAAAGCACTTTAGTGCAAGTTTAACTCATAACAGGTTACGTGGCACAAGACTACTCATATGCTCAAACTAAAACACGCTTAAGTATTTTGCTGGAATAAGACCAGTGTGTAGCTGGACGGAACCCTTTCAGTAAGGATAAAAGCAAAGGCCTGCTGAAAGCAAATGCAATGACAAACCAGTCTCACAAAAAAAGCTCTTTACACAGAGATCCAAAACTCATGCTTATGAGAGGACAGATTTCTTGCATTTTCAAAACATCAAATTCTTGCTTTCAGTTCTAGAATACTCATTAACCTGCTTTGGAATTTTTGTGACTTCCTCTTTCTAAAACCATAGTAACTTGTATTCCCTTCTCTACTGACAACATATCCAAATCTGGAATACCTCTACTTTTGTCTTTAAATATGGGAACCTGAATATCATTAAACATTTAAGCAACACATAGGAATTGACATTTTCTAAATGCCTACACATAATAGAAATGTTCATATTAGGGACACTGTTCTGACAGAACATTCTAGAAAGAAAATGTGTAATACCAACAGACTCACATACAAGCAAGAAAAAGCTCATTTTTGTAATAACTAAATTAGAACATTCGGATGAAAGTAACAAAATCCCCGTATTCAGCAGTCTGAAGAGGTACTGCTGTGCACAGTCCAATTCAGTTTTGCAAAAATAGTTTTCCTATTCTCATCCTTCTCATTTTTTTTCTGCATTTGTATTTCATACTTCAGAAAAAGCTCAAAAGAAAAATTATCTGTGCTTCCTTTTGTAAAAGAAATTAATCGTTCATGGAAACTAATAATAAGATAATAATTTAAAAAGCAGAGATGCTACTACCACCTTTGCTCTCTATTTGGCTTACAGGCTACTTATTTTTTGACAGAGCGAACTCATCTGCTTGGGATACCCAAGAAACACTGGCACACCACGTTCAAAAAAGAACTGTAAACTGTGCCTTATGCATCAGTGGTACAGGTAAAGCAATATTACAGTCAACTGAAGAGGAGAAAAAGAAGTCCTAGCTGTTAGTCCCATAAATCCATCAACCTGCAAAAGTGGTGAATACATTTTAAAAAATCAGTTTCACTAGATAATTTGTATTTTCTATAATGTCTCAGCAAAGAAAGAACTAGCTCACTCTGCTAGCTGTGAGAACTCTGTACAAAAGGCACCACGCCAGCAGGCATTGGGACATTAAAAGCTAACTGTCAAGCTCAATTCAAAACTTGTCTTTTGCTCACAGACTTTTATGCTCTCAGAAGTGACTAATGAAAGCATTTCTGAAAGTAAAATCAAGCAAAACAAAACAACAGAATACACAATCACTTACCAATTATTATCGGTTGTGGCTCACTTTTCACTCCCACACCTGCACTGGTGCTTGCAGCAACTTCTACACGGTACTGAATACCTGGATACAGGCCACCTATTACTACAGATCGAATGGCTGCATCTACTGTTTTGTTGATATGAAATCGAGTCTCATTACCTAGACACCAGATCTGGGACAAAAGTTGATGTGTTAAAAAATAGGAAATTCTTGGTATTCATAAACAATAGCTGATGGATATGACATATCAAGGTTTTGCATGACAATCATCTGTTTTGGTATTTTGGACTTGTTAATGTTACTATCTAGGAACAGTTGGAGCTCAGCAAATTATTGTAAAATCAGGCAAGTTGCAAAGTCTGTTTGCAAACACCATCTTGGACTCTGGCTCTCCATGGAGCACAATTCTATGGCATGCTTTGAAACACATAGAATCATCCAAGTGAAAAAGATGTGTTATGTTTTCATTGAAATCTTATTCAGTAATGTGATTACTGCCAAATCTTTTCATTAAAAAATCCATTTTTTCATTCTTATTTTTCCACTGGACAGTATACGGACAACTAGCGAAATGTTTCTTAAAGTATTAAGGGATAAAATCTTTCAAAATCCTCCTCTATTTCTTTTTGCTACACAGCAGGGGCATGTGACATTTCCAAAGCAGAGTAAGCTCAAAACTGCTCTTTATTGTGATTACATACATTGTTCAAAAATCCAGATATCAGTTCCTGACACAATTATTTTCCAATTAAACAGAAGCAACAAAATATTCTTAAATCTCAATTCATATTTTATAATGAGAATGGTACAAAATTTCACAGAGTTGTTTCTCTCTCCTGCATTTATCCATTGGCTTCTCCTGAGAAGTTTCAAAACTAAGACTTCTTAGGGATTCTTTTTCAGTTATTGTTTTTGGCACATACTGCTTTTCTATGATCAAAGAAAGAATTTGCTGCCACTATACTTAAGAAAATCAGTGCTTAAAGGTATCATATGTACAATACATAATTACAACAGCAGAAGAAAGCACTACCAGTTGAACCACTTTCAGTGACCAATAGATGTGTATAAACAATACTTATACTCTCTTTACCCTTACTTTTGACCCTTCTCAGTGTTCTATCACACCTCCTTTTTTTTTTTTTTTTTCTGCAAAGCACTGAGAAAGACTTTGAGAACAAAATAAACTTTCGTTCTTCTGAGCTCATGCAGAGGCTACATGCAGGGCAGAATGCATTAGGGCGAGAGATTATTGCAATTCATTCTTTCAGTCCTTGTCTCTCCTGGTCTTAAGTCGCAGCAACTACAAAATACTCCTAATTATAGGCACTGAATTCATAAATGAATCTCCATTCATTCTTATGCTGGAAACAGATCTACATTCGTTAGAACATATCCAGTGAAACCTCAGCAGTTGTTTTATACTAAAGACTCTTTGCATTAGATTCACCACAGCCAGCACACAAATCAGGCGGCCATCTAATCTAACAATAAGGGATGTAATAGGTGGTGACTCCAGCTGTTTTTCTAAACAACCTAGAGGTCTGATTACTCACCTGGAATGTGGCTTTGATTAACCATCAGCTGACTTTCATATCTATATATTTTGTGGTTTAAGACTGTGTTTTACTTATTTGCCTGAAAGTTAATGTTGCCTCATAGAACATTCAGCATCAAGATGAATTAAAGCAAAAGATACAATTATTTATATGAAAGTAAGATCAATACCATATTGGTATTAATAAATCTTAATATTAAATAAAAGCAAAATATAACAAGTGCTATGCTAAAAATAAGTACTGTGTACATTTACTGCATCCCTCTGATCAAATGATAATCCATAAGAGGTTAAAACATGAATTGGTTATAAGCCAAGCACTTTCTTCCTTCTAGATTCTGTTTTCCCTTACAACACATCAGGAAGAATAAATTACATATTCCTACGTGAAATAATCGTCTGCATCTCAAAAAGATTATCATTTCTGCCCTTAGTGGGATTTTCAAGCAAGCTGCCCTGCTCTATTTCAGTTATAAATTTCACATTCAATATAGAAGCTAGCCACAATGAAAATTTGTTGTATATGTTTCACAGTTATAAGCCTGTGATAATGCTGAATATAGCATGATCATTTTCTCCAGGCTTCCCTCCACACACACCAATAACACACTGCAAAATTTCCAATATACTTGTGCAAAAACAAGCTTAGTGGGGAATAGACTATTACAAAATATAAGGTGATAAATAAGGGAAGGATAACTTCAGCCATCACAGCAAAAAAAAAAAAAAAAAAAAAAAAAAAAGCAGAGAAAAGGCAACAAGTGCAGCAAGCAGTCAAGTAACAAACTCTGCATATCTAGCCTGATCTAGCTAGCACTTTATGTTGTGAATCTTTACACACATAGTCCTTGAAGGAAGACCTGTATTCTCCCAAAGCTACAGTTCTTGACTTTGACCTTGAAGTGATAAGATTAGCATTTTTGCAGGGGAGAGTAGTATCTTTCCTGTCAGCTTTTCTACCAGGCTGAAGACATTTTGAGACAGGAGCTCCACCACTTGTTCTGGGAGTAAAGAACCCCCTAGGAAAAAAAACAAAAAAAAAAACAAAAAAACCCTTCTCTTTCTTCCAAGGATAGATAAGAAAGAAATAAAACCTTTAAACTAGTTGGCAACTACAAGTCTCTTCCAGGTCTAGCTCATGCTATTTTTGGTTTTAACAATAACAGTAGCACTGCTTATATGGGGAAAAAAAATAAAAATCCACTAGGCACTCAATCCTTTTTCTCCATATAATTATATTGGTGGCAGTAAATGCTGTCAGAATCTAAATCTGTAAACAGTGCTATTGTTCTGTAATTCATGCAGGCTTTTTCCTAAAACACACAACCCTTCCATTACAGATCCTTTCTACCTTGTATTCCTGGATGATTCCATTTTGGTGATCTGGAGGGGGAGGATCCCAGGAGATGCTGATGCTTGTGCTGTTGTGGTTTCCAACTGTCAGGACAGTAACAGACTGAGGAGGGGCACTTGGAGCTGCACCAAACAGAGGGAACAAACAGGAGTAAGACATTAATCCATTTGCTAGAGCACAAATTTTGCTAAAAAGTGTAAGTGCAAGCAGAGAACATACAAAGTTCACAGCCCCTGCAGGCCTAGGTATGCACATTTTGTTAGGGACTGACAACTTTGAAAAAATGCCTTTCTGAAGAGAAACATTGTACTGAATGAAAATGTGGAATCTTTGGTAATGGAGAATCAATACAAATCACTTCTCATGTATTTAGATATTGCATTTCTTAAGACTTGCATTTAAATTATTCTCATGCTTGCATTTGTTTTCCATAATACATGGTTAGCTATGCATATGTCAACTAAGTCAACCAAGTCATAATGTGAGATTGTATCCCCTGCCCAGAAAAGTCTTTTCATTCCTTTTCCCCCACATGGTCTGATACTATTGTGAGAAATGGGAGTTCAGGAAGTTTTGTTTGCTTTCCTTTTTGGTTCTAATATAGCTAATTTGGTAATATAGTTAATATAGCTAATTTGGTTCTAATATAGACTAATATAGCAAGTGTATAATGATAACTTTCCAGGACAATTTTTCAGCTCCCAGCAGATCCTGTTCCAGGGTGACTTTTTTTTTTTTTTTTTTTGTAATAACTCTACTAAAATTTTCTTCCAAAATTAAAAAAAAACAGTATTTTTCACTTTTAATATGATATTAAAATATCTTAAATGAAATGTTGAAGAATAACAGATTAGATCAGAACCCAAAAAACTCTCCTCCATCTCAGCTTCAAATATATTTGCCCTCTGGTTTTCTGACTCCCTGACTGCAGTCTGATCATCAAGAGCATTCCTGCTCAGAGAGAACTCTAACTGCTATGTTCAAATGGCACCAGGACTCTAGCCATATCTTTCCCATCTGCATGGACCATACCTCTCAGGCAAAGTAGCTGGCTCCTTTGTTTTTATATCTGTTAGGCTTAATGCAACCAGATGTAGCCATGGATATCAGAAGTATGAGCCTTTTGGAATCACTACAGACTTACTTATTTTTTCCAGTAGCCTTTTTGAGACTGTCCATTCAGATAATTCTAAGACTTGACCTGGCACAAGCTCAGGGAGCTGAGCTCAAACCTTACCCTGGTAATCATGCAGAGCTGGAGTAGCCAACTGTCTGAATTAAACAACTTAAAACTGTGGCATCAGAAGTAGGGAGGAGGGACCATACAAGATTCCATAAGAAAAAAAATATAAAAACATAACACACATATTACAGAATCATAAAATCGTTTGGACGGAAGGGACTTTAAAGACCACCTAGTTCCAACTCTCCTGCCATGGGCAGGGTTGCCAACCACTATATTAGGCTGCCTAGGACCCCATCAAGGTTGGCCATGAGAGTCTTCAGAGATGAGGCATCCACAACTTCTCTGGGAAGCCTGTGCCAGTCTCACCACCTTCTGAATAAAAACTTTCTTCCTAAAATCTAACCTAAAACTATCCTCTTTCAGTTTAAATCCATTCTCCCTTGTCCTATCACTATCTACCTGTATAAAAAGCCAGTTGCCCTCCTGCTTGTAAGCTCCTTGCAAGTATTAGATCACAGCCAGGTCTCCCCAGAGCTTTGAACACCTTGAACACCTTTAGGGACGGGGCAACCACAACATCTCTGGGCAGCCTGTTCCAGCACCTCATCCCCCTGATAGTAAAGAACTTTCTCCTGACATCCAGCCTAAATCTTCCCTCCCTCAACTTCAAACCATCTCCCCTTATCCTGCTGTTATCTACCATTTCAAAGAGTTGATTCCTCTCCTGTTTGTAGGCTCCCTTTACGTACTGAAAGGCTGCAGTTATGTCACCCTGCAGTCTTCTTTTCTAAATAAGCTCAACTGGAGAGATGCTCCAGCCCTCTGGTCATCTTCATGGCCCTCCTTAACAGCTCTGCATCCTTCTTGTGCTGTGGGCCCCAGGCCTGAACACAGTACTCCAGTTGGGGCCTTATAAGGGAAAAATAGAGGGTAACAATCCTCTCCCTCTCCCTGCTAGCAGCCCCTCTTTTGTTGTAGCTCAGTACATCAATGGCTTTCCAGGTTGCAAGAGCATACTGATGGCTCACATCCAGCTTTTTATCCATCAGGACCCCCAAGTCCTTTTCAGAAGCTCTCAAGGAGTTCTTCTTCCAATCTGTACTTGTATCTAGAATTGCCCCAACTCAAATGCAAGACCTTACACTAGGGCTAATTGAATTTCATTAGGTTCTAGTGGGCCCACTTTTCAAGTCTGTCCAGGTCCCTCCAGATGGCATCCCTTCTTTCTATTGTATTGACTGCAGCCCTCAAGTTAGTATGATCAGCAAACATGCTGATGGTATACTCTATCTTACAGTATATCATTGATAAATCATAGAATCATAGACCATTGCCACCACAAGTTACTAAACCACATCATGCAGCATATCATCCAGACACCTCTTGAACACTGCCAGGGACGGCGACTCCACCACCTCCCTGGGCAGCCATTCCAGTGCCTGACTACTCTCTGAGAGAAAAAGTTCTTCCTTATGTCTAATCTAAACCTCCTCTGATACAACTTGAGGCCATTTCCCTGTGTCCTGCTCGTTGCCTGGGAGAAGAGGCCAAATCCCTCTCCACCACAACCTCCCTTCAGGAAGCTGTAGAGTGCAATGAGGTCTCCCCTGAGCCTCCTCTTCTCCAGACTGAACAATCTCAGCTCCCTCAGCTACTCCTCAAAAGACTTGTGCTCCAGACCCCTCACCAGTTTTGTTGCCCTTCTCTGGACATGCTCCATGACCTCAACATCTTTCCTGTAGTGAGAGACCCAAAACTGAACACAGTACTCGAGGTGCAGCCTCACCAGTGCTGAGTACAGGGGAATGATCACCTCCCTGCTCCTACTGGTCACACTACTTCTAATGCAGGTCAGGATGCCATTGGCCCTCTTGGCCACCTGGGCAAACTGTCGGCTCATGTTCAGCTGAGCATCAACCAACATCCCCAGGTCCCTCTCTTCTTCACAACCATCCAGCCACTCATCCCCAAGCCTATAACGCTGCATTGATAAAGATGTTGAAGAGCACCAGTCCCAAGACAGATCCCTGGGTGATGCTACTTGTGACCAGTCTTCACCTGGATGTAAAGTCATTGACAATAACGTTATGGCTATGACCATCCAGCCAATTCTTTATCCACCCTTCAAATCCATATCTCTCCAATTCAGAGATAAGGATGTGGTGTGTGACCATGCCAAAAGCCTTGCACAAATTCACATAGATGACATTAGTTGCCTAATGTATGACTCTTGTGAGTCCTGCACATTTTGGGAACTACATTTTCAGATAGAGGTTCAGCTGCAAATCAAATAGTGCTAGGTAGAAAGAGTTCTGGAGGGAAAAATAGAGCTATGTTATGGATAGTTTGACTCTTAACCAACTCAAGTAAAGCACGAAAAGGTGACCTTGGGCTACACCTTGTTGAACAGTAAGGTTGCTTAGTGTATTTTATGGCAAATGAACCACAGAGAACAAAAGAGAAAAAGTGTTTTAAAAACTTTAAAGATATTGCGTAACAACAAAACCAAGAATAACTGCGTACAATATTAACAATACTAAATAATAATAACAAACAGTAGTAATAAAAATAGCAAAACAACATTATATATTTTTTTCTTTTTTTAAGTAAAATGGAACATTGTGCTGAAATGTATATACTTTCATCATTAGGACATTCAGGTATATAATGTTTTATGTGCAAGTACTGAGGAACATTGGGGAAGGGAGAAGAGAGAGGTAAACACTAAAGAATATATAAAATAAATACCTTTATCATTGAAAAAGAAAAAAAACAATGCAATGATTTGCATTTGCATTTAAACTGCAGGAATATTCCAGTTAATTTTCTGTGTGTGGACTCTTTTTGGTTTTGAAGGATAGATAGTAAGTTGTAAGCAAAATTAAATCACAACTGATGAATGTAGCTGAAAGTATCACTTTAAGAGCTGCGGTAAGGCAAGCAAGAATTGATTGCTGTTACAAGACAGCAACTGATAAAACTTAGGAGACCTCCAGTATTGTCATATTTTTGTGGTGACAAACAATATGCAGAACAAATATTACTCCAGAAAGTTATTCCAGAAGAGATTTAACGTAGTGTATGTACCTAAAAGGATTATCATCTGTCTTCATAGCAAGGGTGAAAAAAAGAAGTGAAAATTAACAAACGAAAGTGTTCTATTTAGCTCTTATGTGTGTAGGCACACATACGTATATAACAGTTCTGCTTCCTCCTCCTATGATAATATCACTTTGTAAGCTGGCACCATGATATAAATTAAGGCACTTGTCTGACACTCTGCAGTTATTAAATAGACTACATTGAAAAATAACATTTTTAAACCTGTTTTCTCATTTCCCTTGCTGCTGCCTTGTGGAGAACACCTTGCCTGCTTCTTGACAGGTCAATTATTCCAGTGCTCAGCTTCTTCTTACAGATATGAAAGAACCCAAATCGCTGCTCATCTCTTCCAGAGGCAGCCAAACAGAATTCCATTTATTACCTTCACAAGGCCAAAGAGGTAGGAGATGAATGGATACTGAACTGTGAAAAATGCCCGATCCAGAGGAAAAGTCTAACTGTAGCAAAATTGATTTTTGGAGCTAGGACTCAGAAGTAACATTGCATGTAAAATTCAGTCCAGCAGAAAGCTGCCACTACCTCCTGATTGTACTTTACCTGGGTTGTTCATCTTGCAAAAAATTTCAAACATGCATATCACTCTTCCAAATTACTTTCTATGAATAGTACAACTGACATTTTAAAAAAGTCAAGTCTAAAAAAGCTCATTTTTGAAATGAAATCACAGGCTACATAGAAAGTGTGACACCTCTAAATAGACTGCCATTTCTCTTTATTGGATGAGGAGCAAACCACAATTATTAAACATCAAGTTAGTGCTATTTTTGAAATACACGAACACCAATATGATTACAAAGTTAATATGAGGAGTTAAAGGAAAATGTCTCTGGAACAGGATCTAGCAAATTTCTTAACTTTCTCATAGTAAATCGTTTTATCACCCAAAAAAAGGAAGAATTTTATAAAGGGGCTGTCACTTGACTTGTGATAAAAACATGTGTTACAAGCTGCTTTTTTGAAAGAGATACTTGTAAACAGACTACTTGAAGGCTATACATCTACAAAGCAGATCCTCGTTTGTTAGCTATACATAACTACCCATAAGAAAAGTTCTAAAAATCTTCACAATGTGGAAAATTGCACATAAAGAAAGTGGCCTTTAAAGTACAATGTTACCTGACTGGCAGTATGGAGAGATGAGGTTTAAGAATGAAAATTTAATTTCTCATTGATTTTATAGAAATAGAAATCTCTTTTTAGTAGATTTTTTAAAAAAATTATTGCTTTTAAAGCTTGGTTTAGACTGCTGCAAAGCTAGTTTTGAAAGAAATCAGTGATACAAAGTGAGAAGATGAACCCTCACTTTTGTGATCACTTTTCTTTTATAGAGCAGAGTTGATGATGACTGTTCAGGTTCTCCAAGCACAGGTTATTCTAGATAGATAGATTTCTTGTACACCAAGAGAAAAGGATAAAAATTACATATCTCAACTCAACCTCTTTAAATTTTATAAAAAATGGTCGTCAAATGCATAAATATTTAAGTATACTGTACTACATGCCATAGGAATAAATGTTTCTGCATTTCAGTGATGTAAAATGTTCACTATGTCTGCATACTGTTTCACTTACATCTAAACGGTACTTAAGAAAACTCTGCAAACAACTAAATAGGGCAGTTTCATGAACTTTGCTGGCAGAACCAATAGAGTGGTGTGCCTTTCAAACTGAATTTTATTTTCAAAGTGCAGATCGAAGTCTTCTTTTGCATAACATTGTTTGTAAAAGAATGTCTGCTGCATACACTTGTTAGAAGACTCAAAGCCACTTGCACATACGGAGCAGGTGGAAGTTAGAAGAATACAGAACTGGCCAAATGCTTTCTCCGGGAATACTTATAGTAGAAAACTGATTATGATGTTGAATTTTAATGATGACCTTATATTTAACAAACAGAAATCATGTGGAGCTGAATGAAGGCATGCATAAAATAACCAAAATGATATTTGACTATTTTACTAACCTTCCTCTGTGGTACGAGCAGACTTTGATTCACTGTCCATTCCTTGAAACTCATTGAAGTACGGGCGAACTTTAATTTCGTAAGTGACTCCTTTTTTCAAATTGACTAGAACAGCACTGCGCTCTGTTGGGACTTTGACCTCCAAATTCTGCCATACAGCTGGAGACAGTAGGCCAGATGTTTGGCGGTACATTACTCGGTAGCCCTGAATAAACTGCGATTGGCGGTCAACCTAGAAAGGGCATTAAATAATACGTCAGTGAACATACTAAAGTAACAAAACATTTTGAAATGAAAGCAAAACTTTTGCCTAGAATACTTTTACCCTTGTGAAAAAGAAAAAAATTAGCAACCACTTATGCTGCTGAAATTTAAAAATCAAAATGTCTTCTTGTACCATTTTACCATTATTAATTGTCTCTAACGGAATATTCTTCTCACATTACTTGTTAGAGAACGTTTCTATTTTACTTTCTGCAGTTATATATATATCATGACAAATGCCATCTTAAATCATAAAACAAGCTCTCACCCCTGCAACAAATGAAAAAAAGAGAACTTTGGCATAATGCGTACTGCATGTAAACTTATGGACATCTTGGCTACTGATGTGCTGAAATATGAGAAGAAAAGAAAAACAAATTCTTTTCTGAAGAGGACAAGTCTTTGAAGAAGCCCTGTATGCTTTCAGTTACTCCATTACTTGGCTTACAGTTGATCTTTTCATGAGATGCTCGGGAAAGTAAAATAAACATAAGACAGATGCAGAGAAAACAACATCTAAGAACATGTGCTGTTTCTTGTGTTCATAGTCTAAACAGTCTCTTTACATCCTGGGGTTGTGATGTACTCAATCCATCAGATGGAGTTGGAATGTTATTTTTGTTTTATATTCTAATTGTTGCTAGGCAGACACAAAAATTTAACAATTTTTTCGTAGCTATGAGTAGAATTTTTTATTTGAAGGAAAAACCTAAAGTGTGTTCTATCTGGAAGATGTTGCATTCATATTTTCTCTTGAAAACAAAAACAATTTGAAATAATGATTTGAGTTATTATAATGTTTGCATGTAAACACAAACAAAACATCCCATCAAGTTTTACCCATCAGGTAAAATCAAACCAAGTCTAGCTGCTTCTGCATTGTCAAATACTCAAAGAAAATGCAATTAAGTAACAAAGACTATATGACTAGCAGTTTGATAAATTTCTGTGTAACATCCAAGATTCAACAAACAGGGTTTCCTTGTTGACATTCTGCTAACTCAAAGGTACTTCAGAATTAAAGATACATTTGTTTGATTTATCTTCAGAAGAAATGAATTTCAAGCTGAAAACATAAACCAGAGTCTATTACACTTTTGCTATAATCTTGTTATAGTTTATCGAGTCATTCAGAAGGGATGCAGATTCTTAAGACATTAAAAAGCAGGACAAGCAAGAAGAAAGCTCTATTTGTGAGAGCAAAGCAGAAATGTCTTTCATCAAAACTGTCACTGTTAAAAATCTTGCAACATATGTTACAACAACATTAAGCTTGCATTTTATAAACTTCTCTACATTCACTTTAAGTGAATTTATGCACTGAAAGAGGGATATAACTCACAATAATAGCTTGTTAATACTGAAAGAATCAAGCTGTGTTTTTAAGAAGAACATTAAGCAGCTGTTTCCAGATGAAGGGAGTCTGTAAATCAGAGTAAATTGTTTTTATCCATGTTTAACTTTCATTAATTAAATGTTTTACAGACATAAAGACTTTGTGAACCTCATGTTTACTATAAAATTTAGTAAGAACAGCAACTTGATATAATTTCTCAACCTACCTTACAATATGAGACTATGATGTTTAATAATTAAATACTAAGTTTGGTTCTTGCCCAGCTTTTGTATTAGAAGTTATGCTGAAAGACACCATAACTATTTTCGAACTTTCAATTTTGTTTTTGCTGCAGATCCTTTTAAGCTCTATTGACTCCTGTGCAGTGCAGAAGATCTGAAAATTTAGGAGTAAACTGAACAGTAACTGTTTGTTGCCAAGAAATGGTATATAAAGTGTTTTCTATGACATCATACAAAGAGAAATGCACCTACTAACTCACAAAAAACTGTACACTTGGATTTCACTAAGCAATTCTCAGTCCATCACACTTTTATATCAGTTTACATATGATATTCAAATTATTCATGCATCTCTCTTTTCCCTAGCTATTAATTTTTTTTTACTAGAAATACTAAACAACATAAGCAATATGAAAACATGTGTGGTAGTAGAACAAGGCTGTCATTTGCAGTTGCAGTAAACCAGCTTAACCCGGAAATCATGCCATTTACACAGGTGCTTTCAGTTGAAAGTTTGATTACAACAGAGCCAAATGATCTGCTAGGATTTCAGATTATTGAGTGATTCTGTTGTTGATGGTCTAGGAGGGTACTTGTGAATGAAAATGACAATACGATGCATTTTAATGCTTTCTATAAACACCTAGTTGTATTCAATATCAAGGAAGATACTAAGCTGTCCCTAATTCCCACCTGCAATTAGTCTAAACAAGAGGCACTTTTCCTTTGGTCAGGTTTTTGTGAAGCTGCTCAGGGGTCACTTCACTTACTGAGCAAGTGGATTTTACTTTTTTATTTTATTTTATTTTATTTTATTTTCTGAATAGTACGAAAATACTTCAGGATAATTACACAGATTAACCAGAGAGATGTGAGACATATATACATAGCTCAAAGTATATGTGAGGAAAATCATGAGTGTATTTCACATAAATACATAGATACATACACATACATATGCATTTATGTCTATATATACAAATAATCTTATATATATATTACAAAGCTTGTAACTTCATCCTTCTCTATTCTTATGTGTTAATTACATGTCACTACAACAGCAGGCCACTAACAACATGCTTAGTGTTAAAGAATAGCATTCACTTGTGCTAAGCATAAAGTAACTATAGGATTAGTACACATTTGCATGTAGGTAGAGTTGCAGAAATGTGCACTGTGATGTGATGAAAGAATTTAATAATTTCTAGTTATTTTCATTTCTCTCTCACTCTTTTTTTTTTTTTTTTTTTTTTTTTTTTTTTTTTTTAATGTACTTCCTCTTACAAAGCACTTAGCATTATCACAGAGATTGCAATAATTTTCTCTGCTGAGTACTGGGATCACAGAACACAATATCTGTGATGCTCTAAGCTGCTTTAGAAATTGTAGGAGCAGCTGTGGAATCCCCTCATCAAAGGAGGGCTGTAACAGGTGCTGGTCTAAAGACATTTTCTACCTCAGAAGATGGATGGCAGAAAATGCAGATGCTCCTTTAAAAGGCAGAAGACAGCAATTACTGGATGGGTTCTGTTCAGCAGTGACTCTATGCTTTAAGGCAACCTACAAGCATAATTGGTCTTGCATGCTCTCTCTCTTTTTGATGAATGTATAGTGCAAGAGGTATCTATAAAGCTGACAGTAGCTCTCCATTTCTGCAGAATACAAAGTTCTTTTTTTTCCTGCACATACCACAACTGAATATAAGACAGGTTCAGTGACTACGATCACTCTGTAGGCTATTTGCTTGTTAAAAGAAATAAAGGGCAAAACAAACAAACAAACAAACAAAACACCCTCATAATGTAGATTATGCTGCAAATACAGGATGCATTCAGGCAATCCAGCTAATCCACACTCTCAAGACATTTTCAATATGCTCTTGGGTATGTAAGCCTCAACTCCAAAATATCCTAAGAACTCTGCTCCTAAACCAGTACACACAGTAATTCTCCATCTGTGCAAGATATCTTTCAAACTGTGCTGAGGTCAATACCATGGACTACATTGGGCTTACATGGCTGCAGCCTGTGGGAAGACCAAGTGGGACTAGTTCAGGAAGGATGGTATCCCATGGAAGGAAACTCCACATGGATTAGGAACACAGAATGACCATGGAGGAATGGCAGAGATGAAGCAATCTGACTGACTGGCAGTCAGTTTCCTTTTCCTCTGTGCTGCTCAAGGGGATGAGATAGAAGAGGGTGGATGTCGGAGGGAGATGGTTTTAGTTTGCTTTTAGTTCTCACTGCTCTAGTCTGTTACCAACAAGCAACAAATTACATTAATCTCCCTATGCTGAGGCTGTTCTGCCCCTGGTGGTAATCAGTTAGTGATCTGCCTGCTTTTATGTTAACCGATGAGCTTTTTTCCATCATATTTCCCTGTTGTTCTGTTGATGAGGGGAAGTTGGAAAGCAGCATGGTGGAGTGGAGCTACATATTGGGGTTAAATCACTCCATAGGCTCACAGTGTTCTCCAAAAATTCAAACAGCACTAGTATTTATCTACCGACAGGAACAAGACAAAAGGTGATGATACACTGCAAGACTGTCCAGTAGGCTCAACTCAAACTTCCAGTGAAGCACAATCATTTAAAATCAATGTCAAATTAAAAGACAGAAGCAAATAAATTACTCTTCTGCACTGCAGCCTCAAAATTCCTGTAAGGCAGCTGGGATTTCAAAGCAGCAATTATTTCACCACTCTGAAGAACTGAATTTTTTCCTGATTATGCCACAGGGCTCCTACATAATACTAGAAAACTTCTTAAATTTGGCCACTAATTAAACTCCCAGTTTAATGCTCAAAGTGAGAAAATTGAGGCTGGAAAGTGCTGAGCTATACTTGAGGTTAGCTACAAAAGTTCTTTGAGTACATATTATGCTGTAACAATGCAAATATATTTGACAGAAATAAAAATAAATCAGGCCAGAGGTTTAAAGTTAGGCAACAGTCAGTGACTATAAATATCTCTGGCACCTTGTCTACCTTTATGGGATATACGGTTGGGATTATTACACAGTTTTATCCTTCTGATGATAAATTCAGTATTATTTGTGAAACACTCAAATGTTACAGTTGAGAGCATGACAGATAAGCACATGAGACAAACTAACATTTTTTTTATTCAATGCTGGGCTTCAGTTGTATGAATTTCCTAAGATCTGGTAGCACACACTGAATAAAGAAGATAAAAGAAATGCTGAATAGCTTTATTAAGAACAGATACTCTATGTAACCAGATAGTTACAGTTGTACTTTAGTACTTAGGCACACGAGGGATAAATTTATGTTACAATGACAACCTAGCTTTTTACTCCTTTTTAACATTGGCTTTGTGAGCCTAATCTTTTCAAACAGATGAAATATATGGGCACATACTTAGACATTTTATTTCTAAACATTTTAAAATTGCAAAACAGAAACAAAACTATTCATGGAATTTTAAACTGAAATTTTAAAAATATGTATGGAAAGAAAGAAAAAAAACAAAAACATCTCAGAAAGAAGAGAGAAATTGGTAAATTTGTTGGGAGTCAAGACACCAGAAACTCTGGAATAGAGGAATTTTCTTGTCATTTATTGTTTGAATACTGGAAGTCTTACGATTCTCTCTGCTCTTCTGTCCTACTGTATCCTAGCTACGCTATCTAACCACTTCATAAGAACAGAACTTAATTCTCTGGATGGAGCGGCTGCTTTCCTGCTACTATGGTTAATTAGTTGTTTTTGTTCTGGTTGCTGTTAAGTTTCTAATTAGCTGTTCCAGATACTTTTTTTGTGCGGGCTTTTCTTCCCTCAGGCAATTCTAAAACATCTCTACACAGGTCTATTCACTTGTCAGATGGCATACTGTCACTGCTTTGAGGGATCTTTCCAATGAGCTGATACCCCTGATATCTTTAATGATATACCTTAACTTGCCATATTTTTTTTGCTCATTAGTAGTTCAGTGCACCAAGAGACTCTCCAACCATAATATTTCATTATAATACAGTGAATGCTATTACACTGTATAAAATTGAATTCCATTTACAAATAGGGAGAAAACCTATGTAATTTTGTTTCTGCTATCTCTAACACACAGTAAAAGACTTGAAGAAGCACCACATAGATGTCATTCAAGTTTACAATTACTGGTTGCTAACATTCAAAGTTTCTAACCTACTGAACCATCTGCTTGGGCAAAAAGTCTTTCTGCAAAGGCACTTGGACCAGAAAGTCAGTCTGTCCTAGATTTATTTAGCTGTAACAGACAGTATTTTTAGAAGGACAAGCTGAGTGTTAACATCAACAACAAAATGCAATGACACATTTTTAAAATAATCTTCTAAGAAAGACTAATTTGTGCACTTCTCCATTCATTTTTAATCTGGCCCTTACTATTGAAATCTGTTGAAACAAAGATGACATATAAGCCCCCATAAATACATCTGAGATGCGTAAAAACTGCAGTATTTCTATAATACACAATCTATCCATATTTCTATTCTATTATATAGACCTCTGTACGCATGAAACTCTTGATAATATTACCTGTAGAAGAAAACTTCTGAGTATTGTGAATATCTCTTTAGCAGAATTCATTCTATATAATGTAACTGTTGCAGTGATGGGCATTGCAATGTTGCAATGCATTGTGTTCATCTCAATTTCCTAACCATGACTCTCCTTCCTCTGGGACTCATACTCCAAAAGCAAAGCCCTTATTTGTGGTGTGGAGTGCCCTATGAACAATCTCTTTCTAAGAGATTGTAAGAGAAACATAGAATTTTAAAAGCCATATGCTATATCTTAACTTCTCAGAAATTCTACCCGGTAGTTTGGTCCCTCAAATAGGTTAGCTAAGTACTGCCAGAAACATTCTGGTCTTCTGTAATGAAAGGAAGTCCACTCACTGAGGGTAAGGCGTATGCCAGAATACCAGATGCTACCCATGGATCAGGCATCAGCATAACATTGCCTACTTTTCAACAAGCACACTATAGAAATCTATTTCTGCATTTTAGCGTCACCAAACAATAGAGTATTCTCAAGGGGTTCTCATGCTTTTAAGTGGAAAGTGTTTTTTTCATACAACATTTTAATGATGATAGTTATTTTTGCTATCCACAGTTATAAATCCACAGATCAATTACCCTTAGATTATGGTGTTAAACATAATTCATTTTCATAATTAGACATCTATCTCCCTTTAAGCTGAATGGAGAAAACCTTCAATCTGCCTGACCTAAAGGAGAAAATGAAAAGGTCGTTTCATCTACACATATTCCTGTATGACATTAGTTCAGTAGAGCAATTATGCTGGTCAAGACTGGAGCTTTTCAGTATAGTAAAAGAAACGTAGGGACAAATAGGCAAAATTAGGTAAAGCAAGGTAATTATATTGAAAGCCTTACTGTCCAGGTAACTTGAACTGTTGTGGGTGTCAGCACAACGGGGTTATGCAGCCGTACAATGACATCTCCCAGTTCCTTCTGGACTTGCCTGTGATCCACACCTTGTGCTGGTGGACTGATATCTGCCAGACAAAACAAACACATGAAAGCATTATTTTAACGAGAAAATATGCATGACAATTGGAATTACTGAATAGCTTAATGACTTGACTTAAGCACCCTCTTACAGCAGTGTTTTTAAAACAATAGAGTGCTAAGCTTCGAATGTGAACTACCAAACATGGCAAGTAAATTCGAACTAATCATCCACCTTTGGCCGCTTAAGAAATCGGGAAAGAAAAATACATTAAAGTGATTATTCAGAGTTGATAGTAATGCTTTCTCAAATCTTGCAAGTGATGAGAGAGATTCAATTATTCACTAGTTCTGCAATGTTCAAATAATAATAATGTCAGCCAGATATCTGGAACCAAACTGCCTAGCATAATTTAAGAAAATGAACAGGTTTTTAACTTTCCTGGAGCATACATGACACTTAGTTATTATATGTTTCCAAATTGTCACTAAACTTTCCCTCCTTTTATATACAATGCACACAAGAAACCAAATGCAACAAATAGCAATTTCTTTTTCAAAGTGACTTTTCCCTTTATAGATAAGATAATGAAATCTAGCACAAATATGAAAAGTAAAAATTTATTAAATCAAAACGATTGTGATTTCATGAAAGATCAATAAAAACACTTTACCATGGAAATTTTCTTTTCAAGAGTATGCTAAACGCTCCTTCAAAGAGAAGGGAAAAACTATTTCTTCTAGTAAAAATAAGGAGTTTGATCACTTAGTATAAAGGTCTATAGAAAACTATGATTCTACCTCCAAGCACCACATGTGGCCCTTGTACCTAGTTCTTAAAGATCTCATTTAGGTTACTGCATTTTAGCTACTCATTTTGGATAAACCAAAGGAAGCTGTATTACCATCCATAAACAGCAAATATAAAGTATGTATCAGAAAATGAAGGAGATGTACAATGTGAATATCTTCAGTATGTCTTTTTAGTGATAATTCTTAGATATCATCATTTTTTGTTACACTGCATCAAAAAGAGAATGTTGGTCTAAAACTGTTCATTAGCCAATACTTCCCTGCATCTCCCTTCCCTTTACTCCAGACAGAGATAAAGGTAATTTCTAGGAGACAATGAAGTTTGAACACATTCAGTGGCTCCTTTAAAGATCTTACAATGCCACTCCTGTCATAGTTCATATTAGTTGTCTATCTGTAAACAGATATTCCTAAGCAGATATACATGTATTGATTATTTCTGTTTCAATTTGTTGATAATTTGTCCAGAAAGATACAAGCACAGATTTTATTCTAAAAAGTCTGATACATTATAGCCAGGCCTGCCTACACATTTGTGAATTCTGCTTGGTTTTCTCATGGGACTCATTAGCCAAAACCACTTTCCGTCTTTTTGGATAAATCAAATGTACACAGAGAAGAAAAAACACACTTAAAAGCCCTCTTTTTCCCCTTTGATGGTCTTAGGGTATGTGAGTATGTTGTATTTGACTTTTTCTTTCTTTTTAACCTAAATATTATTGAGAAGAAACAATAATGCTTTTAGAAATGAAGCACTTAAACGTGACAACAATATCTGAATTGCAGGCCTTCAAATTTTGAAATAAGCTTGATTCTGGTAATCAATACCTCAACTTCATAATCCTGGATTTTATGGGTTCAGAGCTACCAATAAACAATAGAAACACATGCTTCTACTGATACTCAAATGCAGATGGCTCCATGGGTCTCCAAAAGGAATATAAACAAAAAACAGTTGTCAACAAGAGTGAAGGAGCTTATCTAGCAAATCATGTCTATTCAAAGTGACTAACAAATAGAGAGATTCAATAAAATAGTTCTAAGACACCAACTCAGACTGGTTTGCAGAACATTCATTTACACTACTATTCATAGAATCTGTGATCCTTGATAAAAATTTACATATATCTATCAGTGCCTATATTTGAAGTTAAATTATGCTGTAGTATACAACTGGCCAAATACTTACATTCCCTTAGTGAATAAGTCATTTCTACATAGTGTTTCTTTATGAAATATATTTTATCATAGAAAGAAGTACGTAAAACTCAAGGGAATAACATGGATTAATATCAGTAAGAAATTAATGTAAGATGTACATGTGGAATTCTGTTTATTCATAATTCATTTGGAAACACATATATACATGATGGTCACGGTGCAATGTCACGCAATGAAATATTCACATTACTAGAGACTCCTAGTGGGAAAGCAGTTGACCTACCCATAAGCAAATGTTGGCATAATAAAATCATGACTCATGGAAAAGCAGCTCAAAAAAGATATCCTAATCAAAATTAAGACATCTCTAAATTTAAATTGGTGGTATATTTTCTCTAAGTTCATTTTACAGCTTCCATGAACTTTCTACTAGTAGATAGTAATTTAAATTGCAAGGACATGATTATACATAGTTTCATACATGATTTTAGATAGTTTCCTTGAAGTGCTTTTTAATATATGATCTGGTCTGCTAATAATCCAACCAATAAGTCAGATCTTTTCCTACAGCAATTACTGATTTCTCTGTCCTTATTTGACAGAAGTCATTCAAGGTAAGCCTTTTGAAAGCCCCTTATTGTCTACTTGTAGTTCACTGATGAAAATATGCATAAAATTATACTACTTGCCTTTTGCTATGCTTATTACCAGGAAATAAAATGCCAGATATTAAAGCTGCAAAAGACACCTGTGGCAAATTAGTATTATACAGTATGGTTATAGCTGCTTCTCTCTTCTTCAGTGGTCGCTGTGAACAGGCTTTCCTGCATGTGTCAGCTTCCTCTGTCAGCCCGAATTGAATTCAGGCATAATTAGAAATCACATCAAAACATTATGCTAATTTTCAATTGATTTTATGATTTAATTTCATTAAACTGGAGGTTACCAAAGAAGCTATAAATCCTGTACATGTTTCAGTGTGCTTGACTGCTAAACAGCTTCTGGAAATGGAAGATGCAACACATGCTGTAGCTAATTAAAAGACATGTTTTTTCTGAAATCAAATTGCTTGTCAGTATGTCAGATAAAAAATCTTCACTTGACATTCAAATGCCAAATAAAGTTGTATTTTTAACTAAGTGATAAGTTATTCAGACTAAAGGCTGGTGCAAAGAAAAACATAAGTCTTCTTACCACAACAGGAGAGTAAGAAAGAAGAAAAGTTGCAATATTCAATGGACAGTGAAGCCATGAAATCCCTCCTCAACTTATTCCTTCAGCTTTTCAAAAAACGGCTCTTTCTCCTTTTACAATAATGATTTGTATTTATTATTGCTATTAATATTTTGAGGAGGATATATTATAATATATTATAGGATATATTATATATATATAATATTATATATATATAGGAGGATATATAATAATATATTAAGGACAGATTTATTCAGGAATAGACTGGAATGAGAGGCTGGATCTAGTGGCTATGTGATAAAGCAATACCACCCCATTCATTTCCTCTTTTCCATTCAGGACCTACAAAGAATATATTTCCAATTACACATGCTGGAGACTGACCCAGGATGCACAGGCACTCCCACACAGTTTTCTAACTTCCGTAAACAGGGATAGATAATCTCAATGTAAATTAACTGTGAGAGGAGCTATTACTTTGAAAATGAAGAAATCATGATTTAAAAAAGATGATTAATTCCTGTACCTCAATATGCTTAATGCAAAAGTATATTCTTGAATGAAGTACTGAAGCAATATGTTCTTAAAGCCAAAAAAAAACATGCTGTGAAGTGAAATTTGTTTGTGGCAGCTGTACACATTTAGAGCAGAGTATAACATGAGCAGATTTTATAGTCATCAAACAGTCCTGAAACAAGAGATGGAGGATCACAGCTATCAATTGTATCAGTAGCCTACAAACAAGGGATTTCCTTTCAGTCTTCCCTCCGGGTTTATTATACAGTGAATTACGAATGTAAAAATTCAGAAATGTTGATATAAATTGAAAGTCTATACATTACTCAGAATAGCTTTGAAATACTCTCCATCATACAGATGCCTTAATTTATATGAATAACCTGCACAAATGTTGGAGTAGATTTACCAATATGCTATGGACATTTTTTGCATTTCTTTATGTATTAATTACTATTAATACTAATGCAAAACAAGGTGTTTTGCCTGTCTGGCTTTTGTCCTTATTATGACAGTGTATCTCTGCTAGATAATGGAGATGAATTAAGGATTGAAAATAGAAAGTAAGAATACAACAGAAGAGGGCATGTTCAGAAAAGTTTGAGTGCCATCAAGAAGCACACCAACAATCTACAACCTGCAAATTAAAAATATGCCAAGGCACTGGAGAGCTCAACTATCCTTAGCTTTCTCCTAAATTCCAGATTAATAAAGCAATCATTGGACTGTCTTTATTAGTTAAGTTGTATTCAAGATTCCTTCAGTCAGAGTGATAACATAAAATGGACAAACCTAATGGTCAATTTTCAGTTTCTTTTTTTTTTTTTTTTAATTTTAGCTCAAGCATGTAAGCCATAATAATTACTCTTACCTTGTGTTCGGACAGGATCTGACATAGGGCTGGGATCACTCAGACCTTGTGAATTGATAGCTCTCACCATAAACAGGTAGATTGTATTGGGACGCAGTCCTCTCACAGTGTAGAGAGTGGTCTTCACGTGGTTAGCCACTGTTTGCCAACTATTGCTCACAGATTGACTGCAATAAGAAAATGTTGAAGATTATAGACTAACACATAAGAAAACAAGGAAATAAAAGGGAATCTGCGGGGAAAAAAAATAGTAAGAAAAAGACAAAAATAAGATTTTATAGTTTTAGTTAACAAAAAACTTATAAAAAAATGACAGAGCTTTCAAAAGTATTTCTCCTTTCACTAAAAGCAAAAGCTTTTTCTATCACTCTAGCAAACACCTGCAAAAGGAAAGTGTGGAAAGCAGCAAAGGAAATTTGAATGATAAATAGGCCAATCTTTAACATAAACCTTAGAAAAGAAAAAGATGTTAAAAGAATAAATTTCTATGTTGTTAAGTACATTATGTCAACAGCTGTCATTAGAAAAAAAAATGCTTGCACTACATTCTTACTCAAAGTTAACAAAGAATCTTCTGAAAAAAAGCTTGTAAATTAAGAAAACTATATGAATATTCTTTATGTCACTACATTTTCATTTGAATGGTAATATAGTTAGATTACAATCCACCATATGAAGACATTTCAGCTGTAATTGTTAAAACTGCTTTTAATAAAAATCCTTGGCTCCTGTAAAACTTCTTGATGGCATGCCATAAAAGCTTATACAAGGTGAAATATCACAAAAGTTTATGGACAAAATTTGACTTTATTCTGTTTTTTTTTGTACAGAATTGACCAAAAAATGTAACATCTTAAAGGAAAAAAAAAAAAGAAACTGCTATTTCCATTTTGTTTCTATTGTTTCATTCATTTAATGCATTAAGAAAAGTACAAGTCCCAGAAAAAAATCAGCAATCAGCAATCCACAATAATTGGATTTTGTATATTAATGTATGCAGATAAAACATTATCACCATAATGTTTTAAATTTGTAAGCATATAATTTGATAAATTCCTGCTGGAAGATTAATTAAAAGATAAACTATTATTATTGGTTATTTTTTGAATATGTTGATGCAGAAAAGCATGTAAGAAAGTGCACACTCATGCAGAATACTACTCTTGTAATACACACGAGGCATACAACTCATGCTTAAACAAACTTGCTGAATTGGGGCCCAGGAGTTCTTTCCTACAACGCATTAAGTGCTGCTGTGTGGAATAGAATAGCTGGATCATCTTCAACTTCAGGCTGCATGATGAAATCCTGAATTATGAACACCAGCCTTTTCAGTTAAAAGTTTTATTCCATCTAAAACAGTTAAATGCAGAATTTTAAAGTTCTTTAACTATTTAATGGTGCTGTTTTAACAAGAACAGGAGAAGAAAAACACAGATTGATTTAAAGGTTGCCCATTAGTTTTCAGTTTGTTTGCATTACAACAGTCTAAGTAACTCAAGCCCAAATTTTTTGAAATACAACATTCCCAGGGTGATCATTAGAACTAAGAAAATAGTAACAAATAGTGAGTACATTGTCCATTTATGTTTCTACTGACCTGAAGAAAAAGTTAAATGCTTCACTACTTCACGACTTAAGAAAATGTGATGACATATTAAAAAACAAAACAAAACACTTAAAAAGTAAGAATCAATGCCTGCCATTGGAGCTAAATCTTTTACTGAACTTTTAGCGATAAATGTAGAAACCAGAAGAACACCACAATACCAGAACAGCTGGTACTAGGATTTAAGCAAAATTAGACAGTAAGGAAATTAAAGTAGAATAATTCACATACCTAAAAGCTTCAATGATATATGCACTAGCTGGTAGGCTTCCAGGGGTCCCTGGTTGCCAGGACAGGGTGACACTGTTCTTAGTTACATCAGTGACCTGAGGTTTGGATGGTGGCCCAGGAAGGTCATTTATGTCATAACTTTTACTGACTGTTGCTCCACCCAACTCTGCAAGGAGCAAATGTAAAATAATTACTTTTTGTTGTCAATTAGATAGTTTGACCAAAGTAGAAGGTTAAAAGGAAAAGCATGCCAAATATCTGCATAATCAGCTAAATCAGTGCTTTTAATTTGTTAAGAATTAAGTCAACTATTGCATTATCAGGTATATTTTTTTAGAAAGAACTATCATTCCCTACATACACATTCTAGGAAAAAAAAAACCCACAAAACTCAAAAGTTTATATAAAAAAAAGAAAAAAGAAGTAACAGAAAAAACATGTTTTGTTCATATTTACATAAAATGTCAGAACATCAGCTACTAGAACTCTGAGAAAATTCCTATATGCAGATCAATTCCAGTGGTAGCAATGAAGTCTGAGACGTGAAGAAACAAATCCTTCCCACTTAAAACCTTATCTATTTCACACCTAGCATTTCTAGAAGAACTATTTGACTCATAAGGCTCTATTTTACACTATACTTTCATTTTGTGCTATCTGAAAATGGCCTCTGCATATTGCTTACCTGTCACATCCAGAACAGCACTCCACGATGTTTCCCCACTTGAACTTGTTGCAACACAAGTATAAGTTCCAGTATCAGACAGCTAGACATTAAGAACATGTAAAGCAAGTTTTACCTTTCGGAATCATATGACAGAATTTATTCTAATTTTTTTTCCTATATATTTATTGAAAAGAAAGACTTATTTTACACTTTACAACAGCCTAGAAGGCACCAGATATTTAAAAATAATAATTTAATGGTGGCTTACTTTTAGAGGACTAAAATAAGATTATTTGTTTTTAATACTTTTCTAATTTTAATTTTCATATTCTTAATTGTATCAGTGAAGTATGTAAATGCTACAGAAAAAACGTTTCAGACAGTGTCAATCTTTTTATTGTTAAAAAATCCAGTTGAAATCAGCAAACAATACAACAACAATTTTTCCTTAGAGGATGAAAGCTCACAGTTCATTATTCCATGATGACAGAGAGATACTCTCAGGAAGTGGAATAGTCTCAGGAAGGCTGTTCCATCATCTTATGGTTTTATGACAGATGAAGACATATTTATACAGGTCATCAACACAAAAGATCTTAACAAGGGTTATCTCTACACACAGTCCTCCAAGCAATTTTAAAACCGTACTGTTAAACCAGATCATACACCATGCTTACCTTTCTTCTGTAGCACATGAAATTTTATTTCAGTCTTGCAAAGCAGTTTGGTAGCTAAACACTCTAAATTGTGATTCCTATGTCAGTTCATATAGTCCAAATTTATTTTTGGAAAGATTTTTAAATTATCCCATCAATATTAATCTCATTATTGTTCTTATAAATTGTTGTTTTACTGGAAAATTTGCCAGGTATTTTACTATTCCTTACTTTGATTTAAAGTAAAGATTTATGTGACAAGACAACAGAAGTGGATGGAAAACTGTGACTTTGCAAAGTACAGAACATCCAGAAGAGTTGTCCTACCACTATGTATAAAGAATGGTAATCTGGAGATTGAAGAAGAGGGAAAATGCTGAGTCTAGTGATAAAGGGGAAGAATTACATTCATCATCAGTTGATTTAATGAAAGTAGGGCCACATTCAAGAAGGTTTATGGGACTTCAAGGGATTATAATTTGTGATCTGGAAAACACAGGTTGGAACTATAACAAATGGTCATACACAACTCTTTGAAAAGAGTGTAAAAACAAATTAGTGAGATGTTCCTTAGATTATTGTTTACACATAATTTAATTGATTTTTAATTATGTACTGTTAGAATTTTGTTGGCATTTTCTTCCAATAGATTGGGACTATGCCATTCTTAGGGGAAGAAAGCAACCAGTTAATGACAGTTTATCAAAAAAAGCATAATTTGAATTCTGCCACGAAATATAAGGAATACTTAAACTCCTCTGTCAGTGTCTCAGAGATTCAAAATACAGAGATCATAGAATAATAGAATGGTTTGGGTTGGAAAGCACCTTTAAGGTCAATCTAGTTCCAACCTCCCTGCTATAGGAAGGGACATCTCCCATTAGACCAGGTTGCTAACAGCCCCATTCAGCCTAGCCTTGAATGCTTCCAGGGAGGGGGCACCCACAACCTCACTGGGCAATCTGTTTCAGCATCTCAAAACCCTCGCGGTAAAGAATGTTCCTAATATCTAGTCTAAATCTATGCTCTTCCAGTTTAAAGACATTTCCCCTCATCCTATCACTATGTGCCCTTATAAAAAGGTCCTCCCCAGCTTTCCTGCAGGCTCCCTTCTGGTACTGGAAGGCCGTCATAAGATCCTCAAGGAGCCTTTCCTTTTCCAGGCTGAAGAGCCTCAACTCTCTCAGCATGTCCTCATTGATGAGTGTTCTAGCCCTCTGATCACATCTGTGGCCCTCCTCTGGACCTGCTAACTAAATGAGAAAGACTCTTGAAAAGAGGCAGATTTCTGGAGGAGGGAGCCTTATAGCATTCTGAAGTACTGTATTCTGTTTTGCTTCTGAGTTTTTGTGAAATCTACGATTCTTCATTATGTGATAATTGAGGATGCTGTGGTTCTCAACTTCATTTGTGTCCCACCATGACAGATGGTGTATGGCATATTCAATGAAGTATGTAGTATACACAACAGACTAACTTGCAGAAGGCAAATTCAACATACAAAGAATTACCTAACTTCCAGACTGCAGACAAATTAGATACAGACATATTCTATTGATAATTCAATTATTTATACTTTTTTTTTGGTGCTTTAGTGAAGAAAAAAAAAACAACAGGGAAGGTCAATGGAAAAGTGTTGCTATTCAGTGTAATAGTTTTCTTCCTTAGGTAAAGCAGACATTTAAATCTGGCATAGTACATTTTTACATATCAGAAGGAAGATTTTCACCAGTCTTGACCTTGACCTGTCTAAAATGGTACTGAGTGAATGACGTATGCAGGTTTCTAGTTATCCTCCAGGGTAACTGGATGATTGACTCATTATAAAAACCTCTGGGTTTACATTAATGATTGTTGCTCTTGGTTCACTATGATTGCTGCAGACTATTGAATAATTTGATTTACATACATAAAGAGATTAGTTACATAGCAGAAGAGGATAGTCTCAGAGGCTTAAATAGTAGAGGCTCATGTTTACCCATATCTCTATTTCTTTCACATTGATTATCAATTGATAATGATTAATAATTGTGAGGGGAGGAGATAAGTGAGGACTTAGGCTTGAGGATGAAGGTGATAAATGTTATTCTGAACATAGGCATGTAAATGTACTTGAGCTATTCTTGGGCATATTTGGGGGATTTTTTTGTCCTTAGGAAGTGTTGACAGTTCTTGCTGTAGTACATCTGAAAGAAAAGTTAAACACTCCTGATTTATATCTATATTTAATTCACAAAAATTGCAACCTACAGGAGAATTTTTTTTTTTTTTTTTTAAATAGAATTGTGTAGTTTTGGCTGGTAAGTTTGGCTTGAGCAGTGTACATTACTGTTATCAAGGGGTTTACAAGAAGTGTCCTTCTGAGCCTTTAAGGAAAATCAGTTACTAGTGAATGAGCCACTTACGGATCAATAAAAGCTTCATGTCTTTCAAAACCACACTCACTGTTAATATTGTTTCCTTTTATCCTTGCAAGCAATTTTTTTCCTTTCGTTTACAGACACTGTGCAACTATCAGCAAAATAAATGCGCTGGCACGATTCAGACCCTATTTTGTTATTTGTGTAGCTGCATGCAGACAGGTATCCCAGGAGCTTCTGCCTCATGGACACTCCACAGCAGCCCATCATCGATGCTGAAAATTTGTTTGAAATCACTAAGCTTCCACCTTTAATTGCTGTTTTCTAACACTACTGGGGAATCTGGAGAATTCAAGCTCAGTCTTTAATCCATCTCTACAGGAAAAATGCATTAACCTTCATGGCCTAAACCTGCCTTCAGCCCAGGGAGGAAGGATAAATTGTTTACTGAAGGAAAGCTAGTATAAATTTTTTAATAAATTCCATTTTGTTCCAAGGAGGTTAACAATTCATCTACAATCACTGATGAGATGGCACCAGAAAACAAAACTGCTGGTTACCTTGTCTTTAACAGCTACATTTATGGAATTTTTTTTGGATGACAAATCCATGTTCAGAAATTTATGTTGATTAAATTAAAAGGCTGCTGAAATTGTCTGTAAGTTCTTAACAAGTAAGGACATTATCTTAGTATTTTTCTAGACATACGCTTCTTCACATACACACAAAAGTGCAACACCTATTTAAACAGGTAAAAAAATAAAAACCCAAAGAAAGATTAGTGATACAGTGTTTGTCAACAAAGTCTGGTGTTATGCTATCCTGAATACTGCAAGATTTCTTTGTTGTACCTTCAAAGTATAATATCATATGTATCAAAATGTAAATATTTTGATAGGCACTTCATTTTGAACAGAAATTCTTCTGCATATGACTGCATGTATGTTACAGCATGAATTGTCATCTCCCATCCATAGCCTTATGAAATACCTGCAGCTAGCATAACATCAGAATTCATCAGCGCAACTCAAGACTGCCAAGACTCAATGATGGAGAAAGAGCATGGCAAAAGTCTTGATGGACTCCCTTGCTAGCACACTGGCTCCCTGGAAATAATGTTCAGGTGTTGAAAATGAATGACTAACTTTTAATAGAATCAAAAGACCAATGGCTTCAGGGTAAGACTATCTGAAAGATAACCAGGTCCTGTCATCTTACATGTCTACCCACCTGCCACTCATGCTTTATTGCAACATAAATAATTATATTTTCAAAGGATTTCTAGTAGTAGTATCTGTTGTTAAGTTGGCTCTTCTTTTTTCCCTTTACTACCACAATGACAAAGTACAAAATAATAAGATTTGTCCTTGGTAAATGCTGCATGGTAAAGGAGACAACTAAGTTAACTTTGAAGTCAGAAGACAGCAAGATAGTAGAGCTGCCTAAGGCACACTACCAGCTTCATATTAGCCACATACTACTTGTAGCATTTGCTTTGTTATTGTTACTCACCCGCAGAGTTTTAATCTGAAGGGTTCCCTGATCCTGTATGGAAGTACGAGGGTCTCTGCCCAGAAAAGTGAAGCCTTCTTTTAACCAGCTGATAACAGGAAGCGGGTCACCAGTAGCCTTGCACTTCAGCAGAGCTGTCCCATCCACTGCCAGTGTCTGATTGACAGGCCCCTGGAGGATGATGGGTGGAGGTCTATCTGTCAAGACTGAGCAACGACACATATATTGGCATTCGTGACTTTGACAGTGCTGTGCTACATTTAGTCCTTTGCTTGATCTTGTACCACTTTCAACAGATTGGTTTATGTTAGCCTCAACAGGGCTATGAACATTATTTTTACAAGACTCACAGATGCATTTTGATATTTGTTCGGTATATTTGAAAACAGTTTTTGTATGGGCTCATTTTGCTACTGTAAGACAACACATATATAAAAGTCTGCTAGCAAAGATCCTCAGATCTATTTGATTAAGACACAGTGACAATAAAGACTTAGAAAAGAACTATGCTGCATTTCTTATTTCATTCAATTTAGGAAAGCACTTACATTACATGTTTGCAAAAGCACAGGATTAAATCTCAGATCAAAATGTTTTTAATGACTTATCACATTTAAGGTCTACAAGAGAAAATCTGTCCAAGTTCAAAGTGAAACACTTATGAATTTTAGCACAGGTACCAACCATATTCCTCATTCATTCACAACTTGTGAGTAGTCCATAGCAAAAATACCTAAGAGCGTTAGAAACATTTAGTGCTACTTAAATGATAACTCTTTCCAGTGGAAAATATTTCAGACTTAATCAAGCCATTTAACAGAGTGCTTATCAGTTCATCTCGTCACCTTTTAAAGCAATGAACTCTGTTATTTTTTTCCTAATAATTTACATTTGCATGCTTGAAATGCTCCATAAGGAATTCTGTAACTAGTGAATTAGTGCATGACTGCATACAAGCCTCATTCCATGGTCAGTGGGATATCTTAAAGATGAGGTAAAATGCTCACGTTCGCTTTTCTTGAAAGAATAATTTTTCATAAATTATTATGCTGTTTATGTACAATTATGTTGTATTCTCACAGTCAACTGATAAACAAAGTATAACTCTGTGTTAATAAATAATGTATTTACACAAAATGAATGTGAAATGTTTGAATTGTAAAAGTAAAAAATGTTATAAAATCTGTACAAGAGAATCCAGCATCCAATTTTTACATATTTACTTTCTACATTGCTACTTTTGTAATCTTTGAACAATCTCACAGTACTAAGTATGACATTAAATATCGTAATAGACAGGATTAGCTCCTAGATGGCGTAAAAATCAGACTGCTTCCACTAGAGTCAATTGAGTTTTAATCTTTTATTCTGAGAATCTGGATCATTACATTCCACACACAATGTCCTACTCTAACAATGAAGTGAAAACAACCTATTTGAAGAAATATGCTTTCTATGGTATTCGAGCTGTTTGAGATGCAAACCTCTAGAACCTTCAGTAGATAATAAACAGGAAATGTTAAGATTATGTTGGTGGCACATTTTGTAATTATAATAATTGGTTATAAAACAAAAGATACAATTGATTGAATTACAGAAATTAGCAAGACTTGGAGTGTGAGTTTATCACATTTGTTGGAATTTAAACAAAAAAATCCAATGTCAATTCAGATTTTTATTAGCCCAAGAACTTGGAAGGTATTTTGAAAATTCTAAAATATTACCAGCTGACATTAGAGATAGGAAATGAAAAGATAGAATGCAATGCATTTTCATCTTGATATCCAAGTTTGATCTCATTAAGGTTCCTTATGATCACACAGTTCAGTTACTTAGTGAAACAAAAGTCCATCTCAGTTTATATGCACTCAAGCTCTAGGTGTGCTGGCAGCGAATTCAAACTAAAATTTAAATTCAATGTACAGCAACTCTCACTTTTCTAGCTAGTAAAAAAAATTAAGGAAAAAAACACCTTATTTTGCTAACTTTTCAATTGTTACTTCCTGCATCTAATTGCCTTTCATCTATGTAACAACGTAAGTATTTTCAAAACCTACAGCATTTCAGATATTGTTCTTTGGCATGCAATTATTATTATTATTATTATCTTTTACAGCTCAAATGAGGAGCTCATAATCTTTTAAATAGCTTTGATCAATAATGTAATTGAAAGTCTCCTGGCCAGAAGGAATCTTCATTTTCAAGGGTGTTATGGGTGAAAGACCACTACAGGTTTCCATGACACTAAGGCTAAAGGTTAAATGAACACTTAGGGTTTCCACTGATCTGTGAATGACTATATTGTCTTCACAAGTCTGACTTGTAAATCTTCTCTAAAATGTGTGTATATGTGCTTGCATTCCTACTACATAGGTGTCACCCAAAGTAAGGACACAGAACTCAGAGGTTTAGAAAGATATTGTAATAAGCATCCTTAAGAACAAAAAAATAACGAAAAATCTTCACAAAAGGGTAGGATTTTTTTTAGTTTCTTTTACACTTTTGATTTTTTTATTTTACTTTTTTTTTTTTCTCCTGCTATGAAACATTTGTATCCATTTCACAAAACATTTCGTATGACAAAATCATATTTGCAAAAAAAAAACTTGAAGTAACCTCAAAATTAATTTCATTCAAAAACAACAACAAAGAACAACAACAAAAAACCATTTTGAAACTATCTTCCAGCAGCCATATATTCACATGTTCTGGCAATTTAAAAAATACCAGATCACTTTTTTGATAAAATGGAGCTTAAATTTTGAGCAGAGTACAAAAGCAAATGTTACTTGCTAATAAACAGTGTATTCCCTATAAATGCAATTTGGATCAACTAAAAGTATGTGCAAATTTAGGTGGAATTTGGTCAAATTACAAAATGAAATTAAAAACAGAGAATGACAAAGGAAAATGAGACACAACTCACAGAATTCTTATGATGAACACTACTACGTTAGGGCAGAGTGCTCTCCTGACAGGTGGGAATTATAGAATCATAGAATGGCTTGGGTTGGAAAGGACCTCCAGGATCATCAAGTTCCAATCCCCCTGCTGCATGCACGGCCACCAACCTCCTCATTTGATACTAGACCAGGCTACCCAGGGTCCCATCTGACCTGGCCTTGAACACCTCCAGGAACAGGGCATCCATAACCTCTCTGGGCAGCCTGTTCCAGCACTTCACCACTCTCATAGTAAAGAACTTCCCCCTGACATACAACCTAAATCTTCCCTCTCTCAACTTAAAACCATCTTCCCTTGTCCAGCTGTTATCTACCCTTTTAAAGAGTTGACTCCCCTCCTGTTTATAGGCTCCCTTTGGGTACTGGAAGGCTGCAATGAGGTCACCCCACAGCCTTCTTTTCTCCAAGCTGAACAAGCCCAGCTCCCTCAGCCTGTCTTCATAGGGAAGGTGATCCAGCTATCTGATGATCTTTGTGGTCCTCCTCTGGACCCTCTCCAACGGCTCTCTGCCTTTCTTGTACTTGGGGACTCCAGACCTGGATGCAGTACTCCAGATGGGGTCTCACAAGGGCAGAGTAGCGAGGGACCATCACCTCCCTGTCTCTGCTGGCCATCCCTCAGGATACTATTTGCTTTCCAATCTGTAAGAGCACACTGCTGGCTCACATTAAGCTTTTCATGCATCAAAAAGCAAAAAGGGAAAACAGAGACCATTCCTACCATTCCTTCCTCTACTTTTTTTTTTTTTTTTTTTTTTTTTTTTTTTTTTTTTTTGCAGAAGCTTCACAAGGGGACATTTGGAAGTGTCACAGTTGCTATAAAATACTTAATATACATTTAATCAGAGATAGGAATTAAGGTGGCCAGATTTGCAGGTGGCTGAACTGTGAGTGATATCAATTACTTATTCCTATTTTCTTTTAAGAGACATACCCCAGCATATTCAATAGATCCACAGTTAAAAAATTGCATTGCAGGCTGGGAAAAATGGCTTAAATTTCTTTTCTAAATCATTGTTGAGCATCCTAAAATATTTCATTCTTATGTTGTCAGAGAAATCTACTGCGGGATGTTAAGCTTGATCCTCTATCCAGTCCTCATCCCAAACAGCAGCTGTTGGGCAAACTGTAGGCCCACCCTACAGCTGAGCAAACAGTTGTCAAATTTTCTATTAATATATATAAATAATGTAAATTTAAATAAAGATAGGTAAGCAGATACTGGAACTTTCTTCAAAATATTATGTGTATGGCGGATAAATCTATGGAATAAATTAAAAATACACTTTATTCTTATCATGAATACACACATAGTTCGAGAAAAGCGCTTGCTTTATTTGCATGTATGTCATTTCAAGATTCCAATCTGCATATTCGCTTCTTGAGTTTGAAAGGAGTGCTAAGATTTGATATTGCTTTTCCAGATGTGCATTAGACATAGATCGTATTATAGCCTTTCAAGACAATATAAGATTTGAATTTCAAATACACTATGGGCTCTTAGCATCGTCCATAATCAGCAAAATTATCACTCAACTCAGCATATTTTATCACATCTAGTAATCTCTTCTCATGTGAACACTTGAGTTAAAAATATTTCCAGTAAAGACTTGTAAGTGCAAAAATGTAACAACTGAAACACTGCTATATATGGTATAATTAAGCACTTGTTTTTCTGCACATGACATATGTTTTCATTCTGTATTGGAACTTCAATTGGATCTAAATTACCCTGGATCAAACAAAAATGTGTTCAAAATGAAAAAGATGGCTCGCCACTATTATTAAATCATTAACCAAACAGAAAAATTCTGGGCTATGAAGTAAAACTGGAATCCCCAGCCAAAAACTGGGACATTAATGCTTAAGTGTATAGCTAGCATGTACAGCATTTATCTTTTATCATATTTTTAAAATCAATAGATTTTCCTTCTGATAAAGATCTCTAGCTTCCATAACTTCTGCTCAACATCAACTAAAACAGATTAGTTAGACATTTATGGTTAACATCCTAGCTGAAAGCAATTAAAAAATATCTGTGATCTAATGGTATGTTCATGTATATAATCTCAGTTTCACAATATTTTTTTGGCACTTTTCTCCTGACCTTACCTGCCCTTTGACTCAAGGATGAAATGGTATTTCTATAAAGCAACCCTCCATTATTTTGTAATGATCACACTGACACTAAGTTCTGGGAAGCATTTCAAGAACACAGGCCTTGTATTCCTTCAGCAGCAGAGCTCAGCAAAGGAGAAAGCATGTCACATTAAATCAGAACTAATTATGATTAAGCTTGCATTTTAGCATGGACACCATTATGAGCTTTCTGTTAACTTTTTAAGTAAACTAATAAAAATTCCAAACAGATCAGGCAGGATTTCTTTTTTTTATCTCATACAAGAAATAGATAAAGATGGACCACAGGTTTTGGCTGTCAAAAGGAAGAATTTTCATCACTGATATCCTTGAACCTGATTTGATCCTCTCGGCCCATGTTGCAGTAAATCTGTACAGCATCAGCAGGTGCAACCATTAACAGCTCAGTGCCCTTCTAGCCAATGTTTGCGTGTTCTATTTATTCCAATCACACTCACGGCACTGAATCAGGCAGTGCTATGGACAGATATTAAAAAATACTGCCTTTCCATTAATTTTAAATGACCTTTTAATCTACATTTAAATTTGAATTGAATGAAAATGCATCATTTTGTCATAGATCATGACAGAAAAGACTTAAAGAGATTGCAGAGCGAAGGTTAGCCTTTAGTCTCCAGAAACTGCTTTAGCAAAAAGCAATATGCTTGTAAAGATGCAAGGATAAGGCAGAAATTATCTCCCCTTGTCATAAAAATATAGACAGCTTTTGGAAAACAAAGAAAAGGCATAAAATTAATGCTCAGACCTCTATAACATGTGCCTGAACCTCTCTACCTGTCATTTGTGATGAATACGCTCTTATGAAAAGTCAGATTATTCAGAATTAGACATCTTTTCAAACTTTCATGGTGCAGGCAGGTCTCTAAGGGAACCATAAAAGTAGACCTCTGCATATAACAACAGTTTTAATGGCAAAAATTCATCAAAGTCTGTCAGGAGAAATTTAATGATTCCGTTAAGATAAGGAATAATGATGCAAGGGAATGCCATGGTCTCCTAGCGTTAGAGGAATTCTCTTGCTGTTAACATTAAAGGATGTAAACTGCCTTCTAGCCACAATAAGATGAAGAGGGGTATCAACAGGATTTCTGACGCATGTAAAGGGTTGATGTTTGTACACAGACCAAGGTAAACTTCAAGGCATGATAAGATTCAAGCCCAAAATTCTGAAAGTGAAAGCATCATCAGATCATGCAGCACTTTTCCTTTCTTGCCAACTCTGCCAGTGTATTTAAATAACTCTTTACACATCTAACTGTACTGAAAAATTGTTAGAACACAGCACTGAGGAAGTAAAGTACTTTCGTGCCTTTTTCAGATGTAAACTAAAAGGCTACAGTACATAGCTGTTATATTTTAACAGTGCTCCAGTAAATTCAAGGCAACTGTGTTCATTTAAATTGAGCTAAGAATATTTCCAAAAAAGTTGCCTAATACTGAAGGCTGGGACCAAGACAGGTACTTAGACTTGTTTATTTCTGCACTCCAGCCCATTATTTTAGTCATAAAACTATTAATTCTTCATAATCTTTTTGCAGTCCTACTTTAGCTCTAAAGAACTGAGCAGCTTCCCTTCTTCCCAACCCTATTCTAAGTTGCTTTGTTCTTTGTTTGGACTGTTAAGAATTGTGTGCAAAATGCAAACTACATGTCAGTCTCTTTTTGATGCTGTAGAGAACTGTGCAGAGATTCTTGCAGTATGTTTTGTAGAAATTCACCTGTTAATTTTTATGAATTAAGTGAAGTCTCTGCTTTTTTTTTTTTTTTTACACAACTTTTATAGTACTTCTGACAGAAGAAAAAAATGGAATTTCTATAGCTTACCATCAGTAACCTCCAGCTGAGCCTTTGCTAAAATGCTTCCAGCAACTGTCAGTGCTTGACAAATGTAGTAGCCTGCATCAGACCGTTGAATGTTGGTAATAGTGAGGTCTCCAGTTGGTGATACTGAGTATCTACTGTTGGGTTGGAGAGGCTGGTTTGGGAAGAGCAGATTCTGCAAAGACAATTCATCTTACATCAGTTCAAAATACAACAGCATCGCTTTTTTTTTTTATCAATTAAAGACATGTTGATTTTTTCCTTAAAATCACAGAATCACAGAATTGTAGGGGTTGGAAGGGACCTCCAGAGATCATCGAGTCCAACCCCCCTGCCAAAGCAGGTTCCCTACAGCAGGTCGCACAGGTAGGCATCCAGGCAGGTCTTGAACATCTCCAGAGAAGGAGACTCCACCACCTCCCTGGGCAGCCTGTTCCAGTGCTCCGTCACCTCACTGTAAAGAAGTTCTTGTGCACATTGGTGCAGAACTTCCTATGCTACAGTTTCTGGCCGTTTCCCCTTGTCCTGTCTCCACTCACCACTGAAAACAGTCCGGCCTCGCCATTCTGCCCCCCACACCTTAGATATTTATAGACCTGGATCAGGTCCCCTCTCAGTCTTCTTTTCTCAAGGCTGAACAGACCCAGTTCACTCAGCCCTTCCTCATAGGAGAGATGCTCCAGGCCCTTCACCATCTTTGTGGCCCTCCGCTGGACTCTTTCCAAGAGATCCCTGTCTTTTTTGTACTGGGGAGCCCAGAACTGGACGCAGTACTCCAGATGAGGCCTTACCAGGGCAGAGTAGAGGGGGAGGATCACCTCCCTCGACCTGCTGGCCAGGGATATAAATCTCTTTATATCAATCAAAAGAAAAATTTTGATAGGTGATTTTGAAATGAATATACAGAGCTAGCTCTTCCGGCTTTACAGTTCAAATCATAAAAAGCCTTTTCATAATACACAATGGTGTTTTCTAGCTGGCAATTTAGGCAAAATCACACTTGAGTGATCTGTACTTGTTATATATTTATCATCATTCTGAATTAATAATTTTAATAATACACTTAGCTGGCTATCATACCAGGGAGATATAATACTGCAGTAAACATTATAGAACTAGCAAAAATAATTGAGCAAAGGGAACTAAGGGGTAGTGTTTGGCAGTGAATATGTTCTGGGCAAAGTAGAAAGTAAGAGCATGGCACAGAAGTAAAGCTGGGAAGATAAAAAACAGATCATAAAGTAGGAGAAGCTTTATGATCAGAGGATGACGGAGCTTAAAGGAGATGCAAAAGGAAATTCAAACTGAGATGTACCAAAGCAGGAAAACTGCATGGAGCCTTGAGGGTGAAGAAGAAGGGCATAAATCTGATGTAGAAATTGACAATGAAAAAAATATATATATATATATATATATATATAGGATATATATATATATAGGATATATATATATATAGGATATATATATATATATTATATATAGGATATATATATATATATATATATATATATATATATATATAGGATAAGACACCAGTTAGCACAGAAGAGGGAGATTAGATTTTGCCTTTGTTGCCTTTGGGTTGGACTGGGGAAAAGAGAACTGTCAATAAGAATAACTAAAATGGACGTTACAGTCATTGAGTATGATGAAGGATTGAATGAATCAATAATACAGAAAAAGACTGAAAAGGTTTTAGTGGTGAGGGTTGTGTTCACAAGGAAAAAGTTAAATTGTCTACAGCAGCTCTTTATGTAAATAGAGGATGGGAAAAGAGAGGCAATGTATGTAGAAATGTTGGTAGCATTGCCTGATATGACAAAAACAGAGGAGAAAAATTAAACAATAATAATGAATTCACAAATTCCAAACAAAAAGGCTCCGAATTTAATATCAACTCAACAAGCCTGCCATATAAAATTTGCAATTGTTGTGTCAAGAATATCTCAAAACATTGTTACCATGCTATGATAAGCTTTTAGTCACTACTGTGACTCTGTTCCTCTGCTATGTTATGACTCTGTACTAACTTTTAAGCTTATCTATATGAACTAAAAAGGAAACCTCAAAGTATAGAGTAAGATACTAAATGAATTTTCTGCAAATCTGCTACTTCTGTAGTTGACCTCAATGTTTTACAACAAAATTTTTAGGAACCGGCGAGCAAAAAACTTGAATTTCAAAAAATTCTGCTTTAAAGTAAAACTCACATATTTCTCTCTGATTTTAACATTAGAGATAGATCTCATACTCTAAGTATCTTTATAATTGTATTAACTTAACAGACTACTTGTTACCATATGATGAGTCTCACCCTTTGCCCCCTTTCCATTTCAATGTTCTGAGAAATTTTTCACACAAAATTTTTCCTCAAAATACAACAACCACTCAGTAAATGTCAGATTCAACTAGGGGAAAAAAAAAAAAAAAAAAAAAAAAAAAAAAAAAAAGTGTGAACATTCTGAAACAATTTTAGGCTTTAGGGCTAAAGGGGTCTCAAAAAAGTTGCCCGGTTTTCTAAACTGTCTTGAAACTTGCATAATGATCTGTTCCTGACATAAATACCTATATCATTACACAAGTAGTAAAAGGAAACAAAATGAAAGATAGTGTAGGGCCAAGCTCCTAACACTCAAGAAGAAAAAAAACCCAAATCTCCTTCATTAAAAACGTAAGACTAGCCTTCTTTTTATTTTCAGCAAGGACTCGTTTATTAAGAATATTTTCTTCTGAGACATGAGTATCATATTCCAGAGAATATTCTACACTTTAGTATGAACTGATTAGTCTCATGAATCTTCCTTTCAAGAATCAGGTAACTTATGGGTTGCAGTTTGTCCTGTTACAGCACCAGTCCACTATTTTAATGCTTTTACAACCTCACTGGATTTAACTAGCTGCAGGTTTACTCATCTGAGTTGAAACTCATGCTGGGTTGAAAACAGCAAAACAAGAGTCACCTCAGATGTAAATCCAGATGTTTCTCTGGATTTATCTCTATTTAATCCAGAGAGTTTAAAGTGTACAGATGGCCTGTCCTGGCACATTCTATTAGTGAAGGGCTGTTAGACTGTGGGGAACATGCTACCAAACAAAAAGGACCAGCTGTTTAGTCACAAGACAGCAGAAGAAATTACACAGGAATTCCCCTCCTTTCAAGATGGTTATGCTCAAAAACATAGTGTGAAGAAATAGATTCAGATTTAAAAATGCCCTGCCATTAGTGGGTAAGTGGGCTAATGTGACTACATAACATTACTCTAAGAGTTAAGAGCGGTGCTGCAAAATGTAGTGCTTGAGTAAAAGCAGAATTAAGCATTGAAAATCCAGGCAACAACTTTTTAACAAGTACATAAAGGTGAAAAGTCAAGCATTTTCAGTGGATAATGCTTTAATTCAGCCAAAAATCCATCGTCCAGATTTTAATGAAGAAATGGAAACACACCTATTCTTTGACGTCTCATGGCAAAATCTGCCAAGTTCTATATTGAGATGGTAATGCTAACCTGATGCTAACACTTAAATGATGCTCAATTAAGATTAACATAATGGTTATAATGAATCACTTTGAGTTATGTTTCAAGGTTTGACTACAAACCACGTAGGTATCAATTTTTATGTTGCATTTATTTGTCAAAAAAGGACTTTCTAACCCTTGGGATCTGGTTCTCAATATGGTAATTAATTTTCCAGGTTTGCAATTAAACAGCTTCAACATGGTACAATCAGGAGGTAATAACATTCAATTAAAGACACAAGATGCATTTTAACCTTAAAATGTTTTTACCCTTGAAGTGATATCAATGGAAGAGGATAAAATAGAGTATTAACACTTTTCAATTACACTAAATGACTTTAATCCTGCAAATGATGTTCTATTTTAATTAGAAGTTCTTCTCTTTATTACAGCATGATGGATGTCCACTCTATTAGATTCAAGTGCAACACTATAAGCTCACTTGACATAAACATTACCATGTTATTAAAATTCTCTACAAGACAGTGTTTTGAAATGTTTTCTAGCACATCAGTACTTCCCACCGTAACTTCAAGATGATATTTTACTTTCCCCTTGAAAAAATGTTCACATGATTGAAACACACAATATCATGCTTTCTTTTCCAGAATGTGATCCATAGAGGTTAGATCTAAAGTTTTATAAATAATGAGCTGAAAGAAACACACTGAAGACTAAGCTTACACTCATATGAGATTACACTCGTAAGGTAAAAGCACTGCACCTTTGTAAGATTTAAATGCAACTGGGCACCAAATGCTGTTAGTTTTAGTCTTGTCATTCTGGCCAGTTATCTGACCTGGTGAAAAGATGAAACAAGCAGATGTTTCAAAGTTGGAAATAGGTGGTTAGGCTCATAACTCACACTTTGAGTTGTTACACAGTGCCTCTGGGTTAGAGGCACAGCTGCATTGCACAGCACAAGGTAGATACTTAGTTAATCCACATCTCACTGTATGGGAAAAAGGAGCACGGGGCTTTGGAAAAACTTATAGATCAAATAGAAAAGCTACATAGGCAGATGAAGTCACAACAGGCTCCATCACAAAGGCAGAAGGCACTGTCCTTGGATGTTCATCTATCCCTTCCAATCTTTCCTAAGGTAAAAAAGGGCAATCTGGCACACAGTTTACAACGTTGAAAGTTAACATACTAACCACACGTTAAAAGTGAGAATGCTTTACTTTTGTCCTGCCTGTGCAGCAAAGGCAGCAAAAAATATGTTGCATTCAAACATCAAGCTATGCAAGGTAGAATTGGCTGATTGCAACCCCATTAGCAACATCAGAAATTTTGCTTTCACACAAAGAAAGTAAGGATTCAGGAAAATATTTCCAAAAAAACATTGAGAAATATCCTGAGATAATTCTACAGAAGAGAGAAGTTGAAACCATATCTGGATGTTCTGCGAGAATTTGCCAATGTAAATCTGTTTGCTAGCTATGTATCTACTTGATCATGTCTAGACAAGCTTTGAATTGTAATTACTGACACTGATTACTTAAAAGCTGAGTCATACCTCTTTATTTGCTATGTTTGTCTCACCCACCTGTTTGTTGGGTGTCTCAGAATGAAGTATTTAAGATACCTGCTATTGCTTTTTATATCCTTGCACTATACCACAAATTTTATCCACTTAAATGGACTTTGTGCTTTTCACAATGCTAATATTAAAACAAAAAAGCAACAAAATGTTGATAGAAGATAGTAGCTGTTTTAAAGACAAATTCTTTTGAAAGCTATCTTTATTCAAAAATAATCTATGTATAACTTTTCTGAAAGTTGAAAAATTTTATAGGGTACTTATATCTTACCTGGCTTCCTTCTTTTTGCCAAAAAACAGCTGGCTGGGGATTTCCTTTAGTTTCACAAGGAAAAGTCACCGTTCGACCCTGGGCTACAATCTGATCTCGTGGTCTCACCACAAACTGTGGGGGAGCTACAATGTAAGAGAAAAAACATACTGCAAATTCAGGATATTTTGCAAAGGGAAAATGAAGTAGATATAAGGAAAAAGAAAACAATATGGAACACCAGATATACTAATTAGACAGAATTAATATGTCTATTTGCTAAATACATTAATAATAAAAAAGCAACATTAGAACCATCAACATTAGCATAAACTCTACAACGAACAACAATAAATGCTAAGGCTCAACAGTGTTTATGATGCTGGTCTGGATATATTCTATCTTCCATCTGAGCAAGTATCATCAGTACAACATACACTACACATAGCTTATCATTCTGCTGAAGCTATCACATGTTGCACAGGATAAATCAGGATATATAGACTACTTTTTTCATTCTGATCCTCTAGCTTTTCAAAAATGATTGAGAAAGGAGAGAAAGGATGGTATCTGGATGATAGCAGAAAAATAGAAGTTTAAGCACTCCCTGGGCTTCTATTAGGGACAGTGTGGTTAAGAAGGGAGTGGGAAGAAGGACTTGCTGTGAAAAGGAAGTTTGCTAAAGCATCAAAGACTTAGGAGATTTTAGCTTGTGAAAAGTCAAGAAAAAAGCAAGAGTTGCAGAGTTAGTGGCTGGAGAGAAGTGAGTAAGAAGAAATGTATTTCAGGAGCACAGGAAGATAGAAAGGAAAAGAAGAATAAGTTGAAGTTAAAATGTGAAAGAAGAATCAGGACTGGCTTTGTGTTCAAGTAGATACATTAATAGCATTCCAAAGTGAACAATTTTGAAAAGGAGATGTGTTTTGACTTCTCTGGGAATGCTAATGGAGAACAGTAAGTCGATGCCTGGTGGGAGCATGAAGGGTGAAAAAAGATTTTAATGCGCAGAAGAAAAGTGAGGAAGAAGCAGTGATGGAAGATCAGAGTGAAAAACAACATCAGTGTCTACTCTCATGTGACAAAGTAACTTTCTGATGCAAATCTCTCAGCTTTGGTTCAACACTGTAGCTCAATGGAATTGGATATGTAAGATATATTAAAAACATAATCAGCATCTCCATATGCTCTTACCAAAAAACTTGCTGATTTTTCCAATAGGCTGAAGAAAGGGGAAAAATAATTAAAGAGGTGAATTTTTTCCATTCCACTATTGCTCTGCTGGCTGTGGAGAGAGGTGGTTTAAGGAACTACTAAGCTTTAAGTAAACAGAATTTCAGTGTTTTAGAAAACCATCTTTTCACCATTATAATTACAAACTATTTAATTAGGCACGAAGAGCAATCAAGACTCAGCTTCCGATTACACCTGCTGACAGCACAGATGCAGATCTGCTAAATGCACAGAAATGTATGCAGATCTGATTTATTTTTTTTTTAATACACTTTATACTTAAGTGATGCAGTCGATAGCACTGGTATAATGCACTCTTAAAACAAGAACTGTAAAGCACTTAATAAACATGCACCACTGTTAATTTAGAAGGCAGAAGTAGAGAACTATAAAGGGAGTCTTTCTTCCACCTCACACTCCTGAGCACAAGTTTTGGACTTTCTGGAGAGAGAAGTGTCTGCCCCTTCCTGGGGCCTTAGAAAGCATCAGTCTTCTGAAGGGTTAGGTACCCTGCTGCTGTCCATTTATACTCTTATGCTCGGAGGCTGCAATAAGGGCATAGGTGCTGCTCTGAATACTCAATCCAAAATCAGCTTGTTCTACTCCAGTCCAGCCCTGGACTATAGCATGTGTCCCGTTTTTTCCCTCACATTGTTTTATCTAGCATATCTGTATGCAATCCTTCCAGATGTTGGAAAGCAGTAATATAGTAAGCAGTATGTGTGTTTGTTCATTCAATCATATCGCAAGGGAGAGAAAGATTTTTTCCTTATGAATTAGAAAACTCCATTCCTGAATGCATACCTTACACTAAGGTATAGTTCTGATCAACCAGTTAACGAAGGTCACTGAATTGTTTCAGTGTTTGCTGCTCAGCCACAGAAGTTCATTTCCCAGGATATTAACATAAAATCAATTGCAAACTCAGAGTGGAGAGCAGAAAACTTCTAACTTCTTCACTGAACAGGAACTATGCATGAGTCAGTGCAACATTATAGATGGACTCAAGATCATAATCTTCCTATTGAGGCTAAAAACAGAGTGTCAGGAATTCATCTCCACAGATCATGATAAGCATGATAAGGTATGTAAGATCACTTCACAGGCAGCCTTGGTCTACTGGTGCTAAGTGTTACAGACAGTGCTCTGAGACATCACAACAGAAGGAAGAAGGGCATGGCCTTTCCATGAGCTTATCTTTCAAATCATATAACCAAATAAATGCAGGTAGACAGGTTTAAATGTTTATCTGAAACATGGTCACACATAAGGCTGTACAGTAAGTCTATAATTCAAAGCTCTGTACTTAACAGGATTTTTTGTTGTAGTAGACTTTTCAAGGACCAAATTCAGGTAATTTAGTGAAAGCACAACAAGAGACAAACTTACTAGTCCAATCTACAGTTGGACCTACTCCTAATTCTGAACATTCCTCATTTTCTTAAGAGCAGAAAAATAATCCTTTCTTTTGCAAAAAGAGACACTGAAAAGAAGCAGGAATTAAGGTGGTGTCCCAGTCTGGATAATCCAATTTGTGTAGGTTGACCTTATTGCTCTGCTCTCTCCCTGTCACACACCAAATCCCCTCTGGCATTTACCATTCTAAGTGAATATGAGATCCTGCCTCAGAGCAACAGGTTTAGATTTTCTAAATTTAAGAAGGCTCCAGTAAACAATGGTATATGATTATGTACAGATCTGTTCTCTAGCTTTTCTCTGAAGAAGAAATTACTAGAAATTTACTACAAAACAAATAAATGAACCAGTTAAACTAAATATAATCTCCTAATCTCCAGAAAAACTTGCTTCTATTGGTCTTTGAAAAAAAAACAAAAAACCAGTCCCTCCAGTCAAACTATTCAATAGTATAATATTAAGGGGTATGAAAAAAAACATTTTTGGAAAACTAAAACTTCTTCTTTTTTTTTTTTTTTTTTTTTTTTTTTTTTTTTTTTTTTTAAATTTATTCAAAGAAGCTTTGTAATGAAAGAAATCCCCATTTGCTTCAACTTGCCATCATTTTCAGCTATAGTTCTGTTTGCACACAGATAAAAATGATGCTACAGCATGCTATCACCATATCAATTTTATCTATCAAATTCCAGCCGAATAATGAGAATTGACAACCAAAAGTAACAGTTAATGCTTGTAGGATAAATTTTGGTCAAGTACAACTACCGAATCAGTAAGATTACCATTATCCCCAGAGAATGCAATGTAGTCCCATCCAGGGACAGTAAGGCTTTGATAACAGAATAAGCACTTGAGTTTTCCTAAAAAGAGAATTCATTACCTACATACACAGATGCTGTTTTTAAGGTAGATAAATAATATTACTCATATTTTGCAGAAAGGTTAACTAAAAACATGACTCCCTCAAAGTTCAAAATCAGTAGAACATTGGCAAAAACCTTATTCACGCCATTATTGCTCCTCTCAAAGGAGGAGCATTTTAGAAGTCTGAAAAGGTACAGTTAGATTAATAACAGCAGGCTTGATATACTTCAGCTGTTAAAGAATTATGAGCTACTTTAATGCTTAATTCAATCTAAGCATTAAAGTGATTAGAAGAATCTGTTGACAAAAAACTGTTAGGAAGCAGGAAACCAAGTGTTGTGCCTATCAAATTATTACCCTTCATTGTTTCAGATGTAATATTAGCTGGATTGGAATAAACAGTGGAAAAACTTGTTTAATTGACATTTGAAAGTCAAAGACATTGGCTCTAAAAGGAAATGTACTAGTTGGATTCCAGGGCACTGGGCAAAAATATGAAAAAAAACAGAACAATTAAGACTACAGATTGAGTGCACTTCCATTTTAATTTTTTTTTAAATAAATTTTAAAAGTACATAGGAAATTAGATTTGATTTCTGGCAAATTATGCTCTGATACTGCATTCAGCAAGTGCTTGCTTCAATCAATGTCACACTAAAGCTCTGTTATGCTAATAGCGGCTCATGAGGGTGAGCGGGATGATATGGAAATCAGATGGCGAACATGAATAGAAAGCATAGGCCATGTACAAGGTGGGCTTTGCAATGAAGGGATGGGGAGGCCCTAAGGTTAATCACATCATGTTCAGAACTGATTTTACAGCACGGAACAGTATTCTACGGCAAGAATGAAAATAGAGATAGAAAAGTGTGAGCAGTAGTTAAGTATTAGTTACTGAAAACGGTAACGGTGCTCTCTGCTGCACTCTTTCTAAACGTCATTTTAGGCATCACTGGATACTGTATCTTTCATTATACAAATAAATGTATACAATGGTAGCCTCTGCTCAAGTGTCTTAGAAAAAGAAGTTTAGAATAGAAAGAATATTACAAAATATTTCTCAATTCTTTTCCAAGGTAGCAGAATCTTTTATACATTCTGATGGATTACATTCGTTTATTTACCACTAGTGTCTCTGGATACTAAAGGTTATGCTGAGTCACCAGGAGCTGATAAAACTGCTGATGTAGAAAAGCTTGAACAAGACAGTGAGTTTATTTCTCCTAGGTGAACTCTGGTCACCTGATAAGAAATGTGACAGAAGATGAGAGTAAAATTACTACAGAAAAATGTGATTTTAAAGCAAATAGCACTGTGAATCCCATATAAAGAACTAGCAACATTTTCTTCCAGTGCCACAATTTCCTAAGCTAGTCTTATGGTTTGTGGCTCACAGTGAACACAATAATCCTAAGGGAATTCCATTATCATGACTTGCTCACAGCAGCTCCATTAGTCCAGGTGCCCTGAGGTACACAGATTATATTGCTATGATTTTAATCAAAAGTAGGTATCATACCAAGTCCAGTATTTCTACTGCAAGCAGTAAAGGAACTGTAACAACAGAAATTAATTAACAGTAGGATTTTTGTTGTCATCATTTGTTTTTCCTAACATCCTCAGTTATTTAAGTCACTCA